ACGCTGGGAGTCAGTAGCAGACGGGCCCTCTACTGACAGGTCACGCCGCTCGCCCGACCCAACCGACCCTCACTGAGAGATTGTGCCGGTTCACGCAATCGACCACATACGGCCGAATAAGGAGGGTACCGCGGCAGATAACCCCATACTGCTTAGTGGGAAGATTGGGACAGAGTTAGTTAAAATATTCATAGATGGGGGAGCAAACCACAACCTCATCAACACTGCCACAACAAGGAAACTGAAATTGCTACTGGACAGGTGTTTACCTGAGATTGACGCAAGACTGGTCGACGGCACGCCACTGGCGATACGGGAACGTGTGGACCGAGTTCGGATTCGATGCGGGGGTAACTTCACGTTTATCCAGGAAATGCTCTCAACAACCCTCGACAGAACCGACAGTTTACTCGGCCGTGATTGGCTGCGTCAACACAATCCGCGAATCGACTGGACGACGGGTGACTGCACTGTGCGAGTGAATGGTAACAACATCGCCTTACCTCGCTGGGGCTCGCCTGAGTCTTCGTCGGTGCATGTCAACGCAATCACGATGAAACGCGCCATAGCGGCAGGAGCTGACGTGTATGCAATTGACATTCAGGACGCCAAGGCAGCAGATAAGGGAAGAGATTTACAGAAAGTGCTCGCCCACGTACCGGATAACCTGGCAGGGTTACTGAAGCAGTACAGTGGGATTTTCCCGGACGACTTGCCAACAGGACTGCCACCTCAGCGACCGCACGACCACATGATAGAACTAGAACCGGGGGCACAGCGAGCAGTACAACAACAGTTCCGACTGACCTAACCCGAACTGGACGAACTGCGGAAGCATCTGGATTACCTCCTCAAGAAAGAGTTCATTCGCCCGAGTTCGTCGCCCTTCGCAGCACCGATGGTGTTCACGCCGAAAAAAGATGGGGGATTCCGCATGTGCATAGACTACCGCGCACTGAACCGAGTTACCATCAAGTCCTGTTACCCCATCCCGCGAGCCGACGAAATGATCGACCAACTGTGCACAGCCCGGGTCTTGTCGAAAATTGACCTTCGAGGAGGTTACCACCAGATCCGCGTCAACCCACCTGACTGCCCAAAAACAACCTTCCGAACACGCGACGGATCGTTCAAATACACGGTAATGCCCTTCGGACTGACCAACGCCCCCGCAACCTTCCAAATGACGATGAACGAAGCCTTCCGCCCGTTTTTAGATAACCGCGTCATCGTGTACTTAGACGACATACTGATCTACAGCCCAGACAGAGCACAGCACCTACAGGACATCGAAGCAGTTTTTAATATACTGAGTGAGAACAGACTACCGACTAAGGCCTCTAAGTGTGAGTTTCTACAGGACATACTGGATTTTTTTAGACACATTATTTCAGCTCACGAACTGGAAATAGACCCGAAAAATATCGCGACGATTCAAGCCTGGCACGCGCCGACCAACTTGACCGAGTTGTAGAGTTTCTTGGGGTTCGTTGACTACGTGCGCCGGTTCGTCCCCGACATGGCGAAATTGATTGCCCCATTGACTGACCAGCTGAGGAAGGGGGTTGAGTACACGTGGGGGGAGAAAGAGCAAGCTGCCTTCTCGGCCCTCAAGAAAATTTTGTGCTCACCGCTCGTACTGCACATCACTGATCCACACTGCCCATTCAAACTGGTTACCGACGCAAGCAACATCGCAGGGGGAGCAGTAATGTTGCAGGACTTCGGGAACGGCCTTCAGCCAATCGCGTACGAGTCCCGCAAGCTTCACCTACCCAAACGCGCGATACACGACCGCGAGATGCTGGCGATCGTGCACGCGTTCAAAGTGTGGCGATGCTACCTCACCGGAACAGACGTGACAATATGAACAGATCACAGATCGCTACAGTACCTTCGCGCTCAATCGAATCTCAACCCGCGACAGATCTGCTGGTTGGACTACTTGGAGCAATTGATTCGTGCCACGTGCGACGATTCGACAACATGGAAGCAGCAGTTACTGTTAGAAGAATGAACGAGAATGAATGAACTATGAAACAGCTCGGGTCCTCTACTGTGGCAAAGGCGGACAGCTCGGGAAACAGGTAGGGCAGTAGAAGACGGCCTAGAGCAGCAGTGGCAGGCGAGGAGTAACAGGCGAGGAGTAACAGGCGACTACAGCGTCGTACAGTGCCTGTGCAGTCCTGTGCTGTCCGAAGTGAGCGCATTCGGCTAACGGCAGGTGGTTGCAAATGGCCAAACGACCAGCAGCGTCACGAGTAAGCCACTGTGAGCGAGTCGCACTGTCAGCTGTGGCGGGAGGGGCGAGAGAGGCTCCAGACGTGTGGTCAAACAACGAAACGCCGTCTCTAGAGTCGCTCAGTAGGTACAGCTGTAAATCGTTGAGCCACGCGTCGAACTGGATCGGACGGCCCTCATGGTCGAACGCGAGGACGCGGAGAGAAGCCATAGCAACGCAGCACGCAGGGCGGCAGGAGCCAGGCAGCGCCAGGAACAAGGCAAGCACCAGCAAGGGGCGGCAAGCAGGCTGCAAGTGGCGGCGCGCAGGCTGCAAGAGGGGCGGCTCGCGGGCCTTGGGGCGGCTGGCGGGCCTAGGGGCGGCGGGCGGGCCGCAAGGGGCGGCGCGCGGGGCTGCAGGGGTGACGAGAGGGCCGCAAGGGGCGGCGCGCGGTGCTGCAGGGGCGGCTCGCGGGGTGCAGGGGCGGCGAGAGGGCCTGTAGGGGCGGCGCGCGGGGCTGCAAGGGCGGCTCGCGGGCTGCAGAGGCGAAGGGCGGGCCGCAAGGGGCGGCGCACGGGGCTGCAGGGGCGGTGAACAGGGCAGCAGGGCGGTGCGCTGGGCGTAGGGTCGACAGGCGGGCCGCAAGGGGCGGCGCGCGGGGCAGCAAGGGCAACGGGCGGGCCTGTAGGGGCGGCGCGTGGGGCCTAGGGTCGACGGGCGGGCCTACAGGGGCGGCGCGCGGGACCTAGGGTCGACGGGCGGGCCGCAAGGGGCGGCGCGCGGGGCAGCAGGGGCGACGCGCGGGCCTGTAGGGGCGGCGCGCGGGGCCTAGGGTCGACGGGCGGCTGTCACAAACCGGTGTGCACACGCCATGAAGGCTGGGCTGGAAAAAGGGTGGCCATTAATCAGGTGCCACTCAATGCCCTTCAACCCTGTGACCGAAACACAAAGCAATGAAAGAGAAACAATGACATACAGAGTAAGTACAGGGTGCTTGTCAATTACATGGTAAGAGCTTCATGACAAGAATTTAGAGTTGCTGCAAACAATAGGAACCACAGTACACAAAGGTTAGTGGGGCGGGCAGGGGTAAACACTTACTGCTGCCGTACACAGCCACGTAGCTATGGCAGCGGGTGGCAAAATCTTCAGGCTTCACCGCTCTTATGGTCTCGTTTGGTGCACGTTTAATCACGCGTATCAACCGCAAGCTCTTCCTACAGCCGCCGTAGATCTTGCCAATACGGTTGTTAAACTACTTCTCCATCTTTTTTACGATGTCCTTGTCTTTCAGGTGAGCCACCAGCCTTCGTCGCTGCCTGCCGTGAAACCTGCATGTGCTGTGCGAAGTGAAAAACAGGGCGGCAGTCAGTAACTCAACTCGCAGCAATAGCAACAAGGAGCAATCGGCTGCTTACCGACTAAGCGTTGAACAACATCAATCCTCTTCGGTGACATGTTGATGTGGTCGCCCTCGAAGAGGAAATCGTTTACGGTTTCCGACATGATTCTCTGCAATAGCAAATGTCAGATTTATATGACATAGCTACTGTAGGCTATAGTGGGGTAGCACATATGGGGTACAGTTTTCTAGGGTTTACATTTGTACCCAACTTTCCCTTAGTCCATCCATTCTCGTTTCTATTCTAACATGGTATCGAGCAGGTTCCCTCGTGGGAACTGTTCCTAGGGCCCACCAATTCGACATTTTTTTTTTTTCTGCCCGGAGCACGCTCAGTCCTAGCCCGAGTCGCGCTCCCCCCCCCTCCTTTTTTCTCGCCCCGTCGCGCCGCCCTAGCGGCCTTGTCGCCTGCCTTGCGGCCCTCGCGCCGCCCTTCCTGGCCCCGACCCGCCGCCCGACGGCCTCGTCGCCTACCCCGCGGCCATCGCGCCGCCCTTACCCGGCCCCGATCCGCCGCCCTGCGGCCTCGTCGCCTACCCAGCGGCCCTCGCGCCGCCCTGCGGCCCTAACGCCGCCCTTTCCGGCCCCGGCGCCTACCTGCGGCCCCGACGCCTACCTGTGCGGCCCCGGCGCCTACCTGCTGGCCCCGCCACCTACCCGCGGCCCCGCCACCTACCTGTGCGGCCCCGCCATCTACCTGCGGCCCCGCCACCTACCTGCGGCCCCGCCACCTACCAGCGGCCCCGCCACCTACCCGCGGCCCCGCCATCTACCTGTGCGGCCCCGCCACCTACCTGCGGCCCCGCCACCTACCAGCGGCCCCGCCACCTACCCGCGGCCCCGCCACCTACCTGTGCGGCCCCGCCACCTACCTGCTGGCCCCGCCACCTACCTGCTGGCCCCGCCACCTACCTTTGCGGCCCCGCCGCCTCCTCTCAGCGGCCCCGCCGCCTCCTCCCAGCGGCCCCGGACGCCGCCCTCTCAGCGGCCCCGCCGAGCCGCCCAGCAGCCGAGCCGCCCAGCAGCCGAGCCGCCCAGCCGCCGAGCCGCCCAGCAGCCGAGCCGCCCAGCAGCCGAGCCGCCCAGCAGCCGCGCCGCCGAGCCGCCCAGCAGCCGATCCGCCGAGCCGCCCAGCAGCCGAGCCGCCGAGCCGCCAAGCAGCCGAGCCGCCGAGCCGCCCTGCAGCCGAGCCGCCTGAGCCGCCCTGTCCGGTAAGAGCAGCGCCTCTTTCACAGCACTGCCCTCACCCTACTGTTTGCGCTGCTAGTCTACTGCTGTCATGGCTACCCCTAGTGTCCTCTCTTTTGACGCTGAGGGTCGGGCCATTGACTTTGACGTCTAGATAGATGACCTGCAGCTTTTCTTACAGTGCGATAGGGCAGACGGCCTCTCCCTCTTTGACCTCACTTCTGGTGCCTCTCCTGCCCCCGCTGCTGATGCTGACGCCACTGTTCGCTCACAGTGGGCCACGCGCGATGCTACTGCACGTCTTGCTGTGCGTCGCCACCTGCCTACCTCTGAGCGTGCGCACTTTAGCCAGTACAAGAGTGCTCACACCTTGTACGACGCTGTAGTTGCGCGCTACTCCTCCCCTGCCACTGCTGCACTGAGCCGCCTCATGCTACCGTACCTCTTCCCTGACCTTGCTGCCTTTCCCACAGTCGCTGACCTCATTACGCACCTCCGCACTAGTGACACTCGCTACCGCGCTGCGCTTCCTGCTGAGTTCTGCGCCAAGAACCCCCCCCCCCATGTACATCACCCTCTACTACATAGTCACCCGTCTCCCTGACTCCCTTCGCGTAGTCAGGGACCACTTCCTCTCAGTTTGCCCCACCACTCTCACCGTTGACCTCCTCGAGAAGGCCCTCCTAGCAGCAGAAAAGAGCATAGTAGCTGTAGGAGCCTCTCGTGGTGACCCTCGCACCCCCATCTTTGAGGGGTGTTCCCCCTCCCCTCTTTTGCCCTCTGTTGCCTCTGCTGCTGCGGCCGACCTCGTTGGTCTCGAGTCGGTCGGCGCTGCGTCTGCCCCGAGCGGGAGACGCCGCACCGGCAAGGGCAAGGGGGGCAAGGGTGCTGGAGGGGCTGGCGGGGGTGGCGGAGGTAGCGGTGGCGGCAGTGGAGGGGGTGGGGGTGGTGGTGGGAGTGGTGGCGGGGGTGGAGGTGTCGGTGGCGGCAGTGGAGGCGGAGGCGGCGGCGGCGGTGGCGGTGGGAGCGGAGGTGGCGGAGGTGGCGGCGGTGGAGGAGGCGACGGCGGAGGAGGTGGAGCTGGTCGGGGTGGCGCTGGGCAGAGGGTCGGCTCCGGTGGTGGTCAGCGCCAACAGCAGCAGCAGCAGCGACAGCAGCGCACTCGTGACATCCCCCCCCCTCAGCAGCTCCGTGAGTGGTACGCTGCACGCCAGCGGGGTGGGGGTACTGGTCCGTGCACCTACGTCCTACGCACCGGCGACCGCGCGGGTGAGCAGTGCGGGGGTGCGCACTCCACCCAGCGCTGCTTTGGCCGCCTGACGGACGCTTGGTGTCACCAGTTCCCTGAGGCCACTGAGATCCCCCGCTGGGGCGAGCTGTCTAGGGCGGGTGTAGCTGTCTTTGACCTTGAATTTGATGCTATTCTTGCTGCCATGTATGCTGTGACTATTAGTGATGAGGGTGACTGTTACCGGTGTTTTCCGCCCGACCCGGGCATTGAGACTGCTGCTCTAGGTACTGGTGAGGCTGCTGCTCTAGGTGCTAGCGAGGCTGCTGCTCTAGGTGCTCGTGCGTCTGCTCACTCAGGTGCTGGTGAGTCTGCTCTCTCAGGTACTGCGTCGGCTTCGGCCTCCCACACCTTCACCCTTGACTCGGGGGCTTCTCGCTCCTTCTTTCGAGACCGCACCACACTCACGCCGCTTGGCCGGCCAGTTGCAGTCTCTCTGGCAGACCCCTCTGGGGGTCCTGTCCTTGCTCACTTCTCCACTGTCCTCCCGTGTCCGGCGGCCCCCTCTGGCACCCTGTCTGGTCTTTACCTCCCCTCGTTCTCTACGAACTTGGTGAGTGGTGCTGACCTACAGGATGCGGGGGTTCACCAGTTCACTCCTGCGAGTCAGCGGGTGACCCACTGCACGGACGCTCGGACAGGCCGACACCTGGCCACGTTTACACGTCGGCCGGGGTCGAGCCTGTACACACTGACCACTGCGTCTCCTCCAGTCACTGCGTCTGGTCAGGTAGCTGCGTCGGGTCAGGTGTTTGCTGCAGCGTCCAGGTCTGGTCCTGAGTCTGCCCCCTGTTCGTGTCGCCTCCTGTCGCACGAGACTCTCCTCTGGCACCACCGCCTTGGTCACCCCTCCCTGCTTCGTCTCCGAGGCATGGCCTCCCGTGTCCTTGTCTCTGGTCTTCCCCGGTCCCTCCCTCCCCTTCCTCCGGGGCCCGGCCCTACCTGCGTCCCTTGTGTCGAGGGGCGGCAGCGGGCTGCCCCTCACTCCTCCCAGTTTCCTCCGACAGAGGCCCCGCTGCAGACGCTTCACATGGACGTGTGGGGCCCGGCCCGCGTCCGTGGACAGGGTCACGAGCGCTACTTCCTGCTGGTGGTTGACGACTACTCGCGTTACACCACGGTCTTCCCCTTGCGCAGCAAGGGTGATGTCACTGAGGTGTTGATCGACTGGATCCGCGCAGCTCGTCTCCAGCTCAGGCAGAGCTTCGGCTCGGACTTTCCTGTCCTGCGTCTGCACTCTGACAGAGGTGGAGAGTTCTCCTCTGGCCTTCTGCGAGCCTACTGTCGTGCACGAGGCATCCGCCAGACCTTCACGCTTCCGGACTCTCCACAGCAAAATGGGATTGCTGAGCGCCGCATTGGCATGGTCATGGACGTCGCCCGTACGTCCATGATGCATGCGGCTGCCCCCCATTTTCTGTGGCCGTTTGCGGTTCGGTACGCGGCGCATCAGATCGACCTTCACCCCAGGGTCTCCATGCTGGAGACCTCCCCAGCTTTGCGATGGACGGGGAAGGTTGGCGATGCGTCTGCGTTCCGTGTCTGGGGATCTCGGGCGTTTGTCCGCGACTTGTCTGCGGACAAGCTGTCCCCTCGTGCTGCTCCTTGCGTCTTCCTTGGCTTCCCCCCTGACGCGCCAGGGTGGCAGTTCTACCACCCCACCTCTCGCCGTGTTCTGTCCTCCCAGGACGTCACGTTTGACGAGTCGGTCCCCTACTACCGCCTCTTCCCCTACCGCACTCCGTCCCTCCCCCCGCCACCGCTCTTCCTTGTGCCAGGTCCCCCCCCGGTAGACCCCCTCCCCCCTCAGGGTCCTGCCCCTTCAGGTGTGTCCCAGGTAGACGCAGTCGAGCCTGTCGAGGTTACTGGTGACTCTGGTGCTGCTGAGGGTGCTGAGCCTGGGGGTGCTGACTCTGGGGGTGCTGAGCGTGTGGGTGCTACGCCTGGGGGTGCTGAGCCTGAGGGTGCTACTACTGGGGGTGCTGAGCCTGGGGGTGCTGAGCCTGGGGGTGCTACTACTGGGGGTGCTGAGCCTGGGGGTGCTGAGCCTGGGGGTGCTACGCCTTGGGGTGCTGTGCCTGAGGGAGCTGGGCCAACTCGTGTGGCGTCTGGCGGTGCTGAGCCTGGAGGTTCTCCGGGTGCTTCGTCTCGGCGGGAGCCACTCTCTCCACAGGAGCTGCGAGAGTGGTTTGCCCGACGCTGGAGGCGTGCTGCTGGAGCTGGCGGTTCTTCGACTGCTGCGGGTGCTGGTGCCGCGGGTCCCGGAGGTGCTCGTACTGGGAGTACTGGAGCTGCTGGGCCTGCGGGTACGACTGGAGCTGGAGCTGCTGAGGGTGTTGGCGCTGAGGCTACTGCTGTCGGTCCTGGAGGCGGTCCTGCTGGGGGTGCTCCTGGTGCTGCTGGAGGTACTGGAGCTGGAGGTGCTGCTGGCGCTGGTGCTGCCGCTGGGGGTACTGGTGCTGTCCCTGCTGTGTCTGGAGTCGCCGCGCGGCCTCGGCCGTACTTCGTTCCGCTCCTTCAGCAGGTTCTTGGTCTCCCGCCTTCTACTGGTCCTCCTCCTCCCTTAGAGTGTCCACAGCCTGTCCCGTCCCAGTTACAGTTACAGCCGGCCTTCACACTGCCCGCTCCTTCTCCCTACACTGGTCCTACTGGAGGTCTGGCTGAGCGTCGTGAGCCTGCGTCTCGCCCTGCGTCGCCTGTCCGTCTTGCTCGCACTAGTGGCCGTGGTTCGCGTCAACGTCCTCCTCCTGTCCCTGGCACGCACCGGATGTCTCTGCGTCCGTCCACTGCTCCTCTGCGTGCCCCTTTGCCTTCTCCTCCTGAGTCCTCTCTTCCTGCTCTTCCCGACCCGGAGTCGGACTCTCTTCGTGCTGCCAGTCCTACTGTCACGCGTCTCCTTGCTACTGTCGTCACTGACCCTTCCTTTGAGTCCACTGCTGCGTCTGCCCTAGTTGCTGAGCTCGTCGACTTTGCTGCTCGCTGTCGTCTAGACTACGCTGCTAGTCTTGTCGTTGCGTCTGAGTCTGTCTGTCCTCCGTCCGTCGGGGGTGAGTGTGCCCTTGGCACGGACGTCCTTGAGGACAGGCAGGAGGAGTTCCAGTGTTTGGCTGCTGCTTCACCTCATCTCGTGTCCGTACTGCTTACCCCTGAGGGAGACCCGGATGCACTTGACATCCCGACTCCGCGCTCTTACGCGGAGGCGATAGAGGGTCCCTACTCCTCTCAGTGGCAGGCAGCTATGGACACAGAGATGGCTTCCTGGAAGTCCACAGGCACCTACGTTGACGAGGTTCCCCCGCCTGGGGCGAACATCGTCAGTGGCATGTGGATTTTCAGGGTGAAGCGACTGCCGGGTTCTCCGCCTGTCTTCAAGGCACGTTACGTGGCTCGTGGCTTCAGTCAGCGGCAGGGAGTTGACTACTTTCAGACCTTCTCTTCCACCCCGAAGATGACCACTCTTCGGGTACTGCTGCACATAGCTGCTCACCGCGACTACGAGCTGCACTCTCTTGACTTCAGCACTGCTTTCTTGCAGGGCAGCCTGCACGAGGAGATCTGGCTGCGTCGCCCACCTGGCTTCACTGGGTCTTTTCCTCCTGGCACCTAGTGGAGCCTCCGGCGGCCAGTCTACGGTCTCCGCCAGGCACCGCGTGAGTGGCACGACACACTGAGGACTACACTTGCGGCTCTTGGGTTTGCTCCCTCTACTGCCGACCCGTCGCTGTTTCTGCGCACCGACACTTCTTTGCCGCCGTTCTACATCCTCGTGTACGTCGACGACTTGGTCTTTGCCACAGCTGACACTGCTGGACTCGCCCACGTGAAGTCCAAGCTGCAGAAGAGACACACGTGCACAGACCTGGGTGAACTGCGCAGCTACCTTGGCTTGCAGATCACCCGGGACAGAGCACGCCGCACCATTACCCTGACTCAGTCACACATGGTGCAGCAGGTCCTTCAGCGCTTCGGCTTCACGTACTCCTCGCCTCAGGCCACTCCTCTGCCTACTCGCCACTCGCTCTCAGCTCTGCCTTCGGATGAGTCCGTAGAGTCGAGTGACCCGTACCCAGAGCTTGTGGGCTGCCTCATGTACCTGATGACCTGCACACGACCTGACCTCGCATACCCTCTTAGCATTCTCGCACGCTATGTTGCTCCTGGGAGACACAGACCGGAGCACATGGCTGCAGCGAAGAGGGTGTTGCGTTACTTGTGCAGTACGTCGGGCATGGGGCTTGTGCTTGGAGGGCAGAGTCCAGTGGTCCTCACTGGGCACGCAGACGCTTCTTGGGCTGACGACCAGGCTACGCAGCGGTCGTCACAGGGTTACACCTTCAGCCTTGGTTCCGGCTCTGTTTCGTGGCGGGCTACCCGCTCGTCTTCTGTTCTCGGCTCCAGTTGTGAGGCTGAGATCTACGCCGGGGCCATGGCTGCACAGGAGCTTCGCTGGCTCACCTACCTGCTGACTGACCTCGGAGAGCCGCCTCGTTCTCCTCCAGTACTGTACGTAGACAACAAGGCCATGCTGGCCTTGTGTCGAGAGCAGAGACTGGAGCATAGAACGAAGCACATTGCTCTCCGCTACTTCCTTGCTCGTGAGCTACAGCAGCGTGGTCAGCTGCGGCTTGCGTACGTGGCCTCTCAGGCCAACACTGCTGATATCTTCACCAAGGCACTTGCGCCTTGTGATCATCAGCGCTTCTGTACTCAGCTGGGTCTTGTGCCTACCTTGACTCACTTGCTCACCCCTTGACCTTGTTTGTACTGTTGCATATATATATACACCTGCTCTTGCTTGTCTAGCCTTATATATATATGTAATCCTGCATGTGAACTGGCCTTGTCGCCTTGAACTTGTGCTCGGAATGTGTGGTGACTTTGTGATCCACCCTGAGCTTTCTTTGCTGTGCTTGACTGGTCTTGTGACCCCTTGTTCTCCCCCACTTTGCCTATGGGGGTGTGTCAGATTTATATGACATAGCTACTGTAGGCTATAGTGGGGTAGCACATATGGGGTACAGTTTTCTAGGGTTTACATTTGTACCCAACTTTCCCTTAGTCCATCCATTCTCGTTTCTATTCTAACAGCAAAAGTAAAGACCCGTCAGTTGTAAACCAGAGTAAACAGAGAACGAAAGCGTTATGAAATAAACTCACCTCGAAATCTAGGTTAACAATCTTCTGCAGGAGCACAGCATCGGCGAGAGATCCGGCGATGCCAAGAGCCTTCAGGATCTGCGTGTCCTTGGTCTTGCAGTCGGTTTGCAGTGACTCAACAGCCTCACGAGCAATTGCAGCCTGTGCACGAAGGCTCTGATTGACCGGGTTTGGGCCCGATTCAGGATGAAACTCATCGGCCTCTGGACTGGGATTAACGCCCGCCTGCTTCATGGTACAGGCATAGACAGTGAGACCTGCAGGGCAAGGAAGAACGTTGGTGAGTCATCGTCATAGTTTCACACACGAACAGCGCGCAGGTAAAAACTTACCATGTGCGCCGTTCCCCTGTAGCAGTTGCGCAATTACATCCCCGAAGAGCTCGGGCTCTTCTTCCTCATCTGCATCCGCAGTGACAGTAGCTACACCCACGGCGTCAGCATCCGGGTTTGGCGCAGCAGGACTTGGATCAGGATCGGACCCGGAAGGAGCGGCAACGGCAGGAGATGGATCGGAAGCGGCAGGAGCAGGATCGGCAGTGGTAGGAGGTGAATTGTCGGGAGCTGACGGTTTTCCCGCGACGGCAGCTGTCAGCAGGTGTGTCGGCGCCGACCCAGCACCACTCGAATGTGCAGACGCCAAGGTCGGACGTTTGACACCGGTGGCTTGCTCGCCTTGACGCTTGGTGCCGCGCCTGCCAGATTGTGCGCCAGTCATGGCAGCCTCCAGGGAATCACCGTCTGAAATAAACGGGTACAAGGTAGTTAGATCAAACACTAGGTGATACAACCAAGTTTACTTCAAAAGCAAAAACCAGAGAGAGCGCCTACCCTTGGTGGCGAGGAAAAAGGCATGATTGTCCTTGCTCTGGCGTGGCAGTGAAGATCGCAACGGTTCAGCCATCTGCATGCTAGCAGGGACATTAAATGAACGAGAACGGCCCATTATTAACTTATGAAACCTATAAATACTAACCAGGGAAGGATTGTCAAGATGATTGCAACACTCCAGCAAGAAGGCCAATTTATATGAAGGGTTCGAAGGCGCAACGCGTGGGAGAAAATCCCTTACCTTGGGTTGGCATCGCTAAAGCTGGGGGCCTGCTTGGTGGCCCGATTGATGCCTATAACGGTATGTGTGGCGGTAACGGGGGGACGGGTGAGGGAGTTGGCAGTGGTTGATGGGGTGTGGTGTTTGAAGTTTGAAATTTGAAACTTCAGTTCGAACTGTCGAGGGGGATCGCAGAGGGGACGTTGAGGAGGTGGAGGAGGTTGGGATGGAGGAGAAGTCGATCGTGCACCAGTGTGTGGGTACTTGGTGGTTTGGTGCACGTCCGGTCAACCCGCCGAGCTGCCAGGTTCGGCAGCTTACAGATAAGAATCACAGCTGCCTCGGCTGCCGTGAACTACCAGTACTTCTGCCGCATCAGCATGGTCGATGCATGCCATTCCTCATGAATTCGCGCCAGCAAGACACAGCCTCGGAAATTTGTGGTCTTTGCGTGTTGTGTAGGTGTAATTCCGGGCGCGTTAAAAGGTATTGAATATATTTAGGTTATTAGTTTATACCTTGTACCATAATTTCTTTCTAAATATAGAGCACCTTCTATAATGTTTGAATCAGGCTCATGCATGCCACAATTTAGTAATAAAAAGCCAGTATAGTACATCTTACTTCTGTGTACTGGCTTCAAGAAGATCCAGGAAACGAAGAAACTTGGGATGACAAATTCTTCTAAGCTGGCTCCCAAGACCCTACACTCTGATGGATCGTCGCGGTATCCGTATTGGTGCGAAATAGCCCAAACTAGCTTTAGAAGTTAGGAATAGCTTATCCTACCTGGATGTGGCAAACTTATGACTATGTAAACAAAACAAGCGTTGTAACGCTGACTTGTTGCGCACAAGTCCTATCCTTGCACAGTTACTCCTAACATGCGTCACGAGCTGTGTAGTTGTGTGAACGAGGTCAAACCAGTTCCTATGGCTAGGGAATAGCATGCACTAGGGAACTGTGTGAAGAAATGGGGCTAAAAACAACATCCACATGATTAAACGGTGACATGTTGCGCACAAGCCTATCCTTGCACGGATTCATGCCATCAAACGCACAAACATGCGCCACGAGCTGCGTAGTTGTGCGAACGAGATCAAACCAGTTCCTATGGCTAGGGAATAGCATGCATTAGGGAACTGTGTGAAGAAATGGGCTACAAACAACATCCACATGATTAAATGGTGACATGTTGCACACTGGCCTATCCTTGCACGGATTCATGCCATCAAACGCACAAACATGTGCCACGAGTTGCGTAGTTGTGCGAACGAGATCAAACCAGTTCCAATGGCTAGGGAATAGCAAGCACTAGGGAACTGTGTGAAGAAATATAGCTAAAAACAACAACCAGGTGTTCAAACAGTGACATGTTACTTATGGGCCTATCCCTGCACAGATTCTTGCCATCAAACGCACAAACAAGCGTCACGAGCGGCTTAGTTGGGCGAATAAGCTCAAACCAATTCCTATGGCTAGGTAATAGGATGTATTAGTGCTAGGGCTAATTCCTATGGCCAGGGAACTGTGTGAAGAAGTAGTGCTAAAAAAGAACAATTATGTATATGATTGAGGATACATCAACTATTAACAAGCATGTACAACAGTTTCACCACCTAAACTCATTCCATATGAATTTCTCGATCGTTGATGGTGTCACCGGGACATAAGGTACCACATGCAGAACCCTCAGCAAGCTCTCAACATGCACAATTCCATAACCCCTTCCACCTTCCCACCATTGCATGAGGGTCAACGCAGTTGTATCGCTGGGCGGATACCTCCGGTAGTAGCGAAAAAGCGCCACCTGATCAGCATAATGTTGTTCTGATGAGACCCGTACTCAAGTGGTCGGGTTTGACATTGTTGTAGTGACTGTACGATGCAGCGTGAAAATCATGAGTAGCTTGGCAGGCCACACCATCTTCTCGCCTTCGTCGTCGACACCGTCAACTGACACGTCCGAGAACCAGGGAGCCCCGTAAAAGGTCGGGGTAGCGCGCGCATAGGACGGATACCTGCTGTACTATGTGAAATCGTCATCCGGAGGAATCGCCACACCCTTGTGCACCTCAATAACAGTCTCCCAGTCAACCTTTGCACGAGGAGGGTGCTCTTGTTGGCGTTGGAATGCCTTGATTGCGTCTTCAAGGCATTTGAAATCCCCTGGTGCAGCAGCGTTGTAAGACCGCCACAACGTGTTTTGGCGGTCTGTGAAGTCCATCTTTGCGTGTGACCCAGTGACAGCAGGGGATCCAGTCTCTAGTGCCTGTGCAGAAAAAGGGATTTTGGACAACTTGGATAAATTTGTAATTGGTTTTAAGGTTTACAATTTTGTAGAACACACTTACACTATCACATATATTCTCGAAAGGGATGCGGGCATTGTGCTCGGTGGGGTCGACATAGACCCACACGGTGAACAGTTACCCGAGACATGATTTTGATGTCGTTTTCAAAAAAGCGACAGAAATTAGCCCATGTGCACTCGCCATGTTGTTGTGATGCAGCGCTGGAGCCAAACGACACAAGACAAGCGAGCACGTGTTATTCTCGTTGTCGAGAACTGTACAATGAGTTGACATCTCGTGCTGGTGTCCTTTTTGTAACAGCGAGACAGCTCGACCGTTATAGGCGCGTGCAATCTCGCCGCGTTCGGCATGTTTGCGAAATGTTTGCATAATGCCAAACCAAAGCGACACGCGAAACTTAAGAAGGACAATCGTGTACTATTTGCGCCCAGTTAAAAACAATGGACACCTGTGAGCACGAAATCGCCACAATCGAATTGACAACGTGCACATGAATAGACACTCCTAAAACAGTAAAACATAATGGAATGAAAGATGCCCTGGAATTATAAACATTCACCACACAACACAAAACATAAGGGCGCGTGTGATCTTTGGATTTTTGTCTAAGTTTGAACTCAAACCGCTTTGTGTTAAGAATGAGGAATGAATGAATTAGGAAACAGGTGGGTACAAGTAGGAAAACCTAGAAGTGTTGTACCCCATATTGTCTACCCCACTACAGCCTACACAGACTATAGCATATGAGGTTGACACACCCCCATAGGCAAAGTGGGGGAGAACAAGAGGTCACAAGACCAGTCAAGCAAAGCAAAGCAAGCTCAGGGTGGATCACAATGTCACCACACAATCCGAGCACAAGAGCAAGGCCAAAAGGCCAGTTCACATGCAAGATCATATATAAAGGTAAACAGGCAAGTGCAGGTATAGAAAGATCACAGTACAAGTAAGGTCAAGAAGTGAGCAAGTGAGGCCAAGTAGGCACAAGACCTAGCATCGTACAGAAGCGCTGATGATCACCAGGCGGAAGTGCCTTGATAAAGATATCAGCAGTGTTGGCCTCAGAGGCCACGTAAGCAAGGCGCAGCTGACCACGCTGCTGCAGCTCACGAGCAAGGAAGTAGCGAAGAGCAATGTGCTTCGTTCTGTGCTCCAGTCTGTGCTCCCGACACAAGGCCAGCATGGCCTTGTTGTCTACGTACAGAACTGGAGGAGAACGAGGCGGCTCTCCTAGGTCAGTCAGCAGGTAGGTGAGCCAGCGTAGCTCCTGTGCAGCCATGGCCCCCGCGTAGATCTCAGCCTCACAGCTGGAGCCGAGAACAGAGGACGAGCGGGTAGACCGCCACGAAACAGAACCGGAGCCAAGGCTGAAGGTGTAACCCTGTGACGACCGCTGCGTAGCCTGGTCGTCAGCCCAAGAAGCGTCTGCGTGACCTGTGAGGACCACTCGACGTCGCCCTCCGAGCACTAGCCCCATGCCCGACGTACTGCACAAGTAGCGCAACACCCTCTTCGCTGCAGCCATGTGCTCTGGTCGGTGTCTCCCAGGAGCAACATAGCGTGCCAAGATGCTAAGAGGGTATGCAAGGTCAGGTCGTGTGCAGGTCATCAGGTACATGAGGCAGCCAACAAGCTCTGGGTACGGGCCACTCGGCTCTACGGACTCATCCGAAGGCAGAGCTGAGAGCGAGTGGCGAGTAGACAGAGGAGTGGCCTGAGGCGAGGAGTACGTGAAGTCGAAGCGCTGAAGGACCTGCTGCACCATGTGTGACTGAGTCAGGGTAATGGTGCGCTGTGCTCTGTCCCGGGTGATCTGCAAGCCAAGGTAGCTGCGCAGTTCACCCAGGTCTGTGCACGTGTGTCTCTTCTGCAGCTCGGACTTCACGTGGGCGAGTCCAGCAGTGTCAGCAGTGGCAAAGACCAAGTCGTTGACGTACACGAGGATGTAGAACGGCGGCAGAGAGGTGTCGGTGCGCAGAAACAGCGACGGGTCGGCTGTAGAAGGAGCAAACCCAAGAGCCGCAAGTGTAGTCCTCAGTGTGTCGTGCCACTCACGGGGCGCCTGGCGGAGACCGTAGACTGGCCGCCGGAGGCTCCAATGGGTACCAGGAGGAAACGACCCAGTGAAGCCAGGTGGGCGGCGCAGCCAGATCTCCTCGTGAAGGCTGCCCTGCAGCCTTATATTAGTGTTGAATTATATTGCATATCCTGTTATAACTGCCTACAGCTTGCTAGTGTATTAGTTAGATATTAGGTTCAACTGCTGGTGGTGTACCCTTTTCCCCTTCCTCTCCTTCCTATTTGTACTCCCAACTTCATAATGAAAGTCTCTCTTTTGGCCAAACTTCTCCCTCCATGATTCTCCTTACTAAACCTCTCCTAAACCTAAGTACTGCATAATCTCCTAATCTTAACATTTCGTCCCCGGGCAAACATCCCGGCCCATGCCATTCCATCGCCATTCACCCTTTTCACGGTGAATCGCGATGGATGGCGGCGTGATTGGGGATCGTGCGGACGCAAGAATTGACTGATGGACGAACACAATCCTGCCCAATTCTTTCCAAATCAGACAGACCATTCGGGAAAACAGTTTACCTTCAAATAGTTCACCCAAGGAAGAGATACGTGAAAAATGAATATTGTGCTAGACACATTTGCATTCACCATGTTAACATATACAATGTGAAAATGAATGTTGGTTAACGTAGCACAATTAAGTGCAGGTGTGGCATTAGTGATGCCCATTGCCCCATTTCATCCATTCATCCATCCTTCCAACCAACCCACCCACATGATTGTCCAAAATCCTGAACGCTGTGGCATAAGCTGGGATCAAGCTCAAATTTCTAAAGGCTGTCTAAACGGAATTGGAGCACTGCAACAATCTCCCAATGCTAAGTGTATGCTGACGTGCACAACTTATCAAGGGTTTAGTGAGAAAGAGCAGCTGATGATCATAGAGTCGAATGCCCCCACCCGCGTGGCTGGCCATCAGTCCATGACGATCTTCTTGGATTCGGGCATCTCCAACGGCTCAACGGACCTGAACGAATGTGATACAATGTGCGTAAAAGCATTCCCAGAAGTTTGTTGGGTCATTCTGCTAATTCAAGGCAGCAAGGCACGTGGAAGGGGCTCAGGGCGACTCTTTCCTTTCCGTCAAGTGTGGGGTTCAGATAAACAGAATGGGTGAAAGAGTCTTAAATAAGATGGAGGGCACGCGTATTCCACCCATAATCCACAGCTGAACCGCGCCCGAGCGACACGCAAGCTACAGCGGACCATGCGCAAGCCACACGCACCTCTCTTGGAGCTGCTCCTCGCCGGCATCAGGGTCGTAGTTGGGGTCGTTCTTATCCAGAGCGGCCGCCACGGGCTCGAACTCCGCTCCAACATTTCCCCACGTGTGCTTCCCTCCGCCCCCCCCTAAGAAAGGCAGGGTCAGAAATAAGCGAAGTCAAATTCTACATCCGTTAAAAAGAGCTCGGGTGGCCGTCGAGGAACAAATGAATTGACGACACGCTTTATAAAATTGAAATGCGATTCTTCCATTGAGAAGAGAACATATTTGTAAGTGATTCACTGAGTAAATACCTTTTTTGGGATCTCCGCGAACTCCAGTTCCTACACAGGACACGGACGAGAAGTATAGAAGACAGGAGATTAACAACCGTCAGTGCACAGAAATAACAATCACAGCTATTCTTCGGTTTTTTGTATATATACGTATTTCCCAGAAATATATCCCAGCGAATCCGTACCAGAATGGCGTTCCATCCGCTCTATCCCTTTCTGCACGTTCTTCTTGTGCTCATTCTCCTGCTGATGGCTCTCGTGATGGTGAGCAGGCTTCATGGTTCCAGGGTTAACGGCTTGAACCTAATACAGAGAGAACCGTTTACCGAGAGTCGCCTATACGCTCGTCTAGTCCTAGCCTGGAAATCGAACAGAGCCTAATGAAGATGGAATATGCTGTGCAATGAATGAGATAGGAGCTAGCTGTGTTCTTGGTGCTGAAAAATGTCTCAGAAAAATATGTCGGATTCCCCCCTTATTTCTCTGCTGGAGATTTGCGAGGTGAAAAGAAAATCTGGCAGGTTGAGCGGGATTGCAGGGCCCCACATGCTGCACATTGTTGACACATGTGATGGGGCTTGCCAGCATCAGGTTGATGTAACTAGGTTTGATCTGGCGTCATGCCACGTCTGTTTCAAAGAAAACTGCACACATGGCGCTCTGAGAGCTAGTGTTTGTGTTGCGTCAGCAGGAGTGGCAGAGTCAGCAGGTGACACGGTCGCCAACACCAGTATGGTGACTCAAGTGTTCTACCTAGTGTGCTGGCGACCACGTGAGCCGTCTTGTCAGAATCTGCTCCGATATACTGCTGCTCCATGACTCACATACAGTGTGCAATCACATGAACAAACTTCGCACTAAAGCCATCTGATAGCAAAAGTCAAGTTTTTATTCCTAGCTACTGAAATGTAAGTTGCCTCATTGCTTCACTACCAGGACCTGTATCGAACTCGCAATCGACAAAAGCAGTGCTGTGCTTGGGAGGAATTCTGCTGGCGCCAATCACCCCATTGCTGGCTCGTGTTGGACAACTGCCTGCCACGGCTGGATCACTGGTCGTAACTCATCCCCGCTGATGCATCGACACGTCACAACAGGCTCCCCAAACCACAGGGAGCAAAGCGAAGCCCCCATGAGTAGTTACCACCCACACTCTTCAGTTTCGCTTCACGGACAGTTTTGCTGCAATATTCGGTTCGGTGATTCGTTGGCGATGTCTCGACTTACAGGTGGTAGCATGTCGTCCCACATGTCACACGCCAGCGTCCTCGCGCGGGGGAATCGGGGAAGGAGCAACAGGTGCTGGGGCTTCCAGCTTGCCATTGCTCAACCTGCCAGCCAGACCGAAGGCGCCGCCGTCTTGTTCAGCCAGTCACAAACCTGGGAAGCTCAATGCAATATCTTAACCGTTGAAGATTTCAGAGGATCCCCTGAACTTCAATCCTGCGGCAGAGGTGCAAGGATTAGGATTTGCTGCCCAAGACCTAGTGGCCACGAGTGTGCGCCACGCGATTCCACTTTGAGAATCTCCTCTCCTCCCACCACCGCAGAACCGAACTCCACATGCCCAACTAGGGAGACCTACACTGCACAGCACATCCCTCCGAAGATTTCATGACACTGACTGGACGCTCCTCTGACCACCACCGGCAGCTCCATAAACTCCTCTTGCCGCTTCCTGCCGATCATTGTTATCGCCCGCTCTTGAGGAATTACCATATCTCTTGACGTAACTGTCCGTGTCCAGTAAGACTGCATCGTAAGACTTAGTAATCTTCATCTATGGTCGGCCTCATGGCTAGTTCAAATCAAGAAGGTTCGGAGTGGCGTGCTAATGGCACATCCGAGAAAGGCACTATTTTGGTAACTGGTGGCGCAGGATACATTGGAAGCCATACCTGCGTCCAACTATTAGAGGAGGGCTATAGGTAATGCACACAGGACATCAGGACCTTGTGGGAATTGCAGCAAACCGTTGCGTCTTGAGTCCTCAGGACTCAGTTTTCGGAATCCTGCACTTCAAGAATGTAACCAGGAACGTCAATAGGCAGTGTTCCAAGCTAGTTCGACGCCTGATAGAAGTTCCAAACCATTTTGGTGCTATTCAGCTGTCTGACGCGGTTTGATGCGGTGCGCTTGTGTCGTGTAGGGTAGTGGTTGTGGACAACCTCGATAACTCCTCCGAAGAAGCTATCACTCGCGTCGTAGAGCTGACCGGCAACAAGGGAAGAAATCTGACCTTCTTCAAGGTAGGACGGTTACTTTCACTCCGCTGTCATGCTTTCCAACTCGCGACTCGCCTTGCGCCGTCGATTCGTCCGACCAGCAGAGCTGTGTATCGGCGTTTGAGACGTCTCGAATGTCGTAGAGCTAACTGTCGGTTCGGGTTGCTCATGCGTGTTCGTGCGTGCGCAGGTTGATCTGTTGGACCGTCCTCTTCTGGAGGAGGTGTTCAAGCACACTGCGTGAGTCCGCGATCCCAGCGCGAGCATCGAGATCCCTCTTACATTCAGCATCCTTGTCCAGGCATTGACTACAGCCGTTTTGTGTTGCAAATCTTTTGCTGCGACGGCCTTCGCGTCTCCTGTTTTTTTACATTCGTTTCTGGCCATGACTTCCTTTTCGTTTCATTTCCTAACAATCTTCCATCTCTCAGTTTCGACGCCGTGATTCACTTCGCGGGGCTCAAGGCGGTGGGCGAGAGCGTGCAGCAGCCGCTACGGTACTACCACAACAACATCACGGGCACCATCGTGCTGCTAGAGCTCATGGCGCAGTACGGCTGTAGCAAGGCAAGCTCATGGCGCAGTACGGCTGTAGCAAGGTGAGCTCATGGCGCAGTATGGCTGTAGCAAGGTGAGCTCATGGCGCAGTACGGCTGTAGCAAGGCGAGCTCATGGCGCAGTAAGGCTGTAGCAAGGTGAGCTCATGGCGCAGTACGGCTGTAGCAAGGTGAGCTCGTGGCGCAGTACGGCTGTAGCAAGGTGAAATGAACGTGCAGAATTGCCGCTTTTTTACTGTAACAGATATATTCAACCAAAGGATCACTTTACCACAAGAAGAGTGTCGTTTGTGACTCTCCGACCCGATTCCATGGATATGCAGGAGGTGTCTCATATGTGGTTGAATCGGGTGCGACTCCCCATCCCGTTCCCATGGCTGTGCGTGCAGATAGTGTTCTCATCATCCGCCACGGTGTACGGCCAACCCAAGAGGGTGCCTTGCACAGAGGAGGACGAGCTGCAGACGCTCAACCCATACGGCCGAACCAAAGTGAGTCCAGACACTCCCCTCCGTGACATAATCTGACTTCAATAAAAGAACCGCGCACGGAGCAGGACGAGCAGCGAACGCTGGACCCAAATGGCTGAACCAAGGTGTGCTCCGTCCCTCACTTTCTGCGCACGTCGCACCTGTACAAGTGCGCACTTGCTGCCCGTGCCCCGTCACCCCTTGCCCGTCACTGCCTTCCCTCACCCCCTTGCACGCCCCGCGTTCCGTTCTCTGGCGTTTTGCTGCACTTAGAGAACATCCTGCAGGACATGCAGGCAGCGTCGCCAGGTTTCGTAGCTGACTCGACATGCAGGCGGCGTCACCGGGGTGGCAGGTTTCTGAGTCTTGACTCGACCCCGCCTTCCTGTTGCCTGCGCCCCTCCCCCACTCTCCCTTGTTCAGCTGTACATAGAGAACATGCTGCGGGACATGCAGGCGGCGTCAGCGGGGTGGCAGGTGCTGCTGCTGCGCTACTTCAACCCCGTGGGCGCGCACCCCTCGGGGCGCATAGGCGAGGACCCCCAGGGCATCCCCAACAACCTCATGCCCTTCATCCAGCAGGTCGCCGTGGGCCGCCGCCCCTTCCTCTCCGTGTTTGGGGATGACTATCCCACGCGCGATGGCACAGGGGTGAGTGGGGGGATGAGGGTGGGAGTGATGGTGAGTGAGGGGGTGGTGAGGGTGAGAGGCATAGACGCAGGGTCTGGTCTGAGAATGGATATCTGAGCAAGGATGGCGCTGGGATAAGTGGAGCGAGGTTGTGTGTGGTGGATTGATACATGAGGTGCAGAGGAATTGGAGGTGGAGAAAGTTAATCAGAAAAGTATTGTTTGTCGCTCCTTTGCTCCCTTGGTCCATCATCACCTGATTTCATCCCTGCAAACCTCCACCTTCTGCCATTCCCCTCCACACAACCCGCCAGGTGCGGGATTACATCCACGTCATGGACCTTGCAGCAGGCCACACGGCAGCACTTGGCAAGATCTTCACCACGCCCTCCCTCACCTGCGACGTCTACAACCTCGGCACGGGCCGCGGCCAGTCCGTGCTGGAGATGGTAGCAGGCTTTGAGAAGGCCTCAGGCAGGGAGATTCCAGTCAAGATGTGCCCCAGGCGACCCGGTGACTGCTCGGAGGTGTATGCGCTGACGGATAAGGCTGAGAGGGAGCTGAAATGGCGGGCGGGTTTGACTTTGGATGACATGTGCCGGGATCAATGGAACTGGGCTAGGGATAACCCGTGGGGGTATTCGAGCCCGCCTGAGGAGGCGCAAGGGGAGCGGGTAGTGGTTGTGGAGGGGGAAGGAGAGGGTAAAGGCGGAAAGTCAGAGGCGGCTAAGGGGAGTCCTGTGAGTGAGCCACGCACACCGCCACTCCTGCCGGCCAGTCCTGAGACGAAGGTGAATTCGAGCGAATCTGCGACAAGCTCGGCGGGGTCTGCTCCTTCGCCTTGTGTGCTGGATTCCACGCCTCCTGTCGTGGCACACAAGGGGTCACTTGTTCGCGCTGGGTCTGGGTCGAGTGTGGACTCGTTAGAAGAGCTGACTCAACTGGGGGGTTCTCAAGCAGTGGCGTGATTCTGTTAGAGTTGTGTTCTGCTGTGAGGGGTTTTATACGGTTGGATTATGATTTGTGGTGTTAAGTTCCTGCACAGTTTTGCTAGTTTGGCTGGTGTTATGCTTGGTACGACATATTTTGGTGTAACTTATGCTGAAAATACTTATACTGTTGGATCAAGTGGTGTAGTCTTCAGCATTATTCAGCACTAATCCGCTGTGCTCAGGCTTGTCGTAGTTGCTGTTGCATCGTCATCACGGATTGTCTGGACAAGGTCTGAAGCTCTGCGCCTCTGCCGTTTCTTGACGTCAGCACGGGCTTCGGATCTGAGCCAATCATGCGTCTGGCATCTGCCTACCGCCGTTCCGCGTCCAAGCCTACGCGTAGCGCCTCGAAGAATTCCGCCCAATCCGCCGTTAGTCCGCCAAGGCTGATCCCCGCACGCGTAAACCGCCGCTAGCGAGCCGAATCGAGCACCAGCCTGTCAGCGTGCCGGCGAGTCCACGCATCCACGTGTCCACGTGTCGTGCCATGGACACGTACACGCAGGCGCTCAAGGTTCTCTCTCTCGAACGCGCCGCTTTCCCCGATGCTAGCGCGTCCGCCACCGCTTCCCCTCACCCCGCGGAAAGCGCCCGTCAGGGTTCACTTCCCGGGCATTGGCGGCGCAGGAGGGGCGGAAGGACTTCCGCGCGCGGGGGACGGGGGGAGGCGTCTGGCGGAAAGCGCGCGCACAGGAGCCAGTCGGAGAAGAAGCCGCAAGCGAACCTGATGCCTCCGCTTTCCCCCATCTCCCCAACCTCCGCGCGTGCTGCGGACGTAACCCCCATACGCGGACACCCGGTCAGCGCTTTGCGCACAGAAACGCCCCCAGGAAGCGCCGTCGCGGCGTTATCGGCGCAAGAAGTATCCCCCGCTGCTGCGGCGGCGGAGGGGGCTCTAGACGGCAGGCGGCGGCGGCAGCGGCTCATAGGACGGCAGATTGCATGGGCGGCGGCTCCCGCGGAAGGGGAACTTTCTCCTTCCGCTGGTTGCAGGGAGACAGGGATGGGGGGAAGAGTGGGGGAGGCGCGGGGGGAGGCGCACGAAGAAGCAGACGTGGTGGAGGTGGTCGGGGGAGGGAGGGAATGGGAGACGGGGAGCGGAGGTGCGGAGGCGGGGGGAGAGAGTGGGAGTGTCAATTTGATTAAGGGCAAAAAGGATGGGCGAATGGGGGAGCAGAGGGGGGAGCAGAGGGGCCGGGTAAGTGGCGGAAAGGGGCTAAGAGCGTGGGAGGTGGCGGGGGGAGATGGTCAGCGGGCGGGGGAGAGGGCCGCAGGTCGAGCAGGGGGAACAGAAGGCAGGATAGGGGGGGACTGCGAAGAGAGTAAGGACGGGGGGAGCGCGGATGAAGGGAAGGAGGAAGAGGAGGGAGAGGAGGACGATGAGGAGGAGGAGGAGGAAGAGGAGGAGGAGGAGGAGGAAGAGGAGGAGGAGGAGGAAGAGGAGGAGGAGGAGGAGGAAGAGGAGGAGGAGGAACCGGAGGAGGAGGAAGGGGAGGAAGGGGAAAAGCAGGAGGGGGTGGGTGGTGTGGGGAGAGCAGGGAAGCAGCCGAGCGGACAGGCGGCAGCAGAGGCACAGTTGCTTGTGAGTGACCCGAGACAGGCTTCTAGTCAACACCTGTCAGTGGGAGGAGCATCAGCACAAGCAGAACCGGTGCAAGCAGCATCAGCACAGCAGCCCTTGACGATACACTCTCAGCCGCTACAAAGGGAGCAAAAGGAGGAGGACGGGGGAGCAGTGGCGGCTATTGAGGCGAATCAAGAGGCTGCAGGGGAATGTGCGTCACAGCAGCCATGGGAGGCACCCTCCAGCACGCACGGCGCAGCAGAGGCGTGTGGTGCTGGTGTAGGGGGTGGTGGTGTGGGCGGTGCTGCTGTGGGCGGTTCTGATGGTTGCAGCCCATGCCGTGACTCCATGGTTAAGCAGGAGCATGTGCATGTGTCGCCTGATGAGGATGGGGATGGGCACGGGCACGGGCGTGGGAACAGGCATGGGCATGGGCATGGGCATGGGCATGGGCGTGGGAACAGGCATGGGCATGGGCACGGGCGTGGGAACAGGGATGGGCATGGGCATGGGCATGGGCGTGGGAACAGGGATGGGCATGGGCATGGGCATGGGCATGGGCGTGGGAACAGGCATGGGCATGGGCACGGGCGTGGGAACAGGGATGGGCATGGGCATGGGCATGGGCATGGGCATGGGCGTGGGAACAGGCATGGGCATGGGCACGGGCGTGGGAACAGGGATGGGCATGGGCATGGGCATGGGCGTGGGAACAGGGATGGGCATGGGCATGGGCATGGGCATGGGCGTGGGAACAGGCATGGGCATGGGCACGGGCGTGGGAACAGGGATGGGCATGGGCATGGGCATGGGCATGGGCATGGGCGTGGGAACAGGCATGGGCATGGGCACGGGCGTGGGAACAGGGATGGGCATGGGCATGGGCATGGGCGTGGGAACAGGGATGGGCATGGGCATGGGCATGGGCATGGGCGTGGGAACAGGCATGGGCATGGGCACGGGCGTGGGAACAGGGATGGGCATGGGCATGGGCATGGGCATGGGCATGGGCGTGGGAACAGGCATGGGCATGGGCACGGGCGTGGGAACAGGGATGGGCATGGGCATGGGCATGGGCGTGGGAACAGGGATGGGCATGGGCATGGGCATGGGCATGGGCGTGGGAACAGGCATGGGCATGGGCACGGGCGTGGGAACAGGGATGGGCATGGGCATGGGCATGGGCATGGGCATGGGCGTGGGAACAGGCATGGGCATGGGCACGGGCGTGGGAACAGGGATGGGCATGGGCATGGGCATGGGCGTGGGAACAGGGATGGGCATGGGCATGGGCATGGGCATGGGCGTGGGAACAGGCATGGGCATGGGCACGGGCGTGGGAACAGGGATGGGCATGGGCATGGGCATGGGCATGGGCATGGGCGTGGGAACAGGCATGGGCATGGGCACGGGCGTGGGAACAGGGATGGGCATGGGCATGGGCATGGGCGTGGGAACAGGGATGGGCATGGGCATGGGCATGGGCATGGGCGTGGGAACAGGCATGGGCATGGGCACGGGCGTGGGAACAGGGATGGGCATGGGCATGGGCATGGGCATGGGCATGGGCGTGGGAACAGGCATGGGCATGGGCACGGGCGTGGGAACAGGGATGGGCATGGGCATGGGCATGGGCGTGGGAACAGGGATGGGCATGGGCATGGGCATGGGCATGGGCGTGGGAACAGGCATGGGCATGGGCACGGGCGTGGGAACAGGGATGGGCATGGGCATGGGCATGGGCATGGGCATGGGCGTGGGAACAGGCATGGGCATGGGCACGGGCGTGGGAACAGGGATGGGCATGGGCATGGGCATGGGCGTGGGAACAGGGATGGGCATGGGCATGGGCATGGGCATGGGCGTGGGAACAGGCATGGGCATGGGCACGGGCGTGGGAACAGGGATGGGCATGGGCATGGGCATGGGCATGGGCATGGGCGTGGGAACAGGCATGGGCATGGGCACGGGCGTGGGAACAGGGATGGGCATGGGCATGGGCATGGGCGTGGGAACAGGGATGGGCATGGGCATGGGCATGGGCATGGGCGTGGGAACAGGCATGGGCATGGGCATGGGCATGGGCGTGGGAACAGGCATGGGCATGAGAAGAACGAACCTCATGTGTCTCATAGGACAATTCATCAGCAGCAGGCAACCAGTGCCCCTCGCTCCTCCTCCCACCCATCACCCATGACACACTCCCAACCGCCACCACACACACCGCACACACAGCGCCCACCACAACCACTGCTGCCGCCACAGCAGCAACAGATATCACAGCAGCAGCAGCCACAATCACAGCAGCATCAACAGCTGGCTGTCCCCAGCCCCGCTGCTGCTGCTGTGGCCACTCCAAGGCCGCGGCCAAGCGAGGGCTTCTGGGCCCACGTGGAGGGCTTCTTCCGCCCTGTCACCACTGCTGACGTGGCGCTGCTCTCCCCTGCTGCTTACGTGGCACACTTCAGCCGCATCACGGAGCGAGATCCCGCCTTTGCCCTGCCCCCTGCAGGCCACCGCCCCCGCTTAGACCACCACTCAGTGCTGACCTCAAAGGGGCGCGCACAGGAAGGGGGGGCACATGCAGTGATGGCAGTGGTGCCACGGCAGGGGGGGAAACAGGGGCTTGTGAAGGGGGAGGGGACGTGGAGGGGGGATGGAGTAGGAGATGGGCGTTTGGGGGAACAGGGGGGTGAGAGAAGGGCGGGGGAGGATGGGCAGGGGGGAGCGGGGCGAGAGGGGGGACAGGCGGGAATGCAGCTGCAGGGGCAGCAGTTGCAGCAGCAGCAGGGGGAGCAGCAACAGCGAGGCCAGCAGCAGCCGCAGAAGCGGAGGAGGCAGAGGCAGCAGGGAGGGGCAGTGAGGGCTGGGGGGAGCGACAGACAGCTGCGGAAGAGGAGGGGGGGGCAGGTGGGGGAGGGAGGGGATGGTGCTGCTGCAGGGGCCAGGGCTGGGGTGAGTGACGGTGCAGTGAGTAGTGGCGTTAGGGTGGGTGGTGGCGATGTGACCGTGGTGGTGCCTGGGAGTAAGAGGCGGCGCACACGACTGGGTGGCGGTGGGGGTGGTGGGGGTGCTGGTGTTGCTGGTGTTACTGCTGCTAGTGCTGGTGGCAGTGGCAGTGGCGGTGTTGCTGGTACTGGTGCAGCTACTAGTGATAGGCATTCTGGCTCGCTTGCTGCCAACACAGGAGCACATAGTCAGATGCACGTGGGAGCATCTTGTGCTGCTGCTGACTGCACTGCTAGTGACGCTACTGCTGCTGCTGCTTCTGCTGGCTGTGCTGTTAGTTGCGCTGCTGCTGCTGCTGCTGCTGCTGCTGACTGTGTCGCCACGACTGCGGTGGCTTTAGCTGGTATTTCCAAGAATGCCATGGGGAGTGATGCCGGTGGGACTCACGATTGCAGTGTGGATGCTGGTGGGGCACGTGGCGATGCTGCTGGCGCTGCTGTTCACCCTGTAGCCGTACCTCTTGCTCCTGGTGCTGCCGGTGCCATCACCACTGCTGCTGCTCCTGCCTCTGCTGCGGCGGCTGCTGTTCCTGCTGCTGATATTGCTGCTCTAGCTGTGTGTGATCCGCCAGCGAGAGGGAGAGGGGGGAGGAAGGCAGGGCGAGGAAGGCCCAGGGGAGCAGCAGCAAGAGCAGAGAAGGAGGAGGGGATGCTGGTGACGCTTGTGTCTCCCCCACTTTCGCAGGCAATCTCTCAGGCCGCGGGAAGGGGGAGGCAGGGGGGAGGGAAGGGAGCAGAGGGGGGAGCGGAGGAGGAGGAGGGGGGAGGGGATGGGGAGGCGTGTGACGTGTGTTGCCAGACAGACAGTGACGATGCAAACCCCATTGTGTTCTGCGATGGCTGTGACGTGGCTGTGCACTGCCAGTGCTACGGCATCCCCCCTGCTGCCCTGCTGCCCGTGGGGGGAGAGGAACGGACGAGAGAAAAAGGGGAGGGAGAGCCGGAGCAGGGAGGGGGGGAGCACAGTAGGGATGACGAGGAGGAGGAGGCAAGTCTGCCATGGCTGTGTGCGCGGTGCAGCAGCAGCCGGCCCGCTGAGGTGCGCTGTGCGCTCTGCCCTGTGCTCTCCGGTGCCTTCAAACCCGCTCTCCCTGGCGCCCCTCCCACTGCTTTCCTGGAACCCGCTGCAGCAGCTGTGCCAGCACCAGCCGCGTCAGAACCAGCCGCGTCAGCACCAGCTGCGTCCCCAGCAAGATTTGCAGCACCAGCACCCTCGCTAGATGCGTGTGGGTTGATGGCGCAGCAAGGCGAGGAGAGGCATGAGGTGGTGGCATCAGAGCAGCAATGCGGGGAGCACCAACAGAGGCAGCAGCAGCTGCAGGACGAGCAGCAGGATGAGCTATTCGCGCATCTGTTCTGCAGCCAGTGGGTGCCAGAGACATATGTGGGCGATCCAGAGAGCATGCAGCCCGTGTGCAACGTGGGGGGGGTCAGCCAGGAGCGCCGCCGCATGCTGTGCTGCCTGTGCCGCTTCAAGGAGGGTACCTGCATCCAATGCAGTCACGGTGGGTTGATAGAAGCATTTAACTCTGCCATGGTGCGTTGAAGTGCAGCCATAATGGGTTGAATCAGCGCTGTGCTGTGCTTTGAGTGCTTGTGTGGTTGAGCCATGCTGTGCTGCCTGTGCCGCGTCAAGCCGGGCTCGTGCATTCAGTGCAGCCACGATGGGTTGGGGAAGCTGGTGACACACGGAATTCTCCTCACACACACGGAATTCTCCTCACACGCACGGAATTCTCCTCACACGCACGGAATTCTCCTCACACGCTCACTTGGTTGCGTCGCTTGGCCTTTTCTTCCCTTGCCAATCTGCCACAGTTACTCCGTTCTTGTGCTTCTCTTCCCCTTCTCTCCTTTCTCCCACCTCTCCTGCACCTTCCCCCCTTCTTTTCTCCCAATCTCCTCTCCTTCCCCCCAGGCATGTGCGCAGTGCCCTTCCACCCCATGTGCGCGCGCCAGGGGGGCTTGCTCATGACCCTCTCCGCCTCCCCCTGCTCCCCCCGCGTGCTCCTTAAGGCCTTCTGCCCCCGCCACTCCGCCGTGCGCCTCCCCCCCCTGCTGCAGCAGCTGCAGGCAGGGGCAGGCGGAGGGGGAGGGAAAGGGGAAGAGGGCCGGGAGGTGGGGAAGGAAAGGGGAAGGGGAATTGCTGGTGGGGTGATGGGAGGGACGGAGGGAAGCTGGGGGGGTGAGAGACACGGAGAGGAAGGGCATGAGGGAGAGGAGGAGGATGAGGAAGAAGGGGAGGGAGGGGAGGACGGAGGTGAGGAGGAGGGAGAAAGGGGGGGAGAAGGGGAGGGGTCACAAGGGAACTTGGAAGATAAGGAGGGGCCATTTAGGTCAGAGGGTACTGGCGGTGAAGCATGTGCCGTGGGTGAGGGACGGGGAGCAGGGAGGATGGATGGGTGTGAGAAGGGAGAGAGGGACGGAGGAAATGGAATGCTGGTGGGGAGAGAGGAGGGAGGAAGGGATGGTGCAGATGCAGGAAGGGCGATGAACAGAGGGGATGTTGGGTCCTGTGGCAGTGGTGCTTGTGGTGACGTTGTAATGACGGATGCAAGTGTGTCAACAGCAGCAGCACAGGCAGTGGCAGGGCAGGCAGAGCGGGCGGTAGGGGAGGTAGCAGCTGGGGAGGCAACAGGGGAGGTAACAGGGGAGGCAGCAGCTGTGGCAGAGGAGTCAGATGACGATGATGTGGTGGTGTTGGTGGAGGAAGGATCAGTGAGGGAGGAGGTGGACGCAGCGGCAGCAGCAGGGACAAGGGGTTGCCTGCCAGAGGCATCAGGAAGGAGTGTGCGCAGCGAAGCAAGGCCCAATGCTAGTGCAGCAGGTGCTGTGATGCCAGTTGCACGTGCTGATGTGGCACAAGCGGCACATGCTGATGTGGTGCCAGCGAAGCAGGCCCAGGCTGACGTGGAGTGGCCCAGATTGGAGGGCACTGCTGCGCTGGCGCTGAGTCAGCAGGTGCGGTGCCACGCGTACGTGCAGAGATATGCTGAAATGCTGCAGGTTTCAGGTAGAGAGGGGAGGAGCTCAGCAGGTGAAGAAGCTCCTAAGGACTCTAATCAAGAGGGGGCGGAAGGAGAGAATGAGGGTGAAAGTTGTTTGGGGCTCGTGAAGGAAGAAGAAAGGCAGGTGGAAGGGAAAGTGAAGGAAGAGGAGGGGATAAGAGACGGCGGGGAGGAAGTCAAGCAAGGAGAGGAGCACAAAGCACGCAGGAGGGAGCAGGAAATGCAGCTGATCCGTTCAGATGGTGCACTGGTGCAGGTGGCACCTGAGGGAGGCACACCTGAGGACGAGGTCACATCAGAGCTCATCATAGCACAGACCCAGCTGCTGTCCGTCCTGCACACCCTCTCCCACCGTTGTCAACACCTGCTGCACCGCATGCTACCGCGCCTGCAGACGGAGAGGCAAGCAGCAGAGGCGCAGCAGCAGGGGAAGGCGGCAGTTGAGGAGTATCTTGGGGTGCTGAGGGAGCAGCGGAAGCAGGGGCGGAGGGACCGGCGGGAGAGGGAGGCCCAGGCTGTGCTGGCAGCGGCTGAGGCTGCTGCTGCTGCTTCTCCCCGTGTGGGGCATTTGAAGCGGGACCCTGGGGGCCCTGCTGGGGTGGGTGCTGCTGCTCCTGCTAGTCCTCTGGGCGTTTCTTCTCTTGCTGCTGCTGGTCCTGCTGCAGGTGCTGCTGCTGCTGCTGCTGCTGCTGCTGCTGCTGCTGCTGCTGCGGGTATGGGTAGTGGTGCGGGTGGTGTGGGTGGTGGGTCTCCTTCTTGGGGGCTTGGTGGGAGGGCGTGGGGAAGGGGATGGGGAGGCTGGGGGGAGCGTTTGGCAGCCCCGCTGCTGCTGTTCCTGCTGCTGCTGACGGTGGTACTGCCACTGCTGCAACGGTTGGTGGTGTTGGTGCTGCCAGTGGTGTTGGTGGTGGTGATACAGGTGTGGCTGCTGATGCAGGGCGAGTGCAAACATCCCCCTTGGCGTCCCGCCCCTCCCTCTTCCCCTCTGCATCAGCTCGCCCTGGGCTTGCCGATGCTGCCAGAGGGGCGAGGGGGAGAGGTGCGTGGAGCCGGGGCAGGGGCCGGGGGCGTGGGGCGTGGACAGGGGGAGGGAGAGGGCGAGTGGGGGGAAGAGTGGGAGGGAGAGTGGGAGGGAGAGTGGGAGGGAGAGTGGGTGGTTGGGGCAGGAGAGTGGATGTATCTTCAGGGTTGTTGAATGGAGTGGGTGGTGAGGGGGATGGACAGATGGAGAGTGGTGCAGTGAGGTATGGGGAGGTGGGGGAGGCAGTGGAGGAGGGGGAGGAAGGGGAACGCAAGTGGGAAGGCGAGGTAGAGGAGGAGGGTATGTGGAGGGAGTGTGGGGCGTGCTGGCAGAGGGAGTGTGGGTCGCACAAGAGCATGATTGAGTGTGGAAAGTGCCACGTGGCTGTTCACCACTGGTGTTACGGCGTGCCTGAAGGGAGGTCGGGGCCGTGGTTGTGCCAGGTGTGCCGCTGGAATTGGGCGGTGGGAGGGGAGGAGAGGGAAGGGCATCAAAAGCAGCATCAGGTGGAGCAGAAGCAGCAGGTGGAGCAGAAGCAGCAGGTGGAGCAGAAGCAGCAGGTGGAGCAGAAGCAGCAGGTGGAGCAGAAGCAGCAGGTGGAGCAGAAGCAGCAGGTGGAGCAGAAGCAGCAGGTGGAGCAGAAGCAGCAGGTGGAGCAGAAGCAGCAGGTGGAGCAGAAGCAGCAGGTGGAGCAGAAGCAGCAGGTGGAGCAGAAGCAGCAGGTGGAGCAGAAGCAGCAGGTGGAGCAGAAGCAGCAGGTGGAGCAGAAGCAGCAGGTGGAGCAGAAGCAGCAGGTGGAGCAGAAGCAGCAGGTGGAGCAGAAGCAGCAGGTGGAGCAGAAGCAGCAGGTGGAGCAGAAGCAGCAGGTGGAGCAGCAGCAGCAGGTGGAGCAGAAGCAGCAGGTGGAGCAGAAGCAGCAGGTGGAGCAGCAGCAGCAGGTGGAGCAGAAGCAGCAGGTGGAGCAGCAGCAGCAGGTGGAGCAGCAGCAGCAGGTGGAGCAGAAGCAGCAGGTGGAGCAGCAGCAGCAGGTGGAGCAGCAGCAGCAGGTGGAGCAGAAGCAGCAGGTGGAGCAGAAGCAGCAGGTGGAGCAGAAGCAGCAGGTGGAGCAGAAGCAGCAGGTGGAGCAGAAGCAGCAGGTGGAGCAGAAGCAGCAGGTGGAGCAGAAGCAGCAGGTGGAGCAGAAGCAGCAGGTGGAGCAGAAGCAGCAGGTGGAGCAGAAGCAGCAGGTGGAGCAGAAGCAGCAGGTGGAGCAGAAGCAGCAGGTGGAGCAGAAGCAGCAGGTGGAGCAGAAGCAGCAGGTGGAGCAGAAGCAGCAGGTGGAGCAGAGCAGCAGGTGGAGCAGAAGCAGCAGGTGGAGCAGAAGCAGCAGGTGGAGCAGAAGCAGCAGGTGGAGCAGAAGCAGCAGGTGGAGCAGCAGCAGCAGGTGGAGCAGAAGCAGCAGGTGGAGCAGCAGCAGCAGGTGGAGCAGAAGCAGCAGGTGGAGCAGCAGCAGCAGGTGGAGCAGCAGCAGCAGGTGGAGCAGAAGCAGCAGGTGGAGCAGAAGCAGCAGGTGGAGCAGCAGCAGCAGGTGGAGCAGAAGCAGCAGGTGGAGCAGCAGCAGCAGGTGGAGCAGCAGCAGCAGGTGGAGCAGAAGCAGCAGGTGGAGCAGAAGCAGCAGGTGGAGCAGCAGCAGCAGGTGGAGCAGAAGCAGCAGGTGGAGCAGCAGCAGCAGGTGGAGCAGCAGCAGCAGGTGGAGCAGCAGCAGCAGGTGGAGCAGCAGCAGCAGGTGGAGCAGCAGCAGCAGGTGGAGCAGCAGCAGCAGGTGGAGCAGAAGCAGCAGGTGGAGCAGGAAGCAGCAGGTGGAGCAGCAGCAGCAGGTGGAGCAGCAGCAGCAGGTGGAGCAGCAGCAGCAGGTGGAGCAGCAGCAGCAGGTGGAGCAGCAGCAGCAGGTGGAGCAGCAGCAGCAGGTGGAGCAGCAGCAGCAGGTGGAGCAGCAGCAGCAGGTGGAGCAGCAGCAGCAGGTGGAGCAGCAGCAGCAGGTGGAGCAGCAGCAGCAGGTGGAGCAGAAGCAGCAGGTGGAGCAGCAGCAGCAGGTGGAGCAGCAGCAGCAGGTGGAGCAGCAGCAGCAGGTGGAGCAGCAGCAGCAGGGTGGAGCAGCAGCAGCAGGTGGAGCCGAAGAGCAGCAGGTGGAGCAGCAGCAGCAGGTGGAGCAGAAGCAGCAGGTGGAGCAGCAGCAGCAGGTGGAGCAGCAGCAGCAGGTGGAGCAGAGCATGAGGTGGAGCAGAGCAGCAGGTGGAGCAGCAGCAGCAGGTGGAGCAGCAGCAGCAGGTGGAGCAGCAGCAGCAGGTGGAGCAGAGCAGAGGTGAGAAGCCGCAGGGAGCCAGCAGCAGATGGAGCAGAAGCAGCAGGTGGAGCAGCAGCAGCAGTTGGAGCAGCAGCAGCAGGTGGAGCAGAAGCAGGTGGAGCAGCAGCAGCAGGTGGAGCAGAAGCAGCAGGTGGAGCAGCAGCAGCAGGTGGAGCAGCAGCAGCAGGGAGCAGAGGTTGGAGCAGCAGCAGCAGGTGGAGCAGAAGCAGCAGGTGGAGCAGCAGCAGCAGGTGGAGCAGCAGCAGCAGGTGGAGCAGCAGCAGCAGGTGGAGCAGCAGCAGCAGGTGGAGCAGAAGCAGCAGGTGGAGCAGCAGCAGCAGGTGGAAGCAGCAGCAGCAGGTGGAGCAGCAGCAGCAGGTGGAGCAGCAGCAGCAGGTGGAGCCAGCAGCAGCAGGTGGAGCAGCAGCAGCAGGTGGAGCAGCAGCAGCAGGTGGAGCAGCAGCAGCAGGTGGAGCAGCAGCAGCAGGTGAGCAGCAGCAGCAGGTGGAGCAGAAGCAGCAGGTGGAGCAGCAGCAGCAGGTGGAGCAGAAGCAGCAGGTGGAGCAGCAGCAGCAGGTGGAGCAGCAGCAGCAGGTGGAGCAGAAGCAGCAGGTGGAGCAGAAGCAGCAGGTGGAGCAGCAAGCAGCAGGTGGAGCAGCAGCAGCAGGTGGAGCAGCAGCAGCAGGTGGAGCAGCAGCAGCAGGTGGAGCAGCAGCAGCAGGTGGAGCAGCAGCAGCAGGTGGAGCAGCAGCAGCAGGTGGAGCAGAAGCAGCAGGTGGAGCAGAAGCAGCAGCAGCAGCAGCAGCAGAGCAGCAGCAGCAGGTGGAGCAGCAGCAGCAGGTGGAGCAGCAGCAGCAGGTGGAGCAGCAGCAGCAGGTGGAGCAGCAGCAGCAGGTGGAGCAGCAGCAGCAGGTGGAGCAGCAGCAGCAGGTGGAGCAGCAGCAGCAGGTGGAGCAGCAGCAGCAGGTGGAGCAGCAGCAGCAGGTGGAGCAGAAGCAGCAGGTGGAGCAGCAGCAGCAGGTGGAGCAGCAGCAGCAGGTGGAGCAGCAGCAGCAGGTGGAGCAGCAGCAGCAGGTGGAGCAGCAGCAGCAGGTGGAGCAGAAGCAGCAGGTGGAGCAGCAGCAGCAGGTGTGGAGCAGCAGCAGCAGGCAGCAGGTGGAGCAGCAGCAGCAGGTGGAGCAGCAGCAGCAGGTGGAGCAGCACAGCAGGTGGAGCAGAAGCAGCAGGTGGAGCAGCAGCAGCAGGTGGAGCAGCAGCAGCAGGTGGAGCAGCAGCAGCAGGTGGAGCAGAAGCAGCAGGTGGAGCAGCAGCAGCAGGTGGAGCAGCAGCAGCAGGTGGAGCAGCAGCAGCAGGTGGAGCAGCAGCAGCAGGTGGAGCAGCAGCAGCGGTGAGCAGCAGCCAGGTGGAGCAGCAGCAGCAGGTGGCAGCAGCAGCAGGTGGAGCAGCAGCAGCAGTGGAGCAGCAGCATGTGGCAGCAGCAGGTGGAGCAGCAGCAGCAGGTGAGCAGCAGCAGCAGGTGAGCAAGCCAGCGTGGAGCAGCAGCAGCAGGTGGAGCAGCAGCAGCAGGTGGAGCAGCAGCAGCAGGTGGAGCAGCAGCAGCAGGTGGAGCAGCAGCAGCAGGTGGAGCAGCAGCAGCAGGTGGAGCAGCAGCAGCAGGTGGAGCAGCAGCAGCAGGTGGAGCCGCAGCAGCAGGTGGAGCAGCAGCAGCAGGTGGAGCAGCAGCAGCAGGTGGAGCAGCAGCAGCAGGTGGAGCAGAAGCAGCAGGTGGAGCAGCAGCAGCAGGTGGAGCAGCAGCAGCAGGTGGAGCAGAAGCAGCAGGTGGAGCAGAAGCAGCAGGTGGAGCAGCAGCAGCAGGTGGAGCAGCAGCAGCAGGTGGAGCAGAAGCAGCAGGTGGAGCAGCAGCAGCAGGTGGAGCAGAAGCAGCAGGTGGAGCAGCAGCAGCAGGTGGAGCAGCAGCAGCAGGTGGAGCAGAAGCAGCAGGTGGAGCAGCAGCAGCAGGTGGAGCAGCAGCAGCAGGTGGAGCAGCAGCAGCAGGTGGAGCAGCAGCAGCAGGTGGAGCAGCAAGCAGCAGGTGGAGCAGCAGCAGCAGGTGGAGCAGCAGCAGCAGGTGGAGCAGCAGCAGCAGGTGGAGCAGCAGCAGCAGGTGGAGCAGCAGCAGCAGGTGGAGCAGCAGCAGCAGGTGGAGCAGCAGCAGCAGGTGGAGCAGCAGCAGCAGGTGGAGCAGCAGCAGCAGGTGGAGCAGCAGCAGCAGGTGGAGCAGCAGCAGCAGGTGGAGCAGCAGCAGCAGGTGGAGCAGCAGCAGCAGGTGGAGCAGCAGCAGCAGGTGGAGCAGCAGCAGCAGGTGGAGCAGCAGCAGCAGGTGGAGCAGCAGCAGCAGGTGGAGCAGCAGCAGCAGGTGGAGCAGCAGCAGCAGGTGGAGCAGCAGCAGCAGGTGGAGCAGCAGCAGCAGGTGGAGCAGCAGCAGCAGGTGGAGCAGCAGCAGCAGGTGGAGCAGCAGCAGCAGGTGGAGCAGCAGCAGCAGGTGGAGCAGAAGCAGCAGGTGGAGCAGCAGCAGCAGGTGGAGCAGCAGCAGCAGGTGGAGCAGCAGCAGCAGGTGGAGCAGCAGCAGCAGGTGGAGCAGCAGCAGCAGGTGGAGCAGCAGCAGCAGGTGGAGCAGCAGCAGCAGGTGGAGCAGAAGCAGCAGGTGGAGCAGCAGCAGCAGGTGGAGCAGCAGCAGCAGGTGGAGCAGCAGCAGCAGGTGGAGCAGCAGCAGCAGGTGGAGCAGCAGCAGCAGGTGGAGCAGCAGCAGCAGGTGGAGCAGAAGCAGCAGGTGGAGCAGCAGCAGCAGGTGGAGCAGCAGCAGCAGGTGGAGCAGCAGCAGCAGGTGGAGCAGAAGCAGCAGGTGGAGCAGAAGCAGCAGGTGGAGCAGCAGCAGCAGGTGGAGCAGCAGCAGCAGGTGGAGCAGCAGCAGCAGGTGGAGCAGAAGCAGCAGGTGGAGCAGCAGCAGCAGGTGGAGCAGCAGCAGCAGGTGGAGCAGCAGCAGCAGGTGGAGCAGCAGCAGCAGGTGGAGCAGCAGCAGCAGGTGGAGCAGCAGCAGCAGGTGGAGCAGCAGCAGCAGGTGGAGCAGCAGCAGCAGGTGGAGCAGCAGCAGCAGGTGGAGCAGCAGCAGCAGGTGGAGCAGCAGCAGCAGGTGGAGCAGCAGCAGCAGGTGGAGCAGCAGCAGCAGGTGGAGCAGCAGCAGCAGGTGGAGCAGCAGCAGCAGGGTGGAGCAGCAGCAGCAGGTGGAGCAGCAGCAGCAGGTGGAGCAGCAGCAGCAGGTGGAGCAGCAGCAGCAGGTGGAGCAGCAGCAGCAGGTGGAGCAGCAGCAGCAGGTCAGCAGCAGGTGGAGCAGCAGCAGCAGGTGGAGCAGCAGCAGCAGGTGGAGCAGCAGCAGCAGGTGGAGCAGCAGCAGCAGGTGGAGCAGCAGCAGCAGGTGGAGCAGCAGCAGCAGGTGGAGCAGCAGCAGCAGGTGGAGCAGCAGCAGCAGGTGGAGCAGCAGCAGCAGGTGGAGCAGCAGCAGCAGGTGGAGCAGCAGCAGCAGGTGGAGCAGCAGCAGCAGGTGGAGCAGCAGCAGCAGAGCAGGTGGAGCAGCAGCAGCAGGTGGAGCAGCAGCAGCAGGTGGAGCAGCAGCAGCAGGTGGAGCAGCAGCAGCAGGTGGAGCAGCAGCAGCAGGTGGAGCAGCAGCAGCAGGTGGAGCAGCAGCAGCAGGTGGAGCAGCAGCAGCAGGTGGAGCAGCAGCAGCAGGTGGAGCAGCAGCAGCAGGTGGAGCAGCAGCAGCAGGTGGAGCAGCAGCAGCAGGTGGAGCAGCAGCAGCAGGTGGAGCAGCAGCAGCAGGTGGAGCAGCAGCAGCAGGTGGAGCAGCAGCAGCAGGTGGAGCAGCAGCAGCAGGTGGAGCAGCAGCAGCAGGTGGAGCAGCAGCAGCAGGTGGAGCAGCAGCAGCAGGTGGAGCAGCAGCAGCAGGTGGAGCAGCAGCAGCAGGTGGAGCAGCAGCAGCAGGTGGAGCAGCAGCAGCAGGTGGAGCAGCAGCAGCAGGTGGAGCAGCAGCAGCAGGTGGAGCAGCAGCAGCAGGTGGAGCAGCAGCAGCAGGTGGAGCAGCAGCAGCAGGTGGAGCAGCAGCAGCAGGTGGAGCAGCAGCAGCAGGTGGAGCAGCAGCAGCAGGTGGAGCAGCAGCAGCAGGTGGAGCAGCAGCAGCAGGTGGAGCAGCAGCAGCAGGTGGAGCAGCAGCAGGGCAGCAGCAGCAGGTGGAGCAGCAGCAGCAGGTGGAGCAGCAGCAGCAGGTGGAGCAGCAGCAGCAGGTGGAGCAGCAGCAGCAGGTGGAGCAGCAGCAGCAGGTGGAGCAGCAGCAGCAGGTGGAGCAGCAGCAGCAGGTGGAGCAGCAGCAGCAGGTGGAGCAGCAGCAGCAGGTGGAGCAGCAGCAGCAGGTGGAGCAGCAGCAGCAGGTGGAGCAGCAGCAGCAGGTGGAGCAGCAGCAGCAGGTGGAGCAGCAGCAGCAGGTGGAGCAGCAGCAGCAGGTGGAGCAGCAGCAGCAGGTGGAGCAGCAGCAGCAGGTGGAGCAGCAGCAGCAGGTGGAGCAGCAGCAGCAGGTGGAGCAGCAGCAGCAGGTGGAGCAGCAGCAGCAGGTGGAGCAGCAGCAGCAGGTGGAGCAGCAGCAGCAGGTGGAGCAGCAGCAGCAGGTGGAGCAGCAGCAGCAGGTGGAGCAGCAGCAGCAGGTGGAGCAGCAGCAGCAGGTGGAGCAGCAGCAGCAGGTGGAGCAGCAGCAGCAGGTGGAGCAGCAGCAGCAGGTGGAGCAGCAGCAGCAGGTGGAGCAGCAGCAGCAGGTGGAGCAGCAGCAGCAGGTGGAGCAGCAGCAGCAGGTGGAGCAGCAGCAGCAGGTGGAGCAGCAGCAGCAGGTGGAGCAGCAGCAGCAGGTGGAGCAGCAGCAGCAGGTGGAGCAGCAGCAGCAGGTGGAGCAGCAGCAGCAGGTGGAGCAGCAGCAGCAGGTGGAGCAGCAGCAGCAGGTGGAGCAGCAGCAGCAGGTGGAGCAGCAGCAGCAGGTGGAGCAGCAGCAGCAGCAGCAGGTGGAGCAGCAGCAGCAGGGCAGCAGGTGGAGCAGCAGCAGCAGGTGGAGCAGCAGCAGCAGGTGGAGCAGCAGCAGCAGGTGGCAGCAGCAGCAGCAGGTGGAGCAGCAGCAGCAGGTGGAGCAGCAGCAGCAGGTGGAGCAGCAGCAGCAGGTGGAGCAGCAGCAGCAGGTGGAGCAGAAGCAGCAGGTGGAGCAGAAGCAGCAGGTGGAGCAGAAGCAGCAGGTGGAGCAGAAGCAGCAGGTGGAGCAGCAGCAGCAGGTGGAGCAGCAGCAGCAGGTGGAGCAGCAGCAGCAGGTGGAGCAGAAGCAGCAGGTGGAGCAGCAGCAGCAGGTGGAGCAGAAGCAGCAGGTGGAGCAGAAGCAGCAGGTGGAGCAGCAGCAGCAGGTGGAGCAGCAGCAGCAGGTGGAGCAGAAGCAGCAGGTGGAGCAGCAGCAGCAGGTGGAGCAGAAGCAGCAGGTGGAGCAGCAGCAGCAGGTGGAGCAGCAGCAGCAGGTGGAGCAGAAGCAGCAGGTGGAGCAGAAGCAGCAGGTGGAGCAGAAGCAGCAGGTGGAGCAGCAGCAGCAGGTGGAGCAGCAGCAGCAGGTGGAGCAGCAGCAGCAGGTGGAGCAGCAGCAGCAGGTGGAGCAGCAGCAGCAGGTGGAGCAGCAGCAGCAGGTGGAGCAGCAGCAGCAGGTGGAGCAGAAGCAGCAGGTGGAGCAGAAGCAGCAGGTGGAGCAGAAGCAGCAGGTGGAGCAGAAGCAGCAGGTGGAGCAGAAGCAGCAGGTGGAGCAGCAGCAGCAGGTGGAGCAGCAGCAGCAGGTGGAGCAGCAGCAGCAGGTGGAGCAGCAGCAGCAGGTGGAGCAGAAGCAGCAGGTGGAGCAGAAGCAGCAGGTGGAGCAGAAGCAGCAGGTGGAGCAGCAGCAGCAGGTGGAGCAGAAGCAGCAGGTGGAGCAGCAGCAGCAGGTGGAGCAGAAGCAGCAGGTGGAGCAGCAGCAGCAGGTGGAGCAGCAGCAGCAGGTGGAGCAGCAGCAGCAGGTGGAGCAGAAGCAGCAGGTGAAGCACGAGCAGCAGGTGGAGCAGCAGCAGCAGGTGGAGCAGCAGCAGCAGGTGGAGCAGCAGCAGCAGGTGGAGCAGCAGCAGCAGGTGGAGCAGAAGCAGCAGGTGGAGCAGCAGCAGCAGGTGGAGCAGAAGCAGCAGGTGGAGCAGAAGCAGCAGGTGGAGCAGCAGCAGCAGGTGGAGCAGCAGCAGCAGGTGGAGCTTCAGCAGCAGGTGGAGCAGAAGCAGCAGGTGGAGCAGAAGCAGCAGGTGGAGCAGAAGCAGCAGGTGGAGCAGCAGCAGCAGGTGGAGCAGAAGCAGCAGGTGGAGCAGAAGCAGCAGGTGGAGCAGAAGCAGCAGGTGGAGCAGAAGCAGCAGGTGGAGCAGAAGCAGCAGGTGGAGCAGAAGCAGCAGGTGGAGCAGAAGCAGCAGGTGGAGCAGAAGCAGCAGGTGGAGCAGAAGCAGCAGGTGGAGCAGAAGCAGCAGGGGAGCAGAAGCAGCAGGTGGAGCAGAAGCAGCAGGTGGAGCAGAAGCAGCAGGTGGAGCAGAAGCAGCAGGTGGAGCAGAAGCAGCAGGTGGAGCAGAAGCAGCAGGTGGAGCAGAAGCAGCAGGTGGAGCAGAAGCAGCAGGTGGAGCAGAAGCAGCAGGTGGAGCAGAAGCAGCAGGTGGAGCAGAAGCAGCAGGTGGAGCAGAAGCAGCAGGTGGAGCAGCAGCAGCAGGTGGAGCAGCAGCAGCAGGTGGAGCAGCAGCAGCAGGTGGAGCAGAAGCAGCAGGTGGAGCAGAAGCAGCAGGTGGAGCAGAAGCAGCAGGTGGAGCAGCAGCAGCAGGTGGAGCAGCAGCAGCAGGTGGAGCAGCAGCAGCAGGTGGAGCAGCAGCAGCAGGTGGAGCAGCAGCAGCAGGTGGAGCAGCAGCAGCAGGTGGAGCAGAAGCAGCAGGTGGAGCAGAAGCAGCAGGTGGAGCAGAAGCAGCAGGTGGAGCAGAAGCAGCAGGTGGAGCAGAAGCAGCAGGTGGAGCAGCAGCAGCAGGTGGAGCAGAAGCAGCAGGTGGAGCAGCAGCAGCAGGTGGAGCAGCAGCAGCAGGTGGAGCAGCAGCAGCAGGTGGAGCAGAAGCAGCAGGTGGAGCAGCAGCAGCAGGTGGAGCAGAAGCAGCAGGTGGAGCAGCAGCAGCAGGTGGAGCAGAAGCAGCAGGTGGAGCAGAAGCAGCAGGTGGAGCAGCAGCAGCAGGTGGAGCAGCAGCAGCAGGTGGAGCAGCAGCAGCAGGTGGAGCAGAAGCAGCAGGTGGAGCAGAAGCAGCAGGTGGAGCAGAAGCAGCAGGTGGAGCAGCAGCAGCAGGTGGAGCAGAAGCAGCAGGTGGAGCAGAAGCAGCAGGTGGAGCAGAAGCAGCAGGTGGAGCAGAAGCAGCAGGTGGAGCAGAAGCAGCAGGTGGAGCAGAAGCAGCAGGTGGAGCAGCAGCAGCAGGTGGAGCAGAAGCAGCAGGTGGAGCAGCAGCAGCAGGTGGAGCAGCAGCAGCAGGTGGAGCAGCAGCAGCAGGTGGAGCAGAAGCAGCAGGTGGAGCAGCAGCAGCAGGTGGAGCAGAAGCAGCAGGTGGAGCAGCAGCAGCAGGTGGAGCAGAAGCAGCAGGTGGAGCAGAAGCAGCAGGTGGAGCAGCAGCAGCAGGTGGAGCAGCAGCAGCAGGTGGAGCAGCAGCAGCAGGTGGAGCAGCAGCAGCAGGTGGAGCAGAAGCAGCAGGTGGAGCAGAAGCAGCAGGTGGAGCAGAAGCAGCAGGTGGAGCAGCAGCAGCAGGTGGAGCAGAAGCAGCAGGTGGAGCAGAAGCAGCAGGTGGAGCAGAAGCAGCAGGTGGAGCAGAAGCAGCAGGTGGAGCAGAAGCAGCAGGTGGAGCAGAAGCAGCAGGTGGAGCAGAAGCAGCAGGTGGAGCAGAAGCAGCAGGTGGAGCAGAAGCAGCAGGTGGAGCAGAAGCAGCAGGTGGAGCAGAAGCAGCAGGTGGAGCAGAAGCAGCAGGTGGAGCAGAAGCAGCAGGTGGAGCAGAAGCAGCAGGTGGAGCAGAAGCAGCAGGTGGAGCAGAAGCAGCAGGTGGAGCAGCAGCAGCAGGGTGGAGCAGCAGCAGCAGGTGGAGCAGAAGCAGCAGGTGGAGCAGAAGCAGCAGGTGGAGCAGAAGCAGCAGGTGGAGCAGAAGCAGCAGGTGGAGCAGAAGCAGCAGGTGGAGCAGAAGCAGCAGGTGGAGCAGAAGCAGCAGGTGGAGCAGCAGCAGCAGGTGGAGCAGAAGCAGCAGGTGGAGCAGAAGCAGCAGGCGGAGCAGAAGCAGCAGGTGGAGCAGAAGCAGCAGGTGGAGCAGAAGCAGCAGGTGGAGCAGCAGCAGGTGGAGCAGCAGCAGGTGGAGCAGCAGCAGCAGGTGGAGCAGCAGCAGCAGGTGGAGCAGCAGCAGCAGGTGGAGCAGCAGCAGCAGGTGGAGCAGCAGCAGCAGGTGGAGCAGCAGCAGCAGGTGGAGCAGCAGCAGCAGGTGGAGCAGCAGCAGCAGGTGGAGCAGCAGCAGGCAGGTGGAGCAGCAGCAGCAGGTGGAGCAGCAGCAGCAGGTGGAGCAGCAGCAGCAGGTGGAGCAGCAGCAGCAGGTGGAGCAGCAGCAGCAGGTGGAGCAGCAGCAGCAGGTGGAGCAGCAGCAGCAGGTGGAGCAGCAGCAGCAGGTGGAGCAGCAGCAGCAGGTGGAGCAGCAGCAGCAGGTGGAGCAGCAGCAGCAGGTGGAGCAGCAGCAGCAGGTGGAGCAGCAGCAGCAGGTGGAGCAGCAGCAGCAGGTGGAGCAGCAGCAGCAGGTGGAGCAGCAGCAGCAGGTGGAGCAGCAGCAGCAGGTGGAGCAGCAGCAGCAGGTGGAGCAGCAGCAGCAGGTGGAGCAGCAGCAGCAGGTGGAGCAGCAGCAGCAGGTGGAGCAGCAGCAGCAGGTGGAGCAGCAGCAGCAGGTGGAGCAGCAGCAGCAGGTGGAGCAGCAGCAGCAGGTGGAGCAGCAGCAGCAGGTGGAGCAGCAGCAGCAGGTGGAGCAGCAGCAGCAGGTGGAGCAGCAGCAGCAGGTGGAGCAGCAGCAGCAGGTGGAGCAGCAGCAGCAGGTGGAGCAGCAGCAGCAGCAGCAGGTGGAGCAGCAGCAGCAGGTGGAGCAGCAGCAGCAGGTGGAGCAGCAGCAGCAGGTGGAGCAGCAGCAGCAGGTGGAGCAGCAGCAGCAGGTGGAGCAGCAGCAGCAGGTGGAGCAGCAGCAGCAGGTGGAGCAGCAGCAGCAGGTGGAGCAGCAGCAGCAGGTGGAGCAGCAGCAGCAGGTGGAGCAGCAGCAGCAGGTGGAGCAGCAGCAGCAGTGGCAGCAGCAGCAGGTGGAGCAGCAGCAGCAGGTGGAGCAGCAGCAGCAGGTGGAGCAGCAGCAGCAGGTGGAGCAGCAGCAGCAGGTTGGAGCAGCAGCAGCAGGTGGAGCAGCAGCAGCAGGTGAGCAGCAGCAGCAGGTGGAGCAGCAGCAGCAGGTGGAGCAGCAGCAGCAGGTGGAGCAGCAGCAGCAGGTGGAGCAGCAGCAGCAGGTGGAGCAGCAGCAGCAGGTGGAGCAGCAGCAGCAGGTGGAGCAGCAGCAGCAGGTGGAGCAGCAGCAGCAGGTGGAGCAGCAGCAGCAGGTGGAGCAGCAGCAGCAGGTGGAGCAGCAGCAGCAGGTGGAGCAGCAGCAGCAGGTGGAGCAGCAGCAGCAGGTGGAGCAGCAGCAGCAGGTGGAGCAGCAGCAGCAGGTGGAGCAGCAGCAGCAGGTGGAGCAGCAGCAGCAGGTGGAGCAGCAGCAGCAGGTGGAGCAGCAGCAGCAGGTGGAGCAGCAGCAGCAGGTGGAGCAGCAGCAGCAGGTGGAGCAGCAGCAGCAGGTGGAGCAGCAGCAGCAGGTGGAGCAGCAGCAGCAGGTGGAGCAGCAGCAGCAGGTGGAGCAGCAGCAGCAGGTGGAGCAGCAGCAGCAGGTGGAGCAGCAGCAGCAGGTGGAGCAGCAGCAGCAGGTGGAGCAGCAGCAGCAGGTGGAGCAGCAGCAGCAGGTGGAGCAGCAGCAGCAGGTGGAGCAGCAGCAGCAGGTGGAGCAGCAGCAGCAGGTGGAGCAGCAGCAGCAGGTGGAGCAGCAGCAGCAGGTGGAGCAGCAGCAGCAGGTGGAGCAGCAGCAGCAGGTGGAGCAGCAGCAGCAGGTGGAGCAGAAGCAGCAGGTGGAGCAGAAGCAGCAGGTGGAGCAGAAGCAGCAGGTGGAGCAGCAGCAGCAGGTGGAGCAGCAGCAGCAGGTGGAGCAGCAGCAGCAGGTGGAGCAGCAGCAGCAGGTGGAGCAGCAGCAGCAGGTGGAGCAGCAGCAGCAGGTGGAGCAGCAGCAGCAGGTGGAGCAGCAGCAGCAGGTGGAGCAGCAGCAGCAGGTGGAGCAGCAGCAGCAGGTGGAGCAGCAGCAGCAGGTGGAGCAGCAGCAGCAGGTGGAGCAGCAGCAGCAGGTGGAGCAGCAGCAGCAGGTGGAGCAGCAGCAGCAGGTGGAGCAGCAGCAGCAGGTGGAGCAGCAGCAGCAGGTGGAGCAGCAGCAGCAGGTGGAGCAGCAGCAGCAGGTGGAGCAGCAGCAGCAGGTGGAGCAGCAGCAGCAGGTGGAGCAGCAGCAGCAGGTGGAGCAGCAGCAGCAGGTGGAGCAGCAGCAGCAGGTGGAGCAGCAGCAGCAGGTGGAGCAGAAGCAGCAGGTGGAGCAGAAGCAGCAGGTGGAGCAGAAGCAGCAGGTGGAGCAGCAGCAGCAGGTGGAGCAGCAGCAGCAGGTGGAGCAGCAGCAGCAGGTGGAGCAGCAGCAGCAGGTGGAGCAGCAGCAGCAGGTGGAGCAGCAGCAGCAGGTGGAGCAGCAGCAGCAGGTGGAGCAGCAGCAGCAGGTGGAGCAGCAGCAGCAGGTGGAGCAGCAGCAGCAGGTGGAGCAGCAGCAGCAGGTGGAGCAGCAGCAGCAGGTGGAGCAGCAGCAGCAGGTGGAGCAGCAGCAGCAGGTGGAGCAGCAGCAGCAGGTGGAGCAGCAGCAGCAGGTGGAGCAGCAGCAGCAGGTGGAGCAGCAGCAGCAGGTGGAGCAGCAGCAGCAGGTGGAGCAGCAGCAGCAGGTGGAGCAGCAGCAGCAGGTGGAGCAGCAGCAGCAGGTGGAGCAGAAGCAGCAGGTGGAGCAGAAGCAGCAGGTGGAGCAGAAGCAGCAGGTGGAGCAGAAGCAGCAGGTGGAGCAGAAGCAGCAGGTGGAGCAGAAGCAGCAGGTGGAGCAGCAGCAGCAGGTGGAGCAGCAGCAGCAGGTGGAGCAGCAGCAGCAGGTGGAGCAGCAGCAGCAGGTGGAGCAGCAGCAGCAGGTGGAGCAGAAGCAGCAGGTGGAGCAGAAGCAGCAGGTGGAGCAGAAGCAGCAGGTGGAGCAGAAGCAGCAGGTGGAGCAGAAGCAGCAGGTGGAGCAGAAGCAGCAGGTGGAGCAGCAGCAGCAGGTGGAGCAGCAGCAGCAGGTGGAGCAGCAGCAGCAGGTGGAGCAGCAGCAGCAGGTGGAGCAGCAGCAGCAGGTGGAGCAGCAGCAGCAGGTGGAGCAGCAGCAGCAGGTGGAGCAGCAGCAGCAGGTGGAGCAGCAGCAGCAGGTGGAGCAGCAGCAGCAGGTGGAGCAGAAGCAGCAGGTGGAGCAGAAGCAGCAGGTGGAGCAGAAGCAGCAGGTGGAGCAGAAGCAGCAGGTGGAGCAGAAGCAGCAGGTGGAGCAGAAGCAGCAGGTGGAGCAGCAGCAGCAGGTGGAGCAGCAGCAGCAGGTGGAGCAGCAGCAGCAGGTGGAGCAGCAGCAGCAGGTGGAGCAGCAGCAGCAGGTGGAGCAGCAGCAGCAGGTGGAGCAGAAGCAGCAGGTGGAGCAGAAGCAGCAGGTGGAGCAGAAGCAGCAGGTGGAGCAGAAGCAGCAGGTGGAGCAGAAGCAGCAGGTGGAGCAGAAGCAGCAGGTGGAGCAGAAGCAGCAGGTGGAGCAGAAGCAGCAGGTGGAGCAGAAGCAGCAGGTGGAGCAGAAGCAGCAGGTGGAGCAGAAGCAGCAGGTGGAGCAGAAGCAGCAGGTGGAGCAGAAGCAGCAGGTGGAGCAGAAGCAGCAGGTGGAGCAGAAGCAGCAGGTGGAGCAGAAGCAGCAGGTGGAGCAGAAGCAGCAGGTGGAGCAGAAGCAGCAGGTGGAGCAGAAGCAGCAGGTGGAGCAGAAGCAGCAGGTGGAGCAGAAGCAGCAGGTGGAGCAGAAGCAGCAGGTGGAGCAGAAGCAGCAGGTGGAGCAGAAGCAGCAGGTGGAGCAGAAGCAGCAGGTGGAGCAGAAGCAGCAGGTGGAGCAGAAGCAGCAGGTGGAGCAGAAGCAGCAGGTGGAGCAGAAGCAGCAGGTGGAGCAGAAGCAGCAGGTGGAGCAGAAGCAGCAGGTGGAGCAGAAGCAGCAGGTGGAGCAGAAGCAGCAGGTGGAGCAGAAGCAGCAGGTGGAGCAGCAGCAGCAGGTGGAGCAGCAGCAGCAGGTGGAGCAGCAGCAGCAGGTGGAGCAGCAGCAGCAGGTGGAGCAGCAGCAGCAGGTGGAGCAGCAGCAGCAGGTGGAGCAGCAGCAGCAGGTGGAGCAGCAGCAGCAGGTGGAGCAGCAGCAGCAGGTGGAGCAGCAGCAGCAGGTGGAGCAGAAGCAGCAGGTGGAGCAGAAGCAGCAGGTGGAGCAGAAGCAGCAGGTGGAGCAGAAGCAGCAGGTGGAGCAGAAGCAGCAGGTGGAGCAGCAGCAGCAGGTGGAGCAGCAGCAGCAGGTGGAGCAGCAGCAGCAGGTGGAGCAGCAGCAGCAGGTGGAGCAGCAGCAGCAGGTGGAGCAGCAGCAGCAGGTGGCAGCAGAAGCAGCAGGTGGAGCAGAAGCAGCAGGTGGAGCAGAAGCAGCAGGTGGAGCAGAAGCAGCAGGTGGAGCAGAAGCAGCAGGTGGAGCAGAAGCAGCAGGTGGAGCAGAAGCAGCAGGTGGAGCAGAAGCAGCAGGTGGAGCAGAAGCAGCAGGTGGAGCAGAAGCAGCAGGTGGAGCAGAAGCAGCAGGTGGAGCAGAAGCAGCAGGTGGAGCAGAAGCAGCAGGTGGAGCAGAAGCAGCAGGTGGAGCAGAAGCAGCAGGTGGAGCAGAAGCAGCAGGTGGAGCAGAAGCAGCAGGTGGAGCAGAAGCAGCAGGTGGAGCAGAAGCAGCAGGTGGAGCAGAAGCAGCAGGTGGAGCAGAAGCAGCAGGTGGAGCAGAAGCAGCAGGTGGAGCAGAAGCAGCAGGTGGAGCAGAAGCAGCAGGTGGAGCAGAAGCAGCAGGTGGAGCAGAAGCAGCAGGTGGAGCAGAAGCAGCAGGTGGAGCAGAAGCAGCAGGTGGAGCAGAAGCAGCAGGTGGAGCAGAAGCAGCAGGTGGAGCAGAAGCAGCAGGTGGAGCAGAAGCAGCAGGTGGAGCAGAAGCAGCAGGTGGAGCAGAAGCAGCAGGTGGAGCAGAAGCAGCAGGTGGAGCAGAAGCAGCAGGTGGAGCAGAAGCAGCAGGTGGAGCAGAAGCAGCAGGTGGAGCAGAAGCAGCAGGTGGAGCAGAAGCAGCAGGTGGAGCAGAAGCAGCAGGTGGAGCAGAAGCAGCAGGTGGAGCAGAAGCAGCAGGTGGAGCAGAAGCAGCAGGTGGAGCAGAAGCAGCAGGTGGAGCAGAAGCAGCAGGTGGAGCAGAAGCAGCAGGTGGAGCAGAAGCAGCAGGTGGAGCAGAAGCAGCAGGTGGAGCAGAAGCAGCAGGTGGAGCAGAAGCAGCAGGTGGAGCAGAAGCAGCAGGTGGAGCAGAAGCAGCAGGTGGAGCAGAAGCAGCAGGTGGAGCAGAAGCAGCAGGTGGAGCAGAAGCAGCAGGTGGAGCAGAAGCAGCAGGTGGAGCAGAAGCAGCAGGTGGAGCAGAAGCAGCAGGTGGAGCAGAAGCAGCAGGTGGAGCAGAAGCAGCAGGTGGAGCAGAAGCAGCAGGTGGAGCAGAAGCAGCAGGTGGAGCAGAAGCAGCAGGTGGAGCAGAAGCAGCAGGTGGAGCAGAAGCAGCAGGTGGAGCAGAAGCAGCAGGTGGAGCAGAAGCAGCAGGTGGAGCAGAAGCAGCAGGTGGAGCAGAAGCAGCAGGTGGAGCAGAAGCAGCAGGTGGAGCAGAAGCAGCAGGTGGAGCAGAAGCAGCAGGTGGAGCAGAAGCAGCAGGTGGAGCAGAAGCAGCAGGTGGAGCAGAAGCAGCAGGTGGAGCAGAAGCAGCAGGTGGAGCAGAAGCAGCAGGTGGAGCAGAAGCAGCAGGTGGAGCAGAAGCAGCAGGTGGAGCAGAAGCAGCAGGTGGAGCAGAAGCAGCAGGTGGAGCAGAAGCAGCAGGTGGAGCAGAAGCAGCAGGTGGAGCAGAAGCAGCAGGTGGAGCAGAAGCCGCAGGTGGAGCAGAAGCAGCAGGTGGAGCAGAAGCCGCAGGTGGAGCAGAAGCAGCAGGTGGAGCAGAAGCAGCAGGTGGAGCAGAAGCCGCAGGTGGAGCAGAAGCAGCAGGTGGAGCAGAAGCAGCAGGTGGAGCAGAAGCAGCAGGTGGAGCAGAAGCCGCAGGTGGAGCAGAAGCAGCAGGTGGAGCAGAAGCCGCAGGTGGAGCAGAAGCAGCAGGTGGAGCAGAAGCCGCAGGTGGAGCAGAAGCAGCAGGTGGAGCAGAAGCCGCAGGTGGAGCAGAAGCAGCAGGTGGAGCAGAAGCAGCAGGTGGAGCAGAAGCCGCAGGTGGAGCAGAAGCAGCAGGTGGAGCAGAAGCCGCAGGTGGAGCAGAAGCAGCAGGTGGAGCAGAAGCAGCAGGTGGAGCAGAAGCCGCAGGTGGAGCAGAAGCCGCAGGTGGAGCAGAAGCAGCAGGTGGAGCAGAAGCCGCAGGTGGAGCAGAAGCAGCAGGTGGAGCAGAAGCCGCAGGTGGAGCAGAAGCAGCAGGTGGAGCAGAAGCCGCAGGTGGAGCAGAAGCCGCAGGTGGAGCAGAAGCCGCAGGTGGAGCAGAAGCCGCAGGTGGAGCAGAAGCAGCAGGTGGAGCAGAAGCCGCAGGTGGAGCAGAAGCCGCAGGTGGAGCAGAAGCCGCAGGTGGAGCAGAAGCCGCAGGTGGAGCAGAAGCCGCAGGTGGAGCAGAAGCAGCAGGTGGAGCAGAAGCCGCAGGTGGAGCAGAAGCAGCAGGTGGAGCAGAAGCCGCAGGTGGAGCAGAAGCCGCAGGTGGAGCAGAAGCCGCAGGTGGAGCAGAAGCCGCAGGTGGAGCAGAAGCCGCAGGTGGAGCAGAAGCCGCAGGTGGAGCAGAAGCCGCAGGTGGAGCAGAAGCAGCAGGTGGAGCAGAAGCCGCAGGTGGAGCAGAAGCCGCAGGTGGAGCAGAAGCCGCAGGTGGAGCAGAAGCCGCAGGTGGAGCAGAAGCAGCAGGTGGAGCAGAAGCCGCAGGTGGAGCAGAAGCCGCAGGTGGAGCAGAAGCCGCAGGTGGAGCAGAAGCCGCAGGTGGAGCAGAAGCCGCAGGTGGAGCAGAAGCAGCAGGTGGAGCAGAAGCCGCAGGTGGAGCAGAAGCCGCAGGTGGAGCAGAAGCCGCAGGTGGAGCAGAAGCCGCAGGTGGAGCAGAAGCAGCAGGTGGAGCAGAAGCCGCAGGTGGAGCAGAAGCCGCAGGTGGAGCAGAAGCCGCAGGTGGAGCAGAAGCCGCAGGTGGAGCAGAAGCCGCAGGTGGAGCAGAAGCCGCAGGTGGAGCAGAAGCCGCAGGTGGAGCAGAAGCAGCAGGTGGAGCAGAAGCCGCAGGTGGAGCAGAAGCCGCAGGTGGAGCAGAAGCCGCAGGTGGAGCAGAAGCCGCAGGTGGAGCAGAAGCAGCAGGTGGAGCAGAAGCCGCAGGTGGAGCAGAAGCCGCAGGTGGAGCAGAAGCCGCAGGTGGAGCAGAAGCCGCAGGTGGAGCAGAAGCCGCAGGTGGAGCAGAAGCAGCAGGTGGAGCAGAAGCCGCAGGTGGAGCAGAAGCCGCAGGTGGAGCAGAAGCCGCAGGTGGAGCAGAAGCCGCAGGTGGAGCAGAAGCAGCAGGTGGAGCAGAAGCCGCAGGTGGAGCAGAAGCCGCAGGTGGAGCAGAAGCCGCAGGTGGAGCAGAAGCCGCAGGTGGAGCAGAAGCCGCAGGTGGAGCAGAAGCCGCAGGTGGAGCAAGAGGAGCGGCCGCATGAGCAGCAAGGGTCACAGTAGTCTCGCCCTCCTCCACTTGACTCCCACTCACCTGCACTCCCCCACCTGCCTCCCCTCCTCTCTCCCCCCAGTGTCGCCTGCGCCCTCTGCTCTCCTGCTGGGCAAAAGGAGCAGGAGGGAGACGAGGGGGGGAAGAAGGGCGAGAGGGAGGAGGCCGGCGAGGGGGGAGAAGGGGAGAAGCAGAGTGAGGAGGCAGGGCAAAGACAGGGAGGAGAGGCAGCAGCAGTGTTGGGGGAGGTAGGGAGGGGAGAAAAGGGGGAGGTGGTGAAAAAGAGGGGAGTTGATGGGGTGACAGGGGGAGAGGGAGTGAGAGTGGAGGGGGGCAGTAGATGTTGTAGAGGGGTGGATGTTGTGCTGTTGAGAGAAGGCACTTTCCAGGGAGGAGAGAGAGGGGGAGTGCCAGTGATGGAGGGGGGAGCGAGAAGGGATAGGGCGATAGAGGAGAGAGGCAGAGGGGATGGGGGGACGGAGACAGGAAGTGGAGGGGGGAGTAGTGGAGACGGGAGGAGGGATGGGGGGATAAGTGGGAGCAGGGAGGAGGAGGAGGAGGGGAAAGGGAGGGTGGCGAGTGAGGGACGGGCAGCATTGAAGCAAACGGACGAGTGGGTGCATCTTTTGTGCGCTCAGGTATGCCCCATTCACTCACTCACTGATGCACTCACTCACTCTACTCATTCACTCACTCACTGATGCACTCACTCACTCTACTCATTCACTTACTCACTCGGTCACACACTTACTCGTCACACATTCGCTCATTCGCTAACTCAGTACCTCGATCATTCACAGACCCGCTCACTCACCCACCCAACCATCCCTGTTAAGGCGTCATCTCTCAAGAGGAGTATAAATCTCATCACCGTTATATCCCCTCTACTCCTCCAGGCGCTTTTTCCCAACTGTGCTGTTCTCGGTGCTCCTGAGGATGCACCACTCAGCCTTACTGTGAGTTCGACGGAGGAGTACTAAGCACGCATAGCAACCTATCATTTCAAGCACTTTGTGTAAGCACTCTACAAGCACAAGTTGCAAGCACTACCATTTAAGCACAAACGTTTCAAAGTAACACGCACACACACATGATTTTTTAAGCACTTCTAGGGATGCCAAGCCTCCCCCTCTTTCCCAACCCCTCTCTCCCCTCCCCTCTCTCCCGCTCACCCTCTCTCCCGCTCAACCTCGCTCCCACGCAAGCTTTTAACCAACCCCCCTCTCTTCCTCCCCCTTTCACATCTCGACCATCAGGGTGCCATCCCTCCCAGCATGCAGCAGCGCCGCTGCTGCTTCTGCCACTCCTCATCTGCACACCCACGCACACAGGTACGGAATGCAGATTGCAGGAGGGCTGCCAGGGGTGTGAAACGGTCCCAGTGGGTTGAGAGAGGCCAGATTGGGGTGTGAAGCGGGTGTGGGGGCTGAGAAAATGGTCAGGAACCCTTTTTCTTGTGTGATATCTTCTGTATAACCTCCTCCTCTATATCTTCCTGTTTTTTCCCACTTCTAACATGCTCTCCTCTCCACAGGGTCCTCCCCCTTCAATCTTCTCCTCTCATCCCACCTTCCCCTGCTCTCTCTTATCCACCATCCCTTATCTCCCGTTATCCCTTGTTCCCCCATCCCTTGTTCCCCCATCCCTTGTTCCCCCATCCCTTGTTCCCCCATCCCTCGTTCCCCCATCCCTCGTTCCCCGACTCCCTATTCCCCCATCCAAACCCCCTCGCCGCCCTCAGTGCACCACGCCAGGCTGCCCCTGTGTAATGCATCCCATGTGTGCGCGCCACTGCTCTCGCCTCACCACTCCCCCGCCACCTCAAGAGCCACCTGAACAGTCCCCTCCTGTCTGCACTCCTATCCCACCTCCCTCTACCGCCACTGCCACTGCCACTTCCACAACCCGCGCCACTGCCCCCACCACTGCCGCTGTCTCTCCTGCTCCTCCCCCAACAGCCTGTCCCACTGCCGCTGGTATCGCCGCTGCTGATTCTCCTGCCATTGCAACACCTGCTGCTATTTCCTCTCCTCCTCCTCCTCTCTCCTCCACTCCTTCCTCCATTCCTGCTCTAGTGCCCTCCCATCCTCTCTCCTCTCTCGAAGTAGCACTCCCTCCTCCTCCACCACCCACTGCCACCACCGCAGTCCCTGTCAAACCCACTCGGGCAGCTGTGAAAATTCACTTGTACTGCCCAGAGCATGCAGCAGCTTTCGGCATCCGAAAGTTCGACCCCCATTCCCAGCAATCCCTCCTCCCCAGTAGCACCTCCCTGCTCCCCTCCAACGCACCTTTCTTGCCCTCAAAGCGCCGAGCTTCAGTTTCCTTCGCAAATCATGAGGATCAGAAGAGGTGCTGTGTGGGAGTGGCTGAGGGGGAGGGTGGGGATGATGATAGACTGGGTAGGGTGATTGTGGGTGGAGCAGGGAGACAGGCGTTTGGAGCAGAACAAAGCTCGCAAGGAAAGCAAGCAGGGGGTGTGAAGACAAGGCCATTGTTGAAGGTAAGGCAAGCATTGTGTTTGGTGATTGCCATTGCAATACGTATTTTTGGTGGTAAGCTATACATCATGGGCTAAGCATGTTTGCTTCTGTGTGCGTGCTCGTGCCCCTGTGTGCTCCTGTGGCTCTGTGTATGCTTCCAGCTGCAGCTGTCTTACCTCGCCACACATTCGGCTGCGCGTGCCCTCAATGCACGCTTGCCTCCAGGCTATCGATACGTGCCCGTCACTAAACTCGATAATCACTAACACGATCTAGTCACTAACAAATCGTCATAATGACCGCCCGTAGATGTGCAGCTGTGATTGCACATTTTTGTATAGAGTGGATAGATTATAGGAGACGTAGGAGGCAATTCTATAGAATTGTGTAGAGAGTGCTGTGGTCTCACATGCCAAGCTTTCACTCAAATTGGATGTACATTTCCAAGGATATTCCAATGATAGTCCATACTTATTATAATCATTTCTGTAGGTGCTTTTCGAATTCAGTACCGATGCACCAACCCGCTATAGGCTCGACTCCATCACATCGCGGGATGATCGGAGTTCCCTTTGCCCGCCGAAGCTGTTTGTCAGTCAGCTCAAACCTCCCCGCGAATTCCCGAATCCCGATCCCCCCTTCCTCCACAAAAGCGTTCCACGGATTCCCAGCACCCTACGCCGTTTCCCCCCCTCCTGCTTTTTCCCCCGCGCGCTCGTTCACCTGCTCTAAGCGCATCTCATGTTCCTCTTCCACTCGCCATGGGCCATCAAATCCGGAGTCGATGAAACACTTGGTAATTAGGTATTGAGGAACCAGCAGCTATTTAGCTTGACGTGAACGTGCGCCGTTGCCGTAGTTACTGCAGCATCGCCTTAGTATCGCCGTTTCTTCGTGATGCACGTGCCTCTGCCACATCTATACTCTCATAAAGGCGTGGTGATAACACTTCCCCTTTGACGCTGCTTCCGAGGTGTCCCTTCAATTTTCATATATCTAGAAGCAATTCTCCTAGCGCTAAATGGCAGCGTCCTCCCTCAGACCAGCAGTCAACCAGCTTCGGTTCTTCTCATCCGCCGACGCTGCATCTCCTTCCGCACGTCAGAACACTGCGTGCATGGCGATGGCTCCCAGCGCATCGATCTCCCCGCACTGCACCCATCAACCTAGTCTACGTTTTCAGACTAGCAGTACCAAATCTCGTTCGCGGAATAACGTCGCCAGTTCCTTCTTTGGAGATTCTCTTCCTCGGTTTCAACCGGCGTCCATCCCTGCAGCATCAAGCCTCCAACAGCAGCGGAAGGTCGCCAGACGGAAGCTTTGGAGCTCGCCGCAGGCGGTGTTCCAATGGGGAAAGCGGCCGGAGTACAAGGGAACGCCACCACGTGTCATAGTGGTGACTTCGGGAAAAGGCGGCGTGGGAAAGACGACTATGGTAGCTAATATCGGAATGTGCCTGGCTCGGTTGGAGTTTAAAGTTGTCGCGATAGACTGCGACGTGGGTCTCAGGAACCTCGACTTGCTCTTAGGGATGGAAGCTAGGGTATTCCACACCGTTCAAGATGTGTTGGCAGGGGAGGCTCGACTTGATCAGGCGCTTGTACGCGATAAGCGCGTTCCCAATTTCGAGCTTCTCTGCATTTCCAAACCTCGGTCCAAGATTGATTTGAATTTCAGCGGCAAGTCGCTGATTCTCCTAGTGGAAGCCTTAAGAGAGCGCGAGGAGGGGTGCCCAGATTTCATTCTCCTGGACTGTCCAGCGGGGATCGAAGCTGGTTTCATAACTGCAATCACGCCGGCCAACGAAGCGATTATCGTGACCACGCCGGACGTGACGTGTCTGAGGGATGCGGACAGGGTTGCGGGGCTGTTGGAGTGCGACGGCATAACGAACGTGTCACTGCTGGTGAACCGCGTGCAGGCAGATCTGATCAAGCAAGGCCAGATGATGTCCGTTGGGGACGTCAGGGAAATGCTCGTGAGTTCACTGGGCCCACACCTCTCCTTCCCCCTCCCTCCCTAGCCCACCTCCCCCTTTCCCCCACCCGCCCGTTTCCTTCCAACTCCTCGTTCCTTTCCTTTGGGAGTATATTGTGGGTGCTGTGTTGTGCATGCGAAAGAACTCTCCAACTGATGGAGGTTTGTTAAAGTCTGTCGCTAGGAAAATGGGTGAATTGGCTGAGAGTCTGTGTGTTCCTGAATACTGTCTTGGGCCACTTGGTTGACTGCTAGGGACACCACCGTGTGCTATACTGTAGGTCTAATAACCATCCTACCTCCTATCCCCTCCTTCCCTTTCTCCCCATCCCTTCACCCCTCCCGCACCCGTCTTGCACTGACGTGTCATTGTGCTCAAGCAGGGCCTTCCGCTGTTGGGGGTTATTCCGGAAGACACAGCAACAATTGGTGCATCCAACCAGGGAATGCCGCTTGTGCTGAAGAAGCCACCTACCATGGCGGGCCTGGCAATGGAGGCTGCAGCTTGGCGGCTGGCTCAAGGGGAGCAGATGGATGTGGTTGTGCTTCCAGAGGAGAAGAAAGGGTTTCTCGCCTTTTAGCTTAGGCTTGCCTGCGATGGACAAAAACCACAGTAGATGGAACGGCTGTCATGTTTAGAATGTAGGCAGTGGATGAGAAAATAGAATCTGCTTTGTGCAACCTGATTCCCCTGGTTGCATATGGGGAGCGAAACCCAGTATTCATATTCACCGTGAGCATGATCAGTTTCACTGGCAGCCCCCAGCCAGTGCTGTGTCCTTACTTTCCCACCCCTAATGTCTTATGTTTCTCCATCAACCAGAATGTGCAGTGCAACTCGCTCAGTTTTGGGATTTGGTACTGCAGTTAGAGCATGTTCCTACGGCCTCTAGTCAGGCTGGGCCCTTGTCAGACTTGGTCGAGCGATTTCGTTATTAACACCGTTTTTCAGACTTCAAAACAAACGGTGCTGCACGATGAATTGGTCACGCGAAACCTATCACACGTGCTGTTTCGGCGAGCCAGGTCAGTTATTCGCGCAGACGAAGATTTTATAGCCACCAAGCGCACGTTTCGGTCGTTTGTGATTTGTCAGGACTCAGGAAACAATTACAGCCACCAAGCGCACTTTGCAACCTTTCGGAACGGGAGCGCTGCGCAGTGCCACGTCACCCCACACGTCACCCCTATCAGTGTGTCGCGCACTTCACCAAGCAACGGAAAGAAATAAATAAAAAGTAGGGTTAAGCCGAAATATTAGTGTTTGAGGCGAGTCTGACAAGAGGCCAGCCTGACTAGAGGCCGTAGGAACATGCTCTTACATGTACACAACTGGGCTATGGAGCCTAAAACTCATCACCATATGCAACTAAGTCGTCCCATTGCCAAGTTCAGATGAGTAGCATAAACAAAGAGATCATTGCCAAAATCCCTAAACTAAGCTTACTACTCTTGCCTGACTGAGTTAGAGGGCGGGAGGCATTTGAGGCCTTCCACCGAGGAACGACAAAAAGCCAGCTGAGTCCGAATCATCCAAAAAGAGGTCATCTGGAACCCTGAATGCTGCATGCACGGTGATGGCCACGGCGCCTATCACAACCCCGGACATGAGAATGGAGCCCACTGATGTCAGTCCGAAGACGACAACCACGGAGATTACCACCATTCCGAGAAACTTTTCCCGCTCGTTCACCATTCTTCCAGCGACAATGATCGGCTCCGTGCGGACCATGAACACGTACACCCAGCCAGATCCGAGAAGACCCAGCCACAAGATAGCTGTTGGGTTCCAGAGCATGCTGAGGACGACAACTGCGATGAGAATGCCCAGGTAATTGGCCCGAAAGTAGCCCAGGTTCTTGCGAATCCGGCTGAGAGCGTCATTCAGACTCTCCGGTTTGGCTAAACTGGAGCGGTCAATGAGCTCGTTCCATGGACGCTGCTGAGCGGTGGCTGCGGCATATGACTCCTGAACTTTGGTTATAAGAGACCGTACAGCGGAAGCCGATGGGTTCCCAGCCATGGAGGCTCCTGGTGCAACAGCTGCCATGGAATGACACCGTCTCGAGCTGTTCAATCAAAGCCAGATGCTAGATGAATGAGAATGGCAGGCCTGAGTAAAGAGTTGGCAGTGAATCGAGGTAGGAGACAGTAAATATTTGCCAAGCACGAAGAGCGATCTGCAAGTGTGCGACAGTAGTAATCCTTGGTGAGCTAAAAACTGTGAAAGAAATGCTTCAAATCTGGTTGCTGCGGAGCAGAAGCCAGTGCATATGTAGTAGTGTCCTGAGTCCTGACGAGTTTGATGGCGGAAACCAAGGTGTATGATGATGATAACACCGTGGCACGGAGGTGCACAGCACAGACGGAGCTGACACACCCTAGCAAGCGGTACGCGTTTCGAAGATTTGATGTGAGGCGGCGTCTGATTGGTCGTGAAAGAATTTGAGGACCTAAGCAGCACCGAACCTCGGCAATACCAGAAACACGAAGTGTAGGTTGGGCGCGTAGGGGTTCGGCGAATTCCTTGTGTGACAGGTTCGGACCCGACCTGCAGCTTGGCTCAACGGCCAAATCTTGGTTTTGCCACCTGTCTTTTGTGACCCTGGTGAACGAATTCGAGGGGTAACATCTGTCTTCGCACAGCAACATCGCCAAAACGTGCAGTGCAGGTGCAAGCTCTTCCACAGAACGGTTAGTCAGAATCAGCCTACCGAATTCTCCCTGCCAGTCAATCAGTTTTAGCAAATCTAGTCGGCACCACTACTCTTGAGCAATCAGGCAGACGAAGGCGCCTTGATTTAAAATAATTATAACTGCCATGGCGTCTGTTCCTGGAGGTGCGGTAGAGGGAAACCCGACGGGGATGCGGGCGCTTGTAGCTAAAATCCAGGATTCTTATCGGAATGCGATAGCGCAGCAGCGGCCATGGAGCGAGCTGACAGATCGGTCGCTGTTCGCGAAACCCGACAATCTTAACGACGCGCTTGGGAGAATTCGCAAAAATACCAGTTACTTTCAGGCGAATTACCTTTCAATCCTTATCGTGGTTGTTATTCTCTGCATGCTCTGGAATCCGACTGCCATTCTCTGGCTAGCTCTCCTCACAGCCGCTTGGGTATATATCTTCATGGCTCGTACGGATGCGCTGATCATCGCTGGAAGGACTCTTAACGAACGCGAGAAGTTTCTTGCCATGGCGGTGATATCCATCGTCATCGTCTTCGGGCTGACGTCCGTCGGATCTATTCTCATGTCGGGTCTGGTGATGGGTGCTGCTGCGATCGCTGCGCACGCCGCCCTTAGGGTCCCTGACGACCTTTTCCTGGATGACAATGAGTCTGGAAGCTTCCTGTCGTTCCTTGGAGGAAGAAGTACTGTTCCCATTCCAACGGCCATTTGAGACGATTAGCTTCGTCCATCTGTCGGATGTAGCTTGTTCGAGGTCAGCCTTCGGCCGTCCCTGCGGTTATCTGATGCAAGTCTTGGAACTGATTACGCCTGCTCTGTTGTCACTGCAACTGATTTGCTTCGCCTGTCTCTCAGCTTGCCTGTGTGCATCGTCTGGGCACACACTGCGTCTCCTGATACATTCTTCCACATGGGCTTCACGAGTTCTTGCATTAGTTATTGTGTCTGTCCCATTCTGCCTTACTCCCATTCCATCTAGATGCTGCCGTGTCAAACTCTAAACCGTATTTGATTCCTAGTGAAGGTGTCTACTCAATAATGGTTCTGCATCCATTGTACCTTGTAGTAACTGCTATCATAAAGACCTCCGTTTTTAAGCATTGTAAGTTGTAATAATTTTAATCTCTCATGTCTGAGAACAAGGCTATCCGATCCGACTACCTCACGAGCAGATATACTCAGAAGAGGAAAACGAATGCCCTGCCACAGCAAACGGTGGCTTGCCTGAGGCCATCACCTCGCCCACAGTAACGCCTGACAGCGACGACCCTCTACACTCAAACTCCACGCGCACGCGGTACGCCGCCATCTCCTTAGCCTTGCGGTCCTCCTCTGCCTGCTTCTCCTCTGCTGTCCGCTCTGCTGCCCCGTGCACCAAGTCATCTGGAATCACTGGGATCTGAGCCCTCAGGCGCTGCGGTGGGTCATTGGACTGGCAGCGGTTGGGAAGGTGCGTGCGTGGGTTGGGGAAAGAGCCGGTGAGGTCAAAAAGCAATTCTTGTTGGAACAAATGCCAGGAGAATGATTCTTCTTTACTAAAGAGGTCAACAAAAGGGGAAAGTGCATGGAGAGAGGAATGGGAGCAGGGTTTGTCAGGAAGAGTGGATTGGAGATGTGCACTGATGTGTGCAATAATAACACGTACAGTAATTTGTCGGACGTGCCACCTCAGCTCCTTGGTCCATGGGTCAAGCTGTGCCCTGCCAGGAATTCAGGGATCACGGCAAGTGGAGACGGCAAGACAGGAAAGGAGGAGCACTAAGGGCTTGGTTTGGCCATTCTGCAGGGATATCAACTGAGTGAATGCGAGAAACATTGCACGCAGAAACAAGATTTCAAAATGGCAAATCCAGCGGTTAGGTTAGTGAAAATGCTGCTCGTGGAGGGGAGGAGCTTACTCTGGGTTGAGGCGGAGGGAGGCGGGGGAGAAGGCGAGGGAGAGGATGAAGGTGACGTTCAGCAGCGGGGCTTGCAGATATGGGTTCGCCACGTACTGCGAGGAGGGGATGGAGAGGGGGGTGTGTGTGAAGGTGGACGAGAATGCATGGATTGGCCATACGCACACACATCAGTTACAGGCGGGGCATGTGGTTGGACAAAAGGAGTACAATGCTGGGAGTGAGAGACGTGCAATATGACATGTGCCAAAAGACATGTGGAGCTCAACAGAGGTTCAGAGGGAGGGGGGCAAGTGAAGAGGTGAGGCACGTTAGCAAGTAGTGAGGCACGAACCTGGATCATGAGTGAGAGTGCTTCATCACTCCTCCTTGTCACGAACCTGGCAGGCAGCGATGGCAGGCAAAGCACAGGAAAACATTGAACAGAGCAACACTGAGTGAGAGGTGAGAGCAGGGGCGAAAGGAGCACAGATGGTCCAGCCAGAGGCCTCAACCAACCATGCTCAAACCATGCTCAAACCATGCTCAACCCATGCTCAACCACAATCTCAGACAGTTCTGAGCCGACCAAACCAAGCTTAATTTTGTAAAACACAGTCCACGCCTTTTTAATCACACCTTTGCCCAGCTTCTACGTATAGTTTACAGCACCATCCTGGGAAATCGCTAGCCTCGCACGCACCTCAGTCGCAGTGGAATGGGTGTGTAGCGGGGCTGCAGGCGATACTTCATCAGCAAAAACTCCTGCGCCCGCCCCTCTGCACCCCCCGCCCCCTCTCCCTCTCGCCCCCACGCATCCCCCTCCCCCGGATTCACCACCTCCCCCATGCCCTCGTCCCCCTCCCCCAGCAGGTCCGCCATGGGGGGGGCCTGGGGGGAGGCTGCGACAGCAGAGGGGGCGGAGAGCGGGGGGAAGGTGGTGCCGGGGGGAGGCATGCGGAAGTGGAAGTAGCCCTTCCCCAGGTCGCTCACAATGCCGGGACGCATGGTGCAGCGCTGGGGGGAGAGGGGAAGGGGGAGTGTGGGGGAGGAAGGAAGGGGGAGGGGGGGAGTGTTGGTAGGTAGGGCGAGGGGGAAGACAGAGAAGCAATGGGGAAGAAAAAAGCAGAGGGGCGTGTGGATGGCAGGGTGAACATGTGCATGCAGTGGGGGAGGAGGGGTGAGGCAAGGGTTCGTGTGGAGCAGAGCAGAGCGCAACGAAGCAGAGTAGAGAAGAGAAAAGAGCAGGGCACGTACCTTGATGGCGCCAGAGCCCTCCAATCGGAATGAGAACTCGTCCGGCACACTCCCGTCCTTCTCCGCTCCTCCACCCACCCCCGCCCCCCTCGCCCCCCCGCCTCCCCCACCAATAGCGCCACCGCCACCCCCCAGCGCCCCCTCTGCGCCCAACCCTCCCTTGGGCAGCGGGAGGGTGAGGAAGACGGTGCCGGAGAGGCGCACGCGCGTGAGGGAGGAACCGAGGAAGTCGGCACTGATGCGCTCCTCCACGCGGAACGTGGGCTGCACGGGGCCCGCTGGTGTGGCCGGTGTTGTCGCTGCTGGTGGGGTAACTGCTGTCGGGGTTGACACTGCGAGGGATGGAAGGGTGTAGGAAATAACAGAAAGGGAGCTCGCATACGATTAGAGAAAAGGCACGAAGCGTTGGTTGCGACGTATGAAAGTAAATGGTGACCAGGGAGGAGCCGCTCCTGCTGATGGGTTCACAGCTCTTGGTGCTGGCACTGGGGGGAAGATGCAGTGGTAGAGGGTACGGGCAGCACGAGCGTTGAGTACACTTACATATGCAGCAGAGGCACATATGGGCAAGAAAACACCAGGCAGGGACGGAGGAAGGAAGGAGGGAAGGAGGAGGCCGAAAGGGGATTGCTGGGGACAAGGAAGGGCATGAAGACGTGGATGGGGAGTGCAGCGCACACACTGCTCACTGCTCCCTTCCCCTCAGTACTCCTCAACACTCCCCACGGCTCACCATCCATGGCGCCCAGCCCCAGAGACACCTCCAGCTGCCGTGCTGCAGCCACCGCTGACCCCCCTGCCGCCCCCTCGCCCCCCCCCAGCGACACGCCCAGGTCCCCCCCGCCGCCCAGCCCAAACGCGTCCTCCTCCCCCTGCTCCACCCCAAACTCCGCCGCGTCCAGCCCTCCCCCCCACGCGTCCCCATCCCCCCCCAGCAGCGCGCTCCCCCCAAAGGCCGTCCCCCAGGCGTCGTCCCCCTCGTCGTCCCCCAGCGCGGCCAGCCCCCCCAGCCCCTCCGCCTCCAGGTCCGCCCCAAAGGCGTCCGCCATGCTGTCTGACGCGAAGGGGTCCAAGGCGGAGGGGGCGGGCGCAGAGGACAGCCCCGCCTGGGGGGGGGAGGGGGAAGGAGAGGGGGAGGGGGAAAGAGACGGGGAAGGGGAAGGGGAGGGGGAGTGGGAGGGGAAGGGGGAGCGGGAAGGGGATGGGGGAGGGGTAGGAGGATGCAGGAAGGGGAGCCGGTTTGGGAAAGGGATGGTTGGGAGAGAGGGGAGGGGAAAGGAGCAGGTGCGGAAGTGGGAGGGTGAGGGGGACAGGAGGATAAGGCAGGGCAAGGAAGCACCGATTCAGACACGTTGGACAGCAGATGCAGCAGCACACATGAGCTGAGGAACAGGAGACGACAGAAGGGAGAGAAGGGAGGAGCAAGAAGCAGACAGAGAAAGGCAGAGGAAGTCAGAACGCGCCAGAAGATCATTCTCACCTCGAGCTCCGCAAGCAGTGAAGCAGGGTCGTTCTCCGGCCTCTTCCCCACCCCCCCTGCTTCCGCCACATCCCCCACCCCACCCGCCCCTGCCCCACCCGCGTCCAGCAGCGCGAGCTCGCCCCCCCCGCCCCCCAGCAGGCTGTCACTGGCGGCAAAGGGGTCATCCGCGGAGCCCAGCAGCGCCAGCGCCGCCAGGGGGTCCGAGGCAGCAGAGGGGCGCGGGGAGGGCGTGGGGGGCGCGGGGGGGGCTTCGAAGGCGGGCTGGGAGGGCGCCGGGGCGAACGCCTCCATTGTCTCGTCGCCCGCTGCTATGGCCTCCTCTGGTAGCTCGAAGTGCGCTGATGACATGTACTGCGGGGGAGAAATGAGGGGGGGGGAAGGCCCGAATGGGAGAGGGAAGGGGGCATAGGGGATTTTAACGGGTGACTGGGTTGGGACAGGTGCATGCGGGCTGGGAGAGCGGCGGGGCGAAAGCCTCGATTGTCTTGTCGCCTCCTCTGGCAGTTCAAAATGCGCCGAGGATATGTAATGAGAAGGGGGAGGGAGGGGATGGGGAGGGGGGTGGAGGGGGAAAGGCAAAAAGGACAAGCGCAATATTCAATTTCTCGAATATGGTGGATTTAGAAGATGAAGGAGGAATAACCTCACAGTTACACAGCCACCATGCCACCCCTCAACGTTCCTTCCTCAACGCCCCCTTTGAAGGCCCCTTGCTTGCCACACCCCGTTCTCCACTCCCCCCCTCCTCCCCCCATCACCTCCACGCTCGCCAGTCACTCTACGGTTTCGGCATTAGCCACGCGCCAGCTGGCAGCACCATGCGGACGGTTCTCCCCTTCATGCCCACACGCCCCCTCGCATCCTCTCACACACCCTTCCCCCCATCTCCCCCTTTCCCCCTCTCCCCCTCCCTCCCCGCCTCACCTCCACACTAGCCAGTCGCTCCACTGCCTCGGCATTAGCCACGCGCCAGCTGGCAGCGCCGCGAGCGCGGTTCTCCCCGTCGGCGAGGGTGTTGGTGGCGAGGGGGACGAGCAGCGCTGCACCGTCCCCCGCCACGTACGAGAGCACCGCTGAGAGGCGCGCTGCTCCGATGCCCTGTAGCACGTAGAAGAACGCCATGTAGACCTGGGAGGGGGCACACGGGTGAGGAGGAGGGTGGACGTTTCCGGGTTGACTCACAAGGTACCGATGCCCTGTAGCACGTAGAAGAACGCCATGTAGACCTGGGAGGGGGGAGAGGGGGGAGAGGTGAAGGGGAGGTGGGTGGAGAGAGGAGAGGAGAACGTTGAGTCAAAAGGCGAGGAATGAGACACAGGGCAAAAGGGGAGTGAGGCGAGTGGTAGAGGAGAGAGAAGAGAAGCGGCGCCAATGCCATTGCTGAGCCCCCTTGAGCTCACCTCGGTGTACTTGCGGAATATCTTCTCCGGTGTCACATCCACGCCCTTGCACGCTGCCACCAGCACACTGCACCACGCGCGTGGCCAAGAGCACGTGGGTGGGAGGGAGGGGACCATGGGTGGGGTATGTGACACGTGGCACAGGTTATGGTGAACAAGGGATGCATGATGCACACAGACGCACAGGACAGAGCACTCGCAAGACTGAGGCGCAATTGATTAGGAACAACTAGAGCTGATAAGAAACAGTAAACAGAGCTCACCTGACGGCCTGGTTGACGATGCTCTGACCTGACGGCCTGGTTGACGGTGCTGATGCAGCTGTAGACGTTGAGCGACGTCTCATCGTCGTCCGCGAGCATGAGCCCCAACACGTAGATGCTGTTCACCAGCCTGTACACCACGCGGTACCTGCACGCACAAAGAGAGGCAGGGGGGGGGAAGTGGGTGAGAGGCAGGAAGCATGAGCACCAGCACGTATATGCTGGTCAGCCTGTACACCACGCGGTACCTGCGCGCTCACACAGGCGGAAGAAGGGAAGGAGCAGTGATGGGGGGGCGAGTGTGGAGGAAGCGAGGAGCAGGTGAGGGGAGAGCGGGCGAGCCCAGCATCTAGGTGCTGCTCCCTCGACGGCCCGCCTCGCAATGCGCTCGAGAATGAACGTGGTACGGTTCCCTGCTTCTCCCTGATCCCTGTCGCACGCACCGTCGGTCGCTGCCGACGACGACTTGCCCGCTCGCAGCGGCCAGCGGGTCGTCGCCCAGGCGATCCAGCATGAGCGCCTGATTCGCCGGCTGCTCGTGATGCCGCACGCTGCTGTCCGCATGCCGCGTCGTGCGGAAGCTCTGACACGCCGCCAACGCGCGCTTCGGGGGGAACCATACCTTGCTGCGGTGTATTCGGGGGGTGGGGTGTGGGGGGGAATGGGGGAAAATGGGGATGAAATTTGCGGAACGAGAGATGCGACAGTGAAGCCGGAGACGGCTGCGGATCACCCAACGGTCAGGGGACACGATAAGATAGGAGTACGGTAGGGTGGGGGCGAAAGTTTGAGTTTCGCCAGGAATCAACAGAAAACGGGAACTCCTGAGGCCTGATTGTGTGATGATCACGACTGGACTGATGCGCCGTCCAGACTGGCATAAGACGACAGGATAGCTAGATGACACGACCGCTGGATGACACGACCGCTAGATGACACCGTTGCTAGTTGGCACGATTGCTAGAAGACATGGCTGCTACATGACACGAGTGTTGCATGACAGAACGCGTACATGACACTACTACTACATCAGACGTCTGATACATGACATGACAGCTTATTGACACGAATACTAAACGACACAACTATATTACACGGCTGCTAGATGAAGGTTCCTTACGTCTGAAGCAGCAGGTCCGGTCCCTGTGCCGGCTGCAGCGCTAATGCGAGACACGCCATTGCGAGACGTTAGGCTACTAACGACGTATTTGTGACTAAGATTGACGGACAGACGAGTCAAAGCTGCTTAGACTTTTCACGCTCGTGTCAGCGCAACCATCGCTCTCCCACGGAGCCAGCTTTTATTCACAGTCATCGAAATGGCGAATGCTGGTTTTCTCTGATCAGTGCCATAGAAATGCTCGGATGATTGGATTCCTGTGATGAGCAGATTCCATCTCCGCTGCGCTATAAGTGGGTCGTGCTAAGGATCTGAGCCAATGGTGACCAATACCATATCTTAACGCACAGTAGACGATATTAGTTCGTAGCCACCTTACAATTTAGTTAATGAGTCTATATGTTTGAGACTCGCGTTTCTTCACAGAATGATAAGATGCAGGACCACTACTGAATGCCAGAATGTACATAGTAAACCAGGCTTACACCAATAATACTCCATTTATACAACCATCATTCTCCGGGTTGTTTGTTACTTGGGCGTACTTACCTGCACAACAAGCAAGCACCGCCAGGATATTCGCATCAAACATTAATCGCAACACGGTGGAGGGGGGAGAATCAAATCAAGTAGTGGAGAAGGAAGCAGATCAAACAGTCTTACCCCAAATGACTTTGCCAGCTGGTGTGACCAACCCAAGCTCGCTCACATTGACCTGGAGTAAACAACGGGAGGCATGGACGGAATGAAGGGGTAACAGGATGAGGCAGTGGAGACGTGATACAAAACACACCCCAAAGAGTCACAACAACAGAAGCCATGGGACCATTGCAAGGAGGAGGAAATCAGAGGGATCCGCATGGCTGCGGCTGTATGCATGTATGCATGTATGCATGCGTGCAGTGCATGTGCGAGGCATGCATACCTCGATGATGGTTCCCTTGGTGATGACCCCCATGGACGAGTACATGGGACCATTAGGGTTCTTCTTCACACTGATGATGTCCAGATGGAACGTGCACTTGAGCTCTGGATGCGTCACATGCGCCTGCTCGCATGCACGCAAGAAGCACGTTAGGAGCAGGGTGTTAAAAGCAGAGCAATAAGAACAGTAGTGCCTTAGTAGCACAGATTTGCGTGTGCAGAGAATGTGGTGAGGCAAGTGAGAGGAGTGTGGGGAGTGTGGGGTGAGTGAAAGTGTGGGGTGAGCGAGAATGTGGGGCGAGTGAGAGGGCTGGTGTTGTACCTTGGTGAAACGCAGGGCCATGGGGCGGATAAAGCGCTCATACTTGGGTGGCTTACGAGTGAACCCCGGACCCACAAAGGTGACTTTTGTCACTAACCTCTTCCACTGCTTGGCTGCACACAGCACAGGAGAGAGTACCAGTGTAAAGGCCAGAAAAGGGAAAGAGTCAGAAACCATCTAAGAGGAGGGGAAGAAGACTGTGTAGTTGCACCAGTTTGACTTGCACCGCAACCAGAGCCAGGAAAGGGAACGAGGGTTGGAATGAGAGCAAGCAGGCTTACTTTTCCTCTTCCCTGATCGGACCACTTTAAACATCTCATCCTCTGCTATCGGTCGAACCTGCAGCACACAGCGCAGAGAGGAAGACGAGAACATGGTTATAGGGGAGGCCCTATAATTCCCAGTGCCGTGTACAGCAGGAGACTTGCTATGGAAGGAATCTCCACATCTTCCTTCCCACAGCATAAAGCGGCAGGTGCCGTACCTTTGGCAGGGGCACGTCCCACTTGCCGGCCTTCTCCTTGCGCTTCTGCTTGATGGTGTTGCTGAGCACCTTCGCGCGCGCCGTCGCCTCCCTCTCCAGCAGGTACGCCGGCACCGCGCCCTCCGCCACTGGCGCGTCCGCCTTGTGCTTGTTCGTCCGCTCCGCGTGCATTGCTAGACTGCATTGGGAGAGGGAAAAGGGGAACGGGGGAAAGGGGGAGGAACGGGGAAGAGTTGGGGCATAAGGGGAGAGGCGGAAGTGAGACGAGCGGGTGGGTGGCAGTACAGGAAACGAGACAAAGATTAACAGCGCGCGACCGAAGGAGTCAATGGGAGACTTCAAATAAAGATTTAGCGTTTCAGGGTACGAGAACTGGTAACTCTAACTCACGTCTTCTTCATCGTCGCCTTCTCTTGGTAACGCTTCTTCGCGAACATCTTCGCCTTGAGACCGATGGTCTGCGAAATTCCATCCAGTACAGCACGCAAGAGAAACACGGTGAGCGAGAACCGGAGGTACCAGGAGTCGGGTATACTAAGAGAAACTCTGAACCGATAAGTAGAGCAATCCGATTCCCATAATTGACTCACGTTCCGCGCAATCTGAGACGTCTTGTGCACTTGCCGAGCCTCGCGCTTGCGCTTCCGCTCGAAGTGATCCAAGCGGAAGCCATGGCGCTTCTGATGCAGCTCGATGTGCTCGCCCTGCGGCTGCACCGCTCAATGCCACGGGAGAGGGACGACGAGGGGGGAGGGTTTTGGTGGGGACAGAAAAGGGTGGGGGTTTGCGGGGTGTAGGGGAAGCGAAGTAAGAGACAGAGTTAGATTCGGCATTGCGACACATGCGCCGCTGAAGGATACTATGTAAAAGGAAATACCGACGGAATCGACCAAACTGGAGGACCAACTTCATTTGGAAACGATTGGTGCATGTGCGACGGAAATGAATAGCTTTGCGGATAAAATCCGCGTATTTGCAGAAGTGCGTACCATGGTGGACGACTCAGTCCTTGCGGACACACGCTAGGCGATCCGCGTGAGAAGTTTTTTTAAGAAGAGAAGAGTTTTCTTAGGCAACGTCTGGGGAGGCGTTCCGTGCGCTTAGGAGCAAGGAACTGAAGAAAGGTAGACCTGAGGAATCACTGGTCAGTACTTGAGGTTGGGGTCAGGATGGTGGAGGGGAAGAAATATCATAATATCATGTTTCTCAAATTAAGGAAGGTAAATCGAAGAACGGGCCACGGTATACAGTCAATTCAGAAACCATTTTCGAGATTCATAATAAAGGATATGCATTGCCGTATTCCCCCACTGGTTTCTCCCATTTCGCAGACGCTTCGCAAAGTACCGGCAGCTGACCATTCCCAGTCGCCACACAGCCGCATCACCGTTTCGTCCCTTTCGTCAAAACCCGACCAAGTCCAATCGGCGGCTGTGAACGGTGCTTGCGAAGACTCGGCATGAGTCCATGCGACCGATACACCTAGGAATTGCTGACTAAGTTCCATGGTGACTGGACTGGAAGGCCCAGATGAAACAGCTGAGCAGCTCAAGAAGCGAAGAGTCTATCCACCCTCCGTAGAGAGCTGAATTCGCCTTGCAGCACCAGACTATCGGTGGATCTTTACCAAATCTAAGTATTGTGGAAAGACTGCGAATAGCATACCGCCTTGTATCCTCCGTTCGATAGCCTTCTTTAGTACGCGAGTTTCGGCCCAGTCCAGTCATATTTATTGTTCGCGGACCCCTCTGTGGACGGCACCAATTAACAAGCAAAAGGCGGAACGTCAGGACGCGTGACTATGGTGCGGTGGCACGTGCCGGGTCTGTCGACCAGCAGCGCCTCGAGCATAGATGGCGTCGCGGTGAAGGGCGACACGGCGAAGCTGCAGAAGCTTCTCAGGAAGGGCGCGGACGTGAATGCGCGTGCGCGTGAGCCGGTGCTAGTGGGACGGCGCCCGCTGCATGCTGCCGTGGCGGCGGGGAACGAGGCCATGGTTGAGGCGCTTCTTGCTGCCGGTGCTGACGTGGACGGAAAAGACGATGTCAGTATTATACTCATTGCAATGCCATGCAATCGAATCGTCTTCGCCCTCCCTACCTTCCGTCCGTTCCAAACCGATCGGACCTCGCATACCGTGACTAATGTGCTTTTCTTGATCTGAACCTCTGTGATTTCGCTGCAGTTCGGCCGCACGCCCCTTCACTACCTGGCGGCCAGCCCCTCCCCGCGTCTGGGCATCCTTTCGCATCTGCTCAATGCTGGCACCGACTACGCCATCAGAGACAGGGTGAGTCTCCTTCCACTTCATTTCTTCACGTGCTTCATCGTTCCTCCACCTTCATCCACAGTCGTCCACGCATCGCATCCGAATCCTCGCGCTCAACCCTTCCCCTTTGCCATCTCTTCCTGCCAGAGTGGCAGCATGCCTATCCACGTGGCGATGGCAGCAGGCCATGGGGCGGTGCAGGAGGCGCTGACGGCGTTCGCGTTGGAGCACAGTGCGGAGTTTGCCTTCTACGAGTCGGGGCAGTGGCGCTCCTTTGACGGCGATGCCTCGCGCCTGCTGGGCTTTGAACTCGCGGAGGGCGTTGGCTTCGCTGCCCTCGCCACTGCCACTGGCGCGCACTACATCGTTGACTTCCAGCAGCAGCTGCAGGTGAGGAGTGCGATCAGCACAAATAGAGAAGTTCAAGAACAAGTGGGCTTTCTAGTCTTGATATGTCCTTGAATTGATGCATGCTGTCTATTGTCTTCCCGCTCATTGTTGTCCGCCTCCATCCCACACTTGTCTCCTTCCGTCTGCCTCCCGTCCGTCCACTCCATCTACCACCCGGCTATCCCCTATGGCAGTTCAACGTCTCGTCCTTCTTCTGCAAGTCCATCAGCTGGCGAGTGCTGCCCAGCGGTCGCTGGAACCGCCCTCCCAGCCCGCACCAGGGGCTGCACCCAGGCAGCCAGGACCCGCGCCTCATGTACCGCTACGACCAACAGCTGCGCTCCCTCGCCCAATCCGGTGTCGACATCTGCCCCGTCTACTTCTCCCTCACTGGCCTTCCCCCACACCCCCTGCTCTCACAAGCGGCGCCCAGCGCTCAGTTCGTCTCACGCCTCTCCTCGTCGCCGCGCCGTGACGGAGAGCATGGTGATGATGGCGATGGCCATGGTGATCTAGATGATGGTGCTGATGGTGATGCGCAGAGGCCGTCTTCTTCCTCTGCTGGAGTGGCTGCAGCTGCTGCTGCCCTCCCCGCTGCTCTACACATGTCTGATGACCTCTCCAGTGATGTCCCCGACTCCGAACCAAGCACTCCTTTGGCTCGGCGCCAACCAGGGCAACGTGCACCTGTTTCAGATGACGACGAGCTGCCGAAGCTGCAGGTTCTGAGGTCCGGCACAGATGAGTACGACGAGATTGTGGCTCGGTTTGTGGCTGGTATGCTACGGGACAGAAATGACCGCCCGAACAGCAGCTTCCGGCAGAACAGTGTGAGTGGAGGGGTGGTGGAGCAGGAGGATGGCATGCGGCCCGTGACAGTGTCCTCAGTGCAGCAGGTGCTGCTACCTGCTGCCCGCACACAAGCCTTTGAAGAAGCTGTGAGAGAGCTTAAAGGAGCAAGGGGGGGCGATGGCAATGTGCGGCTGGCATGGCACGGCGCCCCTCGGATGGCCATAGATCGCATAGTGTCGAGCGGCTTTTCTCTCTCTTCTTCCGCTGCCGCCCGCAACGGCAGGCTGTATGGGGACGGAGTGTACCTGGCACCGGAACAGAGGGCCTACACGAGTGCAGAGTTTGCGGTGGCGGATAGCGAGGGGCGCAAGCACATGCTGCTGTGCCGTGTGGCGCTTGGGTCGATGGAGGCGATCCCGTTTGGATCGTCCCAGCAGCGGCCTAGCAGTCTTCGGTTTGACACGGGAGCTGACAATGTCAATGACCCTTCTCGCTATGTGGTGTGGGAAGAGGATGTGAATGATCTCGTGCTCCCCACACATGTGGTTTCCTTTCGCTATTGTTGAAGGCGCCACAGTTGTTACCCAATCACCATTCCTTTGCTCCCAAATACGGTATTGATGTTTATGATGTTGCTACAACCAGTGTGTCGTTTTAATGCTGAGAAGGCCTCCATTTGGTTTTCAGGCAACTTCTTGGGTGACTTGCTCAATGCAACGGAGGCAGACTGAACTCAAGATTCATAAAAGTTGCAGGTGTAGCGCAATGCTGCCTAGGTGTGCTTTTGGTGATTATTCTGGGAGGATTGTAGCACGTCCAGCTAACGACAAGTGCTGCACGTGGTGGTGGTGGCAGTGCGTGAGGGTGACGGATTTGGTGGAGGTGAAAAGGTGTTCCGATTGGGGCACGGTTGGGTGGGATGGGGGGTGGAGCTAGAATGAGAAAGGTGAGGAACGTTTCCGATGGTTTCAGTAGGGTGGGCTGCGCTACACGCGCTCGTTTCGGTCAATCCAACCTGCTTGCCACTGCCAGCCCTTCCTTTCAGTCACAGTCCGTGATGCCACTCCCCCATCCCCACGCTCGCCCCTCCCACCCCACCCGCTCCCACCTCACTGCCCTCAGCCCCTCTAGTTATCAAACGAAGTTCACATTTTTGCCTAGCATTTGCAGGAAGCTCCTAGATAACTTGACGAACAATTTCTCCTAGCTCCATTTCCACGTATCTCCTCTTAGCTCCGTCTTCTCCTGTTAACGACGTTCTATTCAGCACAATTATTTTTTGTTTACAGGGGGTTTCGCCATGGATGACATGTCGGCGCAGAACGTAGCGTCGCAGCTTCTCGACCTTATTCGCACGCGACGGCAGCCCATGTCACAAGAGTCGTCGCAAGGACTGTCGCAGCCGTCGTCGGTAGCCGACATACCTCGAAATGTCTCGCAGGAAGTCCCGAGCGGTCGACCCCCTCTAGACGCCTCGACCATTTCATCGAAGCTCGTCAGCACATCGGACTACGTATCTGTCTCGGCCGTTAAATCCGCTTCCGCTGTCCTCGGTTCCGCGCATGTCCCCGCCCATGACTCACTCAGCGCCCGGTCCGCCACCGCGGAGGTCACGAGCTCGTTAGTCACGCCGTCCGCCTCCGCGCATGGCGGAGCCTGCGCGCAGCCGGCGGAAGACCTGCGGAGCGGGAAGAGAATGCGGACGGAAACCGGCGCAGTTGACGCGGCGTGGGGGGGAGGCGCGGTAGGTCCGGCGACGCCGGAGCACGCGGGGTCGGACTCGTCCGCGCCGGGCGGCGCTTGGGACGTGAGCAACGTGCAGATATCGCAGCTGCTACAGGAGATGGACATGTTCTTTCCGCCCGACGACGACGATCTCAGCGCCTTCGCGCTCGCGTTCGACGACGAACCGCTCGACGCCAGCGCCGCCGCGAACGCCATCGCCGCCGCGAATGGCGCTGCGCCTGCGTTTCCCGCGCAGGACTCCATCGGGGAGATTCTGAACGGACTCTCGTCTGCCGGCCCAACCTGCGCCGATTTGCCAAACGCTGTTCCTGCCGTGCCGGCCGTAAGCGTTCCGAGCGTTAGCTTGCCGGCCGACCTGGTGCCTGACGTGCATGCCATGCGCCGCGCAGACTCCGCGGACAGCGCGGGAGTCACTCCGCAGAGCCTGTCGGGGCTGGGTAGTCCGCATAGCAGCCTGACCGCGGGTGAAGCGGGCGGAAGCACTGGCGGAAGCGCCGGAGGCGCTCCGACGCTGACGTCCGTTGAGAGTGCGGAACTGCGGGGGGACTTTTCGCGCGTTTGCTGGGTTGGGGAAGCGGAGAGGCCCGCGGAAGGGGGAGCGGCGGAGCAAGAAGGGGGAGGGGGACAAATAGGGGAAACTGCGCTTGCGGGGAGCGCGGGAACTGGGAAAGGCACGGGTGGGTGGCGCAAGCAAGTACCTGCCACGTCAGCGTTTTCGGGGGAAAACGGTGGCGGGGAGGATAATGACGCAAGCGGAAGCGGCAGGACTGGGGGCGCGATTCCCGGCGCGCGGTCGCTGAGTTTGGGGAGCCAGTTCCGCCGGCAGCAGATCCTGCAGACGCTCTCCTCTCCGCCCGCCGCCCCGCAGGCGATGCAGTCACAGGCGCAGCAGCAACCGCAGCAGCAACAGGCGGGGATGCGCCCCGCGGGCGCAATGCCTCCCCCCGTGCTGCCCCCTCGGCATCCCCAGCAGCAGGCGCAACCCCCCATGGCGCAGCAGGCGCAGCTGGGGCAGCAGCAGGGCGCAGAGGAACAGCAGGGAAACCGTTGGGAGGCGGAGGCATTGCCTACACGGGGGCCGCTGGGCGGTGGGGTAGGAGGAGGAGGAGGAGGGGGAGGGGGAAGAGGGGGAGGGCTGCTGAGAGTGCCATCGGACTATCTAAGGCTGCTGGCGGAGAGCCAGGATGGGGGGAAGCGCGCGCGGGGGGCGGAGAGCGAGTGGCGCGCGCAGCAAGTGAATCGCATGCTGCAGGCGCAAGCGGAGCAGCAGTCGCTGCACGCACAGCAGCAGCAGCAGCAGCAATCTAGTTTTGAGACGTCTCAAAACCAGCAGCAGCAGCAGCAGCAGCAGCAGCAGCAGCAGCAGCAGCAGCAGCAGCAGCAGCAGCAGCAGCAGCAGCAGCAGCAGCAGCAGCAGCAGCAGCAGCAGCAGCAACAGCAACAGCTGATACTGCGAAACCAGCAACAGCAATCGTTGCAGCAGCAGCAACAACAGCAGCAGTGGCAGGGGCAGCAAGAGCAGGTAGCACGCGGCGGGTCAGTGGTGTTGAGTGCGGGCATGAAGAGCGACTCTGTGGCCAGCGCTGACATCACCGCGCTCCTCGAGGCCTACCCTCTCCTCCCGCAATCGTTGCAAGCACAGCAGCAGCAGCAGTCGTTGCAAGCACAGCAGCAGGGATGGAACCAGTCTCCTCCCTTTCAACCACAAGCAGTCCTACAACACCCCAACGGACTGCAGCATGTGCCACCCGCACATGCCATGCCACCCGCACATGCCATGCCATCCGCACATGCCATGCCACCCACACATGCCATGCCACTCGCACATGCCATGCCACCCGCACATGCCATGCCACTCGCACGACCACCACCAGTAGCTTCTGCAAGCCTTCCTCAAGGGGCCTCACCAGGGGAGGCAGTCACATCTGACCACACGCCTCTGGCTGCGCCCCTGCCGCCGCCCTTCCGCCCAGTGACGTCCCCCATGGAGGTGGCGCTCATGGAGTGTGCCGCGGCCGTGGACAGGCGCGACCTGGGGCAGGCGCACTCCCGCATGTCCGCCCTCGCGCACCTCGTGTCACCGCACGGCACCGCACAGCAGCGCCTGGGGTACTACTTTCTTGAGGCGCTGGCGGCCAGGATTGCCGGCACTGGGTCGGCTATTTACAAGGTGCGTATGTGGTGGCTATCTAGAAAGTGAGGTGAGTTGCCGATCTGCTCCTGGTGTCACCGCAGGGCACCGGCACGGCAGCACCTACCCTCCCGCCAGGGCATTCAAGCAGGGTCATGGAGCGCGTACGATGCATATCAGCGGTGGTGGTGTCCTGCGAGGCAACCATGGAGGCACCTCACAAGGCAGGCGTGTGTGCGGACCAACCACCCCAAACCCCCTTCCCCTCTCTCCCTTTTTCTCCAGGCCCTTCAGTCGCGGCAGGGCAGCCAGCCCGGTCCATCCAGCAAAGCGATGCTGTCAGCAGTGCTGGTGTTCTGTGAGGCGTGCCCGTGGATCAACTTTGGCCACCTGGTGGCAAACGGCAGCATTCTGGAGGCGGTGGAGGGTGCAAGGAGGGTGCATGTGATCGACCTGGGCATCACTCACGGCACGCAGTGGCCCACGCTGCTCGAGAGCCTCGCCACTCGCCCTGGCGGCCCGCCTCATTTGCGGATCACGGGGGTGGACGCTCCACTTACTGGCCTCAAGCCTTCCTCGCTCGAGGTGGGTGGGCGGGTGCTCCTGTGGGTGCTTAGGTGGGCGCGAAGGGCGGTGGGGGTGTGATGGCATGGTACATGTGAGCATCACGGGGGTGCATGTGATCGACCTGGGCATCACCCACGGCACGCATTGGCCCACGCTGCTTGAGAGCCTTGCCACGCGCCCTGGCGGTCCGCCTCATTTGAGGATCACGGGGGTGGATGCGCCGCTTACTGGCCTCAAGCCCTCGTCGCTGGAGGTACGTGGGTAGGGTCTTAGGTGGGTAAAAAGAGTGGTGGGGACGTGAAGGTAGGTGCGTTGGATGCTGTTGCTTGAGAGCCTTGCCACCCCCCCTCGTGGGTCGCCTCATTTGAGGATCACGGGGGTGGATGCGCCGCTTACTGGCCTCAATCCTTCCTCGCTGGAGGTGCGTGGGATGGGGGGGATGGGTGGGTGGGATGGCTGGAGTGCTTCTTTGTGCCGCACCTGTGCATGGTGTGTGTGGGTGGAAGGGCAATGGGGGTGTGACGGTGCATGGGGTGCGGCATGTGGGGAGCAGGGTGGGGTGGGCGCATCGCTCACTGGACTAAAGCAGTGCTGCCTGCACCTGCGCTGCTTGGCTGTGTGCCTGCGTTTCTCCTATGTGCATGGCTGCACGAGGCTTCGTGATCAAAACGCGACACCAACCTGTTTGACTTTCTCCTCCTCACCTTTCCATGCCCTCCCCCTCCTCCTCCCCCCTCCCCCCTCCCCCCTCCTCCTTGTGTGTCGGCCTCGTGTGCGCAGGAGACGGGGCGGCGGCTGTTGGCGTTTGCGCGGGTGATAGGAGTGCCGTTTGAGTTCACGCCCATCACAGAGCAGCTTGACGACCTCAAGGTGCGCTGCGACCCTCCACCTCCACCTGCCTGCCTGCCCGCACATCCGCCCCGCCTAACTGCCCGCCTGCCCGCCTGCCCGCCTGCCCGCCTGCCTGCCTCAAGACGCACAACATGCCTGCCATGCACGCCGCTCCGTTTCTCCTACCATTTCCCTCTGCCTGCTCTCACTGCAACACACATGCTGTCCTCCTCGCCCGCCCTCCCCCACCATCCCCCGCAGCACGCATTTTTCTCTGCTTCGCCCATGTGGAATCTAGCCTCCCCAGCTGGAGCAATGAGCAGTGAGGAGCAACGAGCTGAGGATGATGAACTTCTCGCTCACGCCACATCACATGTTGCTGCTCACGCCACATCACATGTTGCTGCTCACGCCACATCACATGTTGCTGCTCACGCCACATCACATGTTGCTGCTCACGCCACATCACATGTTGCTGCTCACGCCACATCACATGTTGCTGCTCACGCCACATCACATGTTGCTGCTCACGCCACATCACATGTTGCTGCTCACGCCACATCACATGTTGCTGCTCACGCCACATCACATGTTGCTGCTCACGCCACATCACATGTTGCTGCTCACTTTCTCCTTCCTCTCCCCTCATCTCTCCTTTTCCCCCTCATCTGTCCCCCATCTCCCACTTCTTCACCGCTCCAGTCAGAGCACTTTGCAGTGAGGAGCGACGAGGTGTTGGTGGTGGACTGCCTGCCTGCTGCGGCTGCACCAGATGCTGCTCTCCCCCTCATCTCTCTCCCTGTCCCCTTGTCTATCCCCTCCCCTTGGCTCTTCCCGAATCTGACCCCTTGCCTGCCCTTCTCCAACACCCTTCCAGCCCGAGCACTTTGCGGTGCGCAGTGACGAGGTGCTGGTGCCGAACTGCCTGCCACGTTGCACCAGACACACTCTCACCCTCATCTCCCCCCTCATTTGTCCCCTCCCTCCCCATTCTCCTTCTGACCCCTTTGTCTCTCCATCTATCTGTTCCTTCCCTTCGCATTCCTTGCAGGCCGAGCACTTCGCAGTGAGGAGCGACGAGGTGTTGGTGGTGAACTGCCTGTTGCGGCTGCACCAGATGCGTGACGAGAGCAGCGCACCGCATGTGCCCAGCCAGCGCAACTGCACGCTTCAGATGATCCGCTCCCTCAACCCCGCCATCGTCACTCTCATTGAACAGGTGTGGGGGAGTTGAAAGGTGGAGGAGGGTGGGGGAATGTGAAGGTGTGGGGGAGAAGGGGGGTAGATGCAGCCGCGTGTGCCCAGCCAGCGCAACTGCACGCGGCACATGATCCACTCGCTCATTGAACAGGTGGGGGGAGCTAGAAGGTGGTAGAGAGGATTGGAGGAAGAGGGTTTGAGGGTGTTGTGTTGTCACATGTCCAGCCAGCACAAGTGCACACGGCACATGATCCACTCGCGCAACCCCGCCATCGTGACGCTCATCGAATCGGTGGAGGGAGAGAGGGGCGGGGAAGTGTGCAGGCGCAGGGGAGGCTCAGTTGAAGTCTTAGTCAACTCTGTGTCACCTGCCACTTGTCGCTGCCACTGAGTCGCGTGTCTCCCGTGGGTACAGGTGGAAATGAATGAAGGCTGCACATATGCGTCCATCCTTCTCCCCTCCCTCGCATGCGGATCACAGGCATCCCATGCTTCTCCCTCTCACATCTTCTTCCACCGCCCTCCTTCTCTCCTGTCCTCCCCTCCCCATCACCCCTCCCCCTCCCCCTCCCCTCCCCCCCCCTCCCCCTCCCCTCCCCCCCCCCCCCTCCCCACCAGCACGCGGATCACAACATCCCCTCCTTCCTCTCGCGCTTCCGCGAAGCACTACACTACTTCAGTGCGCTCTACGAGTCGCTAGACGCCAGCCTACCCTGGAACAGCACGGAGCGCGCGCTAGTGGAGGAGAGGATATTCGGGCGCAAGCTCGTCAACATCATCGCCTGTGAGGGGCGCGAGAGAGTGGAGAGACACGAGAGCCACGCCAGGTGGCATGAGCGCATGCAGCGCTGTGGGTTCGTGCCACGCGCTGTCAGCGCTGACGTGGAGGAGAACGCGCATGTGAGTGCTGACGTGTCGCGTGCGAGTGAGTTGTTGGTGTTTGTCGTCGATTTAGTCAGCTGCTTTTGAGAATTTTCGTAGTGATTCAAATGTAGCAGATATACTCACCCTGTGCTCCTTACTGCTGCACACATTCCCGATCGCCCACTTCCCTGTGCCCACTAACTCACCATGACATCTCCCCCCATATCCTCCCTGTGCCCACTAACTCACCATGACATCTCCCCCCATATCCTCCCTGTGCCCACTAACTCACCATGACATCTCCCCCCATATCCTCCCTGTGCCCACTAACTCACCATGACATCTCCCCCCATATCCTCCCTGTGCCCACTAACTCACCATGACATCTCCCCCCATATCCTCCCTGTGCCCACTAACTCACCATGACATCTCCCCCCATATCCTCCCTGTGCCCACTAACTCACCATGACATCTCCCCCCATATCCTCCCTGTGCCCACTAACTCACCATGACATCTCCCCCCATATCCTCCCTGTGCCCACTAACTCACCATGACATCTCCCCCCATATCCTCCCTGTGCCCACTAACTCACCATGACATCTCCCCCCATATCCTCCCTGTGCCCACTAACTCACCATGACACCTCCCCCTATACCTCCCTGTGCTGCCCACCCCATACCCCCGGTGCCCCTCTTCCCCCACAGCTGCTGCTGAAGCGGTACAGGGAGGGGTACGGCATAGAGCGGCGGGGCGATGCGCTCATCATCACGTGGCGCCACGAGCCCTTCTTTGCCGCCTCCAACTGGTGCTGCCGCCCCGCCGCACTGCCACCACCCACCCTCACACCCGCACCCACACCCTCCCTCACACCCGCACCCACACCCTCCCTCATACCCGCCCCCACACTCACTCCCACTGCTGCTCCCGGTGCTGCGCCTGCTGCTGCAGCTTTGCCCTCCACCGACCCTGCCCCCTCTCCTGCTGCTGCCGGCTCCTCCTACGCACTCCCATCTCAGCCTGCCGCCCACCCCACATCGGCTGGCTTCGTGCCTTCCAGCGGGTAGAGCTGAAGGGGAATGAGCTGCTGACTTTCGTGCCGTGCGGCCAGCATCTGCTTAGTAAAATGCCAACTCTACAGCCTTATGATACGCAAAGGGCATAGCTGCTGGCTAGATATCATGCCTGAGTTTAGTGTACAATAAATGGTAATTATATTACATGTGCTAATCTGTTTTTTCAAGTAATTACAACACATCGAGGGCGCATGCCCCACACACATCTAATCTAAGCTAGCATGGGCAACCTCGCCACGCTCACACTAAAAAGAATGCGCAGGCCATGCCTGGCTACCGCCGTTGGGAGCTGCCTGCTCCTGTGCTGTGCGTGCACAAGCCTGCTGCCCAGGCAAGCACCTCCCATCCCAGTCCAACCCTCTGCTGTTCCTCATGGAGTCCACCCCGTGCACCGTCCCTCTCAGTCAACAGTCTCGTCAACCTCAATCGTCCCTCCCCCCACCACCTCTGCACAACTTGCACGCTCAGCACCTGCTACATCTGCTATAGCCGCTGCTGCGGGTGCTATAGCGCTGCTACAGCTGGTTCAGATCCAACTGCAGCCACCACAGCTCTTGCTACAGCCCCTGCTGCAGCTGCACCTGGTGAAAGTGAGAGTGGTGGTGGGCAGAGCGGGTGAGAGGCGAGAACACACTGGGGGAGTGCTGGCAGGGGGACAAGGGGGAAAAGGTGGGCGCGTGCGTGGAGATAGGGGGGAGCGGACCAGACTCAGTGGGCGGAGTGAGCTGCCCGTACTGTCCTGCCTTCCACGCTCTCTGCTGCTGTGGCTGCAGCGGCGGCAACTGTGGCTCAGGGGCGGCGTATCTACTGGGAACACCCGAGCGCCTGCGGCTTAAGCTGCCGCCGCCGCCGCCGCCGCCGCCGCCGCCGCCGCTGCTGCTCCGTTCCATTATCCCCTCCTCCTCTTCGCACTCCCAGATCGCCTGCGGACTGCTTTCCCCGCTTCCCCAGTCTCCGCTTCCGCCTCCGCTGTCTACCCGGGCCATCCGCGAGCCCGGCTGCGCGCGTAGCGCCACGTCACCGCTCTCTAGACCCGCGAAATCCGGGAAGCTCAGCGACTTGCCCATGCTGGCGCCCAGCGCGATGCGCACATCCCCCGCACACAGCAGGCGCGGAGGAACCGCGGGCGTGGGGGGGACGTCCTGCGCTTGGAAGTTCGGGGGAAGACGGCGGAACGATTGCGGGGGAGCGAGGGAGGAGGGGGAGAGGGGGAGGGACGACATGTCCATGGCGAGCGAAGCGCGCCGAGTCAGCCGGGGAGGACCACATGGGCTGGCGGGCTGGCTGGAATCAGCGGCGGGGAACGTTCGCGGCAGGTAACCAGACGACGAGCCTCCTATCGGCGCGGCATTTGACAGATTGGCGCGCTGCCAGTGCTGCCGCGGAGCCGCATCCGCAGCGAATCGCGAACTCCCGTCCCACTGCGATTGCGACTGCGATTTCGATGACCACTGCGAGTGCGCAGGCGAATGCGACTGCGATACCAATGGCGACTCCGGCTGCCATTCCATACTACCGTGCCTCGCGTGAAAACAGCGACGCTGATGCTGATGATCCGGCGATTCGAGTTCGTCCGGGTGCTCGGCAGGGGGTTCTAGATAGGAATAACGAGCAACGGCCGCCTCAACGGACCCGGGCTGAGCAAGGTTCTGCGCCGACGCGCTTCGTCGCATACCCAGTCGTGATGCCGCAGGTCGCTTAGGAGCCGGGGCTGGCGGAGCCGGCGCAAGCGCCGGCGGCGGCAGTGGAATCGGCACGTTCTCCAGGTCTTTGGCTGAGAAGCTGCGTCGGATGCCGCCGCGGCCATCGTTGCGCACGTCGAGGCTGTAGCGCGGCGCGGAGTTAGCGCGAGACGGCAAAGATGGACGGGCGGCTGTTGATGAATGGAGAGAGATGCTTGCGCGGCGCAACTGCGAGGGACCATGGGAGGGAGAGAGAGGGAGCACGGATACAGCGTCAAAAGGCGATCCATGAACCAAGTCAATGGATGGATAACGACGCGCTGAACGGTAATTCCGCGAAAATGATGGCGGTGATACCAATGCTCATGCTGAGTACAACGAAAGACGAGGCAATATTGATGTGAATGCATCACCTTCACAGCGCATTCCACACAAGCCAAGGCCGCAAGGCTCACCTCTTTCGCCGTCCACGATGCGCCGCCCGCGGGCGACCGTTGATCTGGCGAGCTCTCGTCGACGTTATAGTCGCCATAGTCGCGGGTATATTCAGCCAATCCGCCAGTGGTATCAAGGTTCGGCGGGGGCACGGCAGTGTCTGGATCGGTCTCCGAGGGCGCGTGGAGGAAGTAGGAGTTGCCGGGTCGCAGGAGCTTCTCGGGCGGCAGGTGCAGGCGCGCGGAGTTGTGCGATCCGACCATGAAGCCCGGATAGTCCTTCATCACGCGCGCCACGCGCACGGCGTCCGCGTAGATGCGCATGCCGCCGTCGGGCAGCATGAGCAGCACGGTCTGCCCGCGCTTGAAAAGCTTCAGCGCCATGGCCGGCATTTTGGGGATCTACACGCGGTGACCGGACTGCTCTTGGGAAAGCGATGGACAAGCTAACGGTTACAACTAGGACTGGTGAATAAGTCAGCCTCGATAGACCCACTTGGGAAAACTTCGAAATCAATGAGGGAGACGAGGGAGAAGGGAGAAGTGATAAATAGTTCGTCAAAAGGCAACCGATATACGAGAACGGAGGCGACGATTAAGGAGGAGGGTGGGATGATTTACAGCTGGCCACCGACACACGCCACGTGGTATTCTGCGTCGTGTCGCTCGAAGAGCATCTTAGAATGGTGGGAAGTGAAGCAATGGATAGCTAGTGAGATGCTGGCGGAGTGAGTTGCAAAAGAATCAGGCAGCAAGTCGTCCCAGCTGGAATGATGATGGGCAACACTGAAATTACTCGACGAATTGAATGTCGCGTAGAGAATCGTTCAGCAAATGCGAGCGTACCGAACAGTGCACTAGCACAGTAAACGACACGACACTAGTGCTCTTGAAAGCTGCCTGTCGCAATTCCCGACAATTCTGGAATGGTCCAGAGCCCTCTCAGCCACTCGTTTGCTGCTGGGTCGCGGCAGCGGCGCGAGACCCGGCTCCTGGTTGGGACGGAGACAAGTCTCGCCACTGCACAGGAGGGCGAATCATCGAAAAGCAGTCAAGTCGTTCAGCATCACCCCGTCAGTGCTTCGATTCAAGGCCATATGCGTGTGACTCGTTTCGTTACACCAGCAAGGGACAGGGATTGCTCTTGTCACCAAACTGAAACTCGGTCCCTCTCCTACATCGTTGAAGCGTGACCACACATTTCAGGTTTCGTCCCAACATCCAAAACGTCCCTCACTGCAATCAAGGGGCACACTTCTGCAGTGCGCGCATGCGTCACCGCTGCCAAACAACTGTGCGTTGAACGTGTCCACATGGGAACTTGCCATTCCTCTGGAACCAACACAATTGATGAATCAAATGATCCCCAAAATTCCACAACCGTGATAAGCAAAGCGCCAGCTCCTTTTAGACAGCTGTATACTACGAACGTGTATATGATAACTTTAGGAAAACAAGCCCGGTAGGGAATTTTCTTTCCTTACAACGGTTGATTCGAAGTACCATTTTTGCCCTTCCTTATTCTGTGTCTTTCCATAATAAATGAAAAATTTATATGTTTCACTTCCTAAGAGAATTGAATTCTAGGGCTACACATTACAGAGAGGTGGAGGAAGTATACATTTTGTTTTTTTTACTTCTCTAATACCATATCCAGGCGTCACTTCTCTAATATACAGCAACCTGCACTGCACATATCGAGGTGTCACTTATCCCAACACTCTGTCATGTCAGATCGATCAGACCAATCCCCTCCACCCCCAACCGCGCAATGCCATGTTCCAAGTCGGCCACACCGGAGATGGCAAGTATTTTTCTCTTCACTCCTTAGCGCGGTCCGTTGGTTCGCTTTGCAGCAGCTGAATGTTAGAGTTACGTATGGCGGCGGAAGATACATGTCCCGTGCCAGGCGCCGCGTCCAACGGCGCAGCATCCGCGCCCCCATCAGCATGTCCGGACACTTTAGGGGAGCCAGCTGGCGCTCGTGCGCCGTATGATTGCGGCGTACGCCTAAGCGCGCCGAGCAGCTTGGCGGCGCAGCAGGGCGGGCGCGAGGCGGGGGGAAACGAGGAGGCGGTGACGGCGGGGTCGGTGCACCGTGCTATCGTGCGACACGCGCACTGCTCGCTCGCGTGCGGCGATCGCGACAACCTGTCGCCGTTCGACGTTTACCGCGCGGCTGCGATGAGCGTGCGAGACCACCTGATCGCGCGGATGGATGCGACGGAACGCGCGTACGACGACGCGGTGAGGCGCGCAAATCCGAGCGGATTGGAGGTTGGGGGCTGAATTCGGATGAAAGATGACTAGTAGGGCGGTTTAGATGGTCGCACAGAGGAGAGGAAGCTTCGTCGTACGTGGATTTCAGTAGAGAATGCGTTTGTGGACGGTGGCTGTGAAATGTTCCTCTTTCCCTTCCCCTCCCGCCCTCTCTCGCCCTCTCTCCGTGCGTGTGCGTGTGCGCGTGCGCGGCGAGCAGGGGTGCAAGCGGGTGTACTATCTATCAATGGAGTACCTTATAGGGCGGATGCTGCAGCTGGCCGTCACATGCCTCGGCCTCGATGTAAGCCCGCCACACTCTCGCCCTCGCTCTCCCTTGATCCGTCCTCGTTTCGAACCGTCAACACATGCCCCACTCACGCGCCCTTCCACACATGTGCAACTTCTCCACCGCACCCTGTTACCGCCTCACTCCCACTGTTCCCGGTGCAGCAACCCCCTCATCTCCAACCTCCCCCCCCCCCCCCCCCACCTTCTCCTTGGCCCCCCACTTCCCACCCCACTTCTCGCACCCACCTGTTCCCTTCTCTTCTCTTTCTTCCCCCTCAACAGGAGCAGTACAGCGCAGCACTGCAGCAGCTGGGCATGTCGATGGAGGAAGCAGTGGAGGAGGAGCGCGACCCCTCCCAACCCCCTTTTCTCCCATCCCACCCCACCTCCCCCACACAACAGGAGCAGTACAGCGCAGCACTGCAGCAGCTGGGGGTGAGCATGGAGGAGGCGGCAGAGGAGGAGCGCGACCCCGCGCTGGGCAATGGCGGGCTGGGCCGCCTTGCTGCATGCTTCCTCGACTCCCTCACCACTCTCAACCTCCCCGCCTGGGGGTAAGCTCCGCTGCTGCTACTGCTGCTGCTGCTGCTGCTGCTGCTGCTGCTGCTGCTGCTGCTGCTGCTGCTGCTGCTGCTGCTGGGGTAGTGGGGTGAATGTGCATGCTTGGCGATCAGTGCTGCCACCATCCTCCCTGCCACCATGTGCCATGTGCTCCCACTCGCCCCTGCCCTTCGCCTGCTCCACCCCACCCACGCAGCTGTGGAGTGCGGTGCCACTACAGCATGTTTGAGCAGCGGGTGACATAGACAGGCCATGCATTCCCACTCCCTCCTTTCTTGCTGCCTGCCCTTCGCCTGGCCACCCCCTTCCCCAACCCCCATTCCTTCCCCCGAAACAGCTACGGAGTGCGGTACCGCTACGGCATGTTTGAGCAGAGGGTGGCGGCATTGAGGCAGCAGGAGGCGCCGGACGCATGGCTGCACCCCTGGGGGTGCCCTTGGGAGATTCCCCGCCCCCACGTGCGCCACCGCGTGCACTTCTTTGGCCACGTGGCGGTGCGTGTGGAGGGTATGCGCACGCGGTACCGGTGGGAGGGCGGCGAGCAGGTGGAGGCAGTGGCGAGTGACATCCCCGTACCGGGCTTTAAGACCGGCAACGTCAACCGCCTCCGCCTCTGGCGCTGGTGAGGAGGGGGGGAGTGGGGGGGAGGGGAGGGGAGGGAGATTGGGAGGGGCATGGGAGACGGGAGGGTAAGAGGGGAGGTGAGAAGGTAGGGTGGTGTGAAGCTGGAATGTGGGTTCTGCTGCTGTGGTTCATGCCTGCTTGCTGTTACCATTGCAGCTGCTACCACCGCTGTGCTGCTATCATTGATTCACTCTTCGGACAACCTCTTGTGCGCCCCTTGGTGAGCACCAGTCTGCTTTCCTTCTTCTTCCCCTTTCAACAATCCCCGCCTGTCCCACCAGCGAGCCACTCTCGGGCGGCTTCGACTTGTCCTTATTCAACGCGGGGCGGCACGTGGAGGCGGTGGGCGGCGCAGCGAGGGCGGAGGCGATTAGTGCGGTGCTGTACCCCGAGGACAGTAGCGAGGCGGGCCGGCAGCTGCGCCTGCAGCAGGAGTACTTCTTTGTGTCCGCCACGCTGCAGGTGCGGTGGGTGGGGTACTTGTGACTTGTGCTGTAGTGCAGGTGGGTGGGGTACTTGTGACATGTGCTGTAGTGCAGGTGGGTACTGAAGCGTCTGCAGCAGGAGTAATTGTTCGTCTCCGCCACGCTGCAGGTGGGTTGAGGAAGGGGGGAGGGATGGGTGGGTTCTGAGACGTCTCAAGAAAAGCCTCATATTCTCCTCCACTCTCCTCCACTCTCCTCGTGCTCGTCCCCCCACCTCCCAATCAGGACATACTATCACGGCATGTGGCGGCAGGTCGCCCCTTATCATCCCTGCCCGAGGCAGCAGCAGTGCAGCTGAACGACACGCACCCAGCGCTGGCAGTACCAGAGGCCATGCGGCTGCTGCTGGACGAGCACGGGCTGGAGTGGGGTGATGCATGGCATGCCACCGTGGCGCTGCTGGCCTTCACCAACCACACTGTGCTGCCTGAGGCGCTGGAGCGCTGGCCCGTGCCTCTGCTGCAGACCGTGCTGCCGAGGGTGATGGATCTGATCTTCGAGATTAACCACCGCCACCTGCAGGTTAGTGTGGGCCCAGCAGTGAGCCGAGCAGAGCATTGTGAGCACTGAGGTGCGTGTGCTCTCTGTGTCCATTCTTCCTGCCATCCACCGCATTACCCTGTGCGCATGTGCGGGTGGCCTTGGATGCTTGAGGAGGACGCGCAATGCCGACGCCATGAGGCGTTTCATAAGTCTGAACCGTACGCCAGTGTGTGACCTGCTGTGTGCCCTTGTCCTCTGTGTGTGTGTCTTCCTGTGCATGGTGGCTGGCAGGAGGTGGAGGCGAGGTGCATGGGGGAGGGGCAGCGCATGGCACGGCTGTCGATCATCGAGGAGAGTCACCCCAAGATGGTGCGCATGGCCGTGCTGGCAGCCGTTGGATCGCACGCCATCAATGGTGTAGCGGAGCTGCACTCCACGCTGCTGCGCACGCAGCTCTTCCCCGACTTTGTCGACCTCTTCCCCACCCGCTTCCACAACAAGACAAACGGCGTCACCCCGCGCCGCTGGCTGCTGCTCGCGAACCCGCGGCTCTCACAGGCACGTGTAGGGGGGACGTCGGGGGTGGGTGGGTAAGGGCCGTGTGAGGGAGGAAGGGGGCGCTTGGAGGGGAGGGGGATACGTGTCAAATTGAGTTGGGTGGGGTGAATGGAAGTTGGAATGTGTTATTTAGTTGATGTAGTTCCACGGGTCACTGCCCATGAAGGCAGTTGGCTGGAGTTTGCCCTCCTACTCCCTCCCAGGAAGATGGCACGGGTCGCTTCAGCAAAGAACGACTGTCACCCTGAAGTTTGGACAACGAGTTAAATCTCGAACGTAAAAGCCATCCTACTCCCTCCCCCCAGTTCAGGTGATCACCAATTGGCTAGGCTCAGACGAGTGGGTGCAGGACCTGTCGCTCATCCACTGCCTGAGGGCGCACGCCAGCTCACCAGCCCACACTCCCGTCTCCCCTCTCTTCCCCCCTTCCCCGCCCCTTCTCTCCTCCGTCAGGTGATCACCAAGTGGTTGGGCTCAGACGAGTGGGTGCGCGACCTCTCCCTCATCCAGGGCTTGCGAGCACATGCCAACTCGCCCGCCCTGCATGCTGACTGGACCGCTGCCAAGGCCGCCAACAAGGAGCGCCTCGCGCTGTACATCCGCAAGACGTGTGGCGTGCAGGTGGGGAGGAGGGGTTAGGATGGACTGGGGGGGATTTGGTGGGGAGGGCGAGAGAAGGGAGTGGGAAGGCAGCCAATGAGAAACATGATAGTGAGATTGTTTTGAGACGTCTCAGAACCGTTTTATAATCATGCGTTGGGATGTGTGGCAGGTGGATGGACGGCAATGCATGGTTAGAGATGCATGGGCATCACAGCAAACCCGACTTCACGCACATGCGCCATCCATCTCTGCCCTGCAGCCCTGCTCCTGCCTCCCCAGCACTGACTTCCCCCCCTTTCCGTCCCCCCCACCCCACCTACCGATCATTTCCCGTCTACCCTGCATCAATTTTCTCCAGGTGGAGAGCAGTGCGCTGTTTGACTGCCATGCGAAGCGCATCCACGAGTACAAGCGGCAGCTGCTCAACATCCTGGCAGTCATTCACCGCTACAACAGCATCAAGGTGATCCCGTGCAGCACTGGAATAGCACTGCTACAACAGCATCAAGGTGATCCCGTGCAGCACTGGAATAGCACTGCTACAACAGCATCAAGGTGATCCCGTGCAGCACTGGAATAGCACTGCTACAACAGCATCAAGGTGATCCCGTGCAGCACTGGAATAGCACTGCTACAACAGCATCAAGGTGATCCCGTGCAGCACTGGAATAGCACTGCTACAACAGCATCAAGGTGATCCCGTGCAGCACTGGAATAGCACTGCTACAACAGCATCAAGGTGATCCCGTGCAGCACTGGAATAGCACTGCTACAACAGCATCAAGGTGATCCCGTGCAGCACTGGAATAGCACTGCTACAACAGCATCAAGGTGATCCCGTGCAGCACTGGAATAGCACTGCTACAACAGCATCAAGGTGATCCCGTGCAGCACTGGAATAGCACTGCTACAACAGCATCAAGGTGATCCCGTGCAGCACTGGAATAGCACTGCTACAACAGCATCAAGGTGATCCCGTGCAGCACTGGAATAGCACTGCTACAACAGCATCAAGGTGATCCCGTGCAGCACTGGAATAGCACTGCTACAACAGCATCAAGGTGATCCCGTGCAGCACTGGAATAGCACTGCTACAACAGCATCAAGGTGATCCCGTGCAGCACTGGAATAGCACTGCTACAACAGCATCAAGGTGATCCCGTGCAGCACTGGAATAGCACTGCTACAACAGCATCAAGGTGATCCCGTGCAGCACTGGAATAGCTGCTACAACAGCATCAAGGTGATCCCGTGCAGCACTGGAATAGCACTGCTACAACAGCATCAAGGTGATCCCGTGCAGCACTGGAATAGCACTGCTACAACAGCATCAAGGTGATCCCGTGCAGCACTGGAATAGCACTGCTACAACAGCATCAAGGTGATCCCGTGCAGCACTGGAATAGCACTGCTACAACAGCATCAAGGTGATCCCGTGCAGCACTGGAATAGCACTGCTACAACAGCATCAAGGTGATCCCGTGCAGCACTGGAATAGCACTGCTACAACAGCATCAAGGTGATCCCGTGCAGCACTGGAATAGCACTGCTACAACTGCCCTGCATGCGCCATGTGCCCTGAATGTGCCTCGCATGTGCCATGCCATGTGTCATGCGCCTTGCAATCAATGCAGCCATGCATGTGACTGACACCCCCGCTCCACCTCCCCCACCGCGCAGTGCAGCAGCTTTGAGGAGAGGGCGCGCATGGTGCCACGGGTGCGGGTAGCGATGCGGTGATATTATTGGCTTCCCCGTCCCCCCATGCATGTGAGGTTGACGCTCTGTTTCCCCCGCCTTTCCCCCCACCGCGCAGTGCAGCAGCTTTGAGGAGAGGGCGCGCATGGTGCCACGGGTGGTGGTCATTGCTGGCAAGGCGGCTCCGGGCTACTTCCGGGCCAAATGCGTCATCCACCTCATCAACGCGTGAGTCCACCTCATCAACGCGTGAGTCCACCTCATCAACGCGTGAGTGCCCATGCTGCTGCCTATCTGATTCAATACCCTGACCATCCGCTCTTTCCGCTCATCGCTAGTCCCCACCCTCCGTCCCCCCTCAACAGTGCCACAGCCTCTTACCTGTGTCCCCCTCATCCTCTCAACACACACTGTTCTGGCCTCTGATTCCCCCATCCCCTCTCTCCCTCCTCACCTCTTCCCCCCTCCCTCGGCATTCTCCCACTCATCCCCCTCCCACCGCCCCTATTCCGCCCCTTCCCCACTCAACCCCTCTGTGTCTCCTGTGCTGGCAGGGTGGCGCAGAGGGTGAACAGCGATGCTGACATCAGTGGGCTGCTCAAAGTGGTCTTCCTCCCCAACTACAGTGTCTCGCTCGCTCAGGTGCCACACCCACACCCTCACTCTCGCCCGCACCCTCACTCCCACTCTCACTCTCACCCTCTCCCTGATTCTCAACCTCACCCTCACTCTCACCCTCACTCCCCTTGCGGCTTCCCTTCTCTCATCAGGTCTCGTAACCATGATCCTATGCAACTACCATCCTCACCAGTGCCCCTCACCCTCTCCCTCCTCTTTGTCACACCCACCCTCCCGTCAATACTGCCTGTTCTTCCCCCCCAGCTGATAGTGCCAGCGAGTGACATATCGCAGCACATATCAACGGCGGGCATGGAGGCATCGGGCACGGGCAACATGAAGTTCGCCCTCAACGGGGGGCTGCTGCTGGGCACCATGGACGGAGCCACCATTGAGATCGCCAACGCCATTGGGCGTGAGAACGTCTTTGTGTTCGGTGCGCTGGCGCACGAGACGCACTCGTTGCGCCACTCGCTGCGCTTCCGCCAACCCATCCACGACGACCGCCTCATTCAGGTGCTGCTCTGCTGCCATGCCAGTGCTGCTCTGCTGCCATGCCAGTGCTGATGTCCTTCTGCTGTGCTGCTGTGCTGTCATGCAGCCTCGTTCAGGTGCTGCTGCCGTGCTGCCATGGGAAGGGGTATGCCATTGGCCAGGTGAATCCTGGACATGCGCTCCTGTACCATATCCACAAACAAACTTGAACCCCCAACCATTCCCAACCCGCCCTTCTTTACCAGGTGGTGCGCACGATCGAGGCGGGGGTGTTTGGGCCGGCGGACGACTTTCGGCCACTGCTGGAGTCGCTGGGTGGCGGCAATGATTACTTCCTGCTCTCCCACGACTGGCCTTCCTACCTCGACGCCCAGGTGCTACTTCCCCTCGTCCGTGCCTTCACCCTCAGGGTTCAAGGCACGGTTTAGGTGCCTTCACCCCAAACCCTAAACCCTGTCGCTCCCCCCAGGTGTTGCATCCCCCATCCATGCCTTCCTCCCAGGTGCCACCTACCTCTCATCCATGATCCCTCTTTATGCAGCACTGGCACCATCCGCACCTGCGCTCCTTGCCTCTTCTCGCTTCACAGGTTATGGCAGCTGGAAAGCTGGAATCTGGCTTGGCTTGTCCCTTCCAAACCAGCCATGCTATTTCTGAAGTATCCATCCCCTGTGTGTGTGCATGTGTGTACATGTGTACATGTGAGCATGTGTGCATGTGTGCATGGGTGCATGTGAGCATGTGTGCATGGGTGCATGTGAGCATGTGCGCATGTGTGCATGGGTGCATGTGTGCATGGGTGCATGGGTGCATGTGAGCATGTGTGCATGTGTGCATGTGTGCATGGGTGCATGTGTGCATGGGTGCATGGGTGCATGTGAGCATGTGTGCATGTGTGCATGGGTGCATGGGTGCATGTGAGCATGTGTGCATGGGTGCATGGGTGCATGTGAGCATGTGTGCATGTGAGCATGTGTGCATGTGTGCATGGATGCATGTGTGCATGGGTGCATGTGAGCATGTGTGCATGTGTGCATGGGTGCATGTGAGCATGTGTGCATGTGTGCATGGGTGCATGTGTGCATGGGTGCATGTGAGCATGTGTGCATGTGTGCATGGGTGCATGGGTGCATGTGAGCATGTGTGCATGGGTGCATGTGAGCATGTGTGCATGTGTGCATGGGTGCATGGGTGCATGTGAGCATGCGTGCATGTGTGCATGGGTGCATGTGTGCATGAGTGCATGGGTGGGTGCATGCATGGGTGCATGTGTGCATGTGTGCCTCTGTGCATGTGAGCACGTGAGCAGCATTCAGTGGACACGCTCTTCCTCAATCCCACTGAGTGGTGCCGCCGCTCCATTGTATGTCCCCTCCCTCGCCCGCCTCGTTCTTCATACCATCCAGATGCATCCTCTGTCCTCCACTCTTCCTTCGTTCTCCACCTTTCATGCGCCATCCCCCCGCATGCGCTTGTCCAGGCTTCTGGATCGTCTACTTGCTTGGTGTGTCCTCCATTATTGTGTTGTGTTGTTCTCAGTGCCTGTTCTTAGTGTGTCTCCTCTCTCTGGTTGGCCTACCACCTGTCCCTCATGTTTCCTCTTGCCACGTGTCATTGCAGATAGCAGCATCGATGATGGGCCGATTCAGCAGTGACCGCACCATTGCCGAATACGCACGTGACATCTGGCACCTCCAGGTACATTTGTGAGATTTGAAGGAGGTCGTTGCATGCAGATTGTTTTGTTCCACATGATGTTTACTTGATTGCGAGTCCTGGTTTCATGTGTCCTTGCAACTGTGTCAATTTCAGCCTGTTATCGTGCCAGGGGTCCTCAACACTACGTAACCTGCTTTTCGACGCTGCTCCGCTGTTCATTATAGATACCGTGAGGGAACTTCGATGCGTGCATGCTTTTGTTTGTAGTACAATGGGTATCTTAATATATGGTTTTCCAATGGCAATCGTATGTATCTCTAGCCTAACTACACTCCTGCGTTATCGAAGCCGAACTTGTCAAAGCATTGTGGTTGTTAGTTAGGGGTGCGCTTTCGCGCGGGAAAGATTTTCCCGCAGCCTTACTGCCGACCGTTGACAGATGACGGCTCGGTGAACAAAATGTTTGAAACTTTATTTGTTTGGTAGCGATCCATAAGCCGCCTTACGGGCAGCGGAATGCTTGCCCATGTCAACGAGATTTTGTCAAAACTTCACCCAATGGTCGCCGCCACATGTCAAAAACATGTTTCTTGCATCCAGCGACATCTTCTTTTCACCGCCAACCGTTCGCCAACTCTGGGAATGGTCGCAACCGTTCGCATAGTTGGGGTTTCTGCCCGCGCTGGCTTCGCTCCAAGCAAAATCAGTCCTGCAACTCCAATTGAAAATTTATCGTCAAAGTTGTGCGACTTGCGAAAGTTGGGCTCGTGGTGATAGGAAGCTGGGCGAGGCACGTCGCATTGTGTCGCACCGTTAGGGCTTTTTGGAATCAAAGGCGCGCGGCACGTCCCGAGCGCCGCGTTGAGTCACACGATTGATGGATGATGCTCCCATCGCAGCGCAAATGAAATCGCTGCTGTCGCTGAGACGATGGATGACAAGTCTACGGCCATGCGACAAAGTGGCGCCGACTAAATTACCCCTCATTCTCCATTCTATTCATCATTCCACCATCGTCGCTCAGTCGTTGACAAGATCGTCCAGTGACCGTCGAGATCTGTCGGCGAAGGCATACATTGATGCGCTTTCGTGGGCCAGTTTGGAGGCTTTCACATTTCCCGCTGCCGTCACTCGTAGCATTGGTTTCGACACATGCCCAGCAGGCACCCCGAAGCCAAACACCATCGTCACCTCACCTTCGTCACGCCCAAACAGCACCGTAACGTAACTGCAACTTCAACCCATATTTCTCCACTCTGCTACGATTCAGGCGCGAATTCGTCCGACTTAAATCTCTAATACCAGCTTCTTCAAGAAACTGCTTGCGCTATCCATGAGGACAAACCAGCATTAGCACCACGTACTTGTATCAGGCAGCGCAAATCCCAGGAGTGTAGTGAGGGTGCAGAGTAGCGGGAGTTCCGCGTGCAATGTGGCCCGACTGCTACCCTCCCCGGCACGGCTTTCACAACGGCGCTGCCGGCGCCGCGTCAGGCCCGCATGGCCCGTACGGTCGAATTCAGAACGGACACTCGTTCCACGCACCCAGACAGCAGCAGCAACAGCAGCAACAACAACAGCAGTTACAGCAACAGCAGCAGCAGCAGCAGCAGCAGCAGCAGCAGCAGCAGGTGTCGGGATTATCTAACGGTCAGTTGCAGGCGTCGTTCGGATGCCAGTCCGCCCCAACCTCTCCGTCCAAGCCGCCGCCCTTCGCGAGGCGAGCAGGCAGCGCCGACGCCGGCTCGATAGCGTCCGACGCGGGCACTGCGTACGCTGAGAGTTCCGCGTCGGGCGACGACGACGGGAGTGCGGGGTGGAGCATGGCGGCCGAGGAGGGCAAGTCGAACGACGCATTCCACGTCATCCACAAGGTCCCCGTTGGCGACTCGCCTTATGTCCGCGCGAAACACGTCCAGGTACGAACCAGAATCCAGGAACGAGCGTGAACAAACTTTTATCGCAGTATAACCGTCTCCCACCCCGCAATGCGCCTTCTCAATCGTTGCTTTTCCCCCTCCCCGCTCTCCCCCACCGTCGCGCTTCCCCTCGTGCGTGCGCGCAGCTGGTGGACAAGGACCCGGTGCGCGCGATCGCGCTGTTCTGGTCGGCGATCAACGCGGGCGACCGCGTGGACAGCGCGCTCAAGGACATGGCGATCGTGATGAAGCAGCAGAACCGCCCCGAGGAGGCCATCGAGGCCATCCGCTCGCTGCGCCACAAGTGCTCCGAGGTGGCGCAGGAGTCGCTCGACAACGTGCTGCTCGACCTCTTCAAGCGCTGCGGGCGCCTCGACGACCAGGTGGCGCTGCTCAAGCACAAGCTCGACATGATCCGCCAGGGCGTCGCGTTCAACGGCAAGCGCACCAAGACGGCGCGCTCCCAGGGGAAGAAGTTCCAGGTGTCGATTGAGCAGGAGGCGACGCGGCTGTTGGGGAATCTGGGGTGGGCGTACATGCAGCAGGGGAACTATGTCGCTGCGGAGTCGGTGTATCGGAAGGCGCTGCGCGTGGAGGCGGATAGCAACAAGGTGTGCAACCTCGGCATCTGCCTCATGAAGCAGGCCCGCATCGTCGAGGCGCGTGAGCTGCTCGAATCCGTGTCGCCCAACAGCGACCCGCGTTGGGGATCCGAGTCGCACATAAAGGTGAGCTTAAGATGCCTCTCGTCTCTCGCATTGCTCATCGAGTTTCGTTTCTCGCCCTCCACCCGTCCACCCGTCTTGCATTCTGTCTCAACGCTCGTTTCCAACCTTACTTTGTCCCTTCCTCGCCACGTGCCGCCATGGCAGTCGTACGAGCGCGCGCAGAGCATGCTCGTGGAGCTCGAGACGTCAGCAGCGGCGGCCGAAGCGGCCAAGGACGGCGCAGCTGCCAGCGCGGGCACCAGCGGCGGGGAGGACGCTAGCACCAGTGACACGGTCGGTAAATCCGCCGCCTCCGCATGCGCGCCGTCCGCAGCACCCAGCGGCGATGGGGTATCGTCCGACAAGCTCCCGCAAGTCAAGCCCGCGTTCCGCGGCATTGGTGGCATGGGCATGGGCATGGGCTTGGCGCGCAGCTCGTTCCAGCGGCACTCGTCGTACCTGTGCGAGTTCCTGGGCGCGCCCGATATGTGGGACTCTCTCATGGCCGACGGCAGCGCCGCTGGGGGTAACGTAACTGCGGAAGGAGCGCCGGCAGCTCCGCAGGGCGCCGCTGGCGGCTCGTCGGGCATCGTGGGCATGCAGTCGCGGGGACCGCCGGATGCTCCGCCGCCGCAGCAGCAGCATCAGCAGCAGCGGCAACTGCAGGCTCCAATGCAGTGCATGCGGAGGCCGCCAGCGACCGGCGGAATGGCGCGTACGATGAGCATGGGCGCGGGGTGCGGCAACCCGCTGGCGCGCTCCATGAGCTTCGGCGGAGCGGATGCACGCGGGGGGCTGTCGTGCCTCAAGCCCAACGCGCCCGAATTCATGCCCGGGTCGTTCGGCCCCATTCCGCCTCCCCCCGGCCACGGCTCCGCTCCGCCCTTCATGCACGGCGCTCCGCCCCCGCCTCCCCCTGGCGATGGTCGCCGCACGCTCACCGCGTCCCGCTCGCTCCCCCCACTGCAGATTCCCACGGCGGGATTCGCGCTGGCGGCGGCGTCGCCATCGCTCGTGTCGCCTCTGGGGCCCATGTCGAGCGGCTCGCTCTCGTGCTCCTCGAGCTACGGCGCCACGTCGTGGGATGACGGGTTGATGTCAGCGTTCGAGAGTGACGACGACGTGCTCTGCGAAATGCCCAACGACAGTTACCAGCCGTCTGCTGCGGCTATCTCCGTTGCTGCGGGGGTCTGGGCATCGCAGAAGCCGCCCACTTCGGCGCACCTCGCTGCCGCACTGCGCAAGGGCGGCGGATTCCCCGCGCCCGGGCAGCGCGCGCTGTACAGGGGCACGGAGAATGTTCCGCAGTACATGGCGGGAGGCGCGCCCATCGGCACGGGCGGGCCTGGCGCGCGGAGGCCTCTGGTGTTCGGGTGCGAGAACCCCGCGCCAATGGCATCTAAGGCGCAGATGGTGGCGGGCGGGCTGATGGGCGGAAGCAATGTGGCCATGCAGATGGGCGCGGAGATGGGCGCAGGCATGGGCATGACGACGGTCATGGGCGAGCGCACGAACCTGGAGCCCCCCGCGCAGTTCATGGGCGCATGGGGTGCTGCGGCGCAGGGGAAGGGCGCGTGGGGCCCCGCATGGGGGATGGCTGGGGAGGGAGGAAGCATGGTTGAGGGGGATAAGGGGAAGGATCAGCAACAGGCGTTGGCGGGGCAAGAGGTGGGGGGGACGGGAGTGAAGAGGAACCGAGTGCCGACCCCAGTGAAGGCCCCTGCTCCCAAGGGAGAGAGAGGGGGCGAGGCGGAGGGCGGAGACATGAGTGCAGCGCAGGAGGGCGGGCCGGTGGTGCCGAGGGCGCTGTGGGAGATGCTGGGGTTCACAGGTAGCCCGGACAAGCTGCTGCTGGAGGAACTCAAGGCCACCGACAGCGCCAAGAAGCTGCTCGCCTCCGCTGGGTCTGCTGACAGGCAGCAGGGCAGCGAGCGACGCGCGCTGTTTGCTGACAACGCTGATACTGTGGCTGCAGTGGTAGGCGGTGCTGCTGCCACCACTCTGACCAGCCCCACTGCAGGCAGCTCCCATGTGGAGGTCAAGAGGCCCCGCCGCCTCCGCATCTTCCAGGAAATGACATACGTTGGAGCAGCTGCATAAACTGGAGGCAGACTAAACTGCTTAATTGACTCTGATGCTGAACTGCCATAACTGGAGCTGCTAAATCTTACCCCTACGCGCATGCAGGCACTGGACGAGACAACCTCATGACAGCTTGTCTAATGAGGTGGCCAAATGCATACTCTGAAGTTCTCTTGAGTTGACCTTTTTAGCTGTTAGTTTATTGTAGGCTTTGTGATCCTTAGTTTAGTGAGTAGAGCTATTTATTTAGCACCTAGGACTGTTGGTAAATCACTGTTTTTGCCAGCATAATACTAAGTTCATAGACGTTGTCTTCAAATTATGTTCCAGTTATAGAGCTGAGGGCTGGTTTATATTGTCAAATACGGTGTTGCTGGTTTCACTGTAGCACTCCACTCTCAGGCTGGCGGGAAATTCTCGAGGCGGGACAGAACTTCGAAGTTTGAAAGTGTCAGAGCGCGTCGACTCAGCCAATCCCAAGGTCCCTCCACCTCTTTTCTGCACCTCTTCCCTGCACCTCTCTCCTCTGCCGGGGTCATCGAAGAGCATTGATCAGTCACTTGTACATTTCTTCCAGATTCCAGATTCCATCTCTTCATCCATCCAAGCTTTGAGCTTTCCCCTCAGTAAGTCCTTGCGAATCATGAGCCAAATGTCAGAATAAGCTAATCGTTAGTTATTGAGGTCAACCTTCGAAGCGCGCAATCTGTATTAGCAAGATTTCGAAGCGCGCAATCTGTATACTCTAGTTAACAGGAAGCATGCAGGGAGGAAGTAGGAGAGCTGTAGACCCACCAGAGTCGCTTATACCGAGAGTCTTGAACGAGTGTCAGGAATCAGTCGCGTCTCACCATAGAAACAGTTTGCTTCTCCTCCAGTGTGTTCGCCAACACCGAGACGATTTCTCGCCGACATTTCTTGATGTCATTCGACCCGCTCTCCTCAGCACGAAAGCCGGCAGCCCTGGCGACAAGGTGCTTCGGTTCTTCAAGACATTCCTCGGCGTATTGGTCGCAGAGGGAAGCGAGGGCGAACGGGAGATGATGGAGGAGCTGCTGTGCCTCTTCTCGCAGTACAGCGAGGCGCGCAGCAAGGCCGTGCGGGTCAACGTCACCAGAGTGCTCTCGGAGGTATGTCACTCTCTCCCGTTCCGATCAAGATGATATGTTATTGCAGAACTCAATCTGGTCTTATTCAAAGCGTTTCTGGTCTTAAACTAAGCATATCAGGCCTTAATCTAAACGTTTCAGGTCTTGCTCTCAGCGTCTCAAGTTACTTTGAATCCTGCAGGTGCTGAATTCGTTGCCCGGCAGCTTCAGTCTGTCAGCCGACGCCATCGTGATCATCCGCGAGTTCTTGCATTGCCGAATGGACGACAAAATCGCCGCCATCCGCGCGTGGGCCGCCAGGGCGCTAAAGCGCATGGTGACGTTCGAGGAGGACGGCGGAGTGGACGTGGACACAACCATCGGGTTATTCCGAGAGAAGATGAAGACCGAGTCGAGCTCCGTAAGCCTCGTCTCTATCGTATGCTCCACTTGCTGGACACCCGTTTGCCATTGTCCTCTGAAACCGCGAATTTGTATGAGAGTCATGACGACGGCTATTAGCGTGGTGCCTGAATGGAAACACATTGGGTTGCGCGTGGTGCAGGAGGTGCGCGAGGCGATGGTGTGGTCGCTGCCGGAGTCCACGAGCACCATTCCCGACATTCTCGAGCGCACGGCGGACGTCAGCGAGCGGGTCAGAGCCGCCGCGTACAAGTCCTTCGCCGAGAGATTCTTCCCCATCGAAAGCTTCAGGTGCGCGCCTGTTTATATTTCGCACGATCGCCGCGGCCACGGTTGTCATGGAGCTTATTTTTCTATGCTCTGCCACGTGGCGTGTGTGTGTGTGTCCGTCGCAGCATCCGACAGCGAGTGCAGCTTCTGTCGCAGGGCCTGGGCGACCGGTCGTCGGCGGTGCGATCGGCGTGCGTGGAGCTGCTGTGTCGCGCGTGGTTGTCGCGCGACTGCGAGGGCGACCTGGTGCGACTGCTGCGACACGTAGACGTGGAGAGCCACGAGGCGGTGGCGGAAACAGCGGTGCAGGAGGTCCTGCAGGCGCACAGCGCGGGGTGCGGCGACATGGAGCTGGTCGTGCCTGAGGGGAGACTGCGTGCCGCTGTCAAGCAGATGTCCACTCCTGGGAAAGGCAAGTACCTCGGGGAAACGTCAGATTCCAACACACATACTCCGACCCCTGGGTCGCATTGCACGTGGTTTCAACAAGCTTGTGAATTCCATTAAATATCATTTCACTCCAGCGGCAAATCTCACGTCTCTCCTCCTCTCGTGGTTCGTGCAGAGGGGTCGGAGGCGGCGGCAGCATCGGCGCTGCTTACGGCGGAGGAGGCGCTCTTTTGGCGCATGCTGTGCTTGCACCTCGCCGCGCAGGCCAATGTCAGTCCGCTCCCGCGTTTGCCACTTCCGCGCTTGATGCTTCCGTGCTTGCTTGCTTCCCACTTGTTGATTGCGCGCTTGCTGTAGCTCGCCTTCAAGGCGATGTGTGTCTGACGTTGCGCGTCGTGATATTGCTGCAGGAGAGCGGATCAAATGCCGCAATATCAGCAGGCGCAGCAGCTGTGGTGGCGGCGGAGGCGGCGAGCGACCTGAACGCGCAGCTGGAGGCGCTGCTGCCAGCCACGGCGCAGGACTACCTGACACTGCTGGAAACGCACATGCAAGCAGGTACTGGGCGAGCTTACAGGCTATTTGCACCAACGCAGGGATATGAGGACCGCCTCTGACCGCTTGTACCGACGTGTGTTTCACGTTTTATGCAAGCGCCATACTGATACTTGCTTACTGTTCTCGCAGGGTCCGAGGGTCGGTTCGCCGCGCGGCAGCTGATGCAGCTGGCGGCGGTGCTCGACTTCACCGACGCCACCATCCGCGCGCACGCCGCCGCGCTCGTGCACCGCCACCTCGTCGGCGCGGAGGCGGCGCGCGCAGAAGCGGGGGAGGAGAGCGGCGAGGTGGAGGACGAGTGGGAGGAGAGCGTGGCGGACGGCAGGTGGGGCGAGGCTCTGCTGGGGCTGGCGCAGCGCGTGCACGCCTCGAATGCTGACGTGCTCGCCGCTCTCGTGGACGCTCTGGCTGACGTCAGCAAGCCGCTGATGACGGGAGTGGCGGGTGTGAACGGGGTGAGCGAGGGGCAGTGGCTGCGGTGCGTGGCGGCGACGCGCATGGTGCTGCGGCTGTGCTGCAAGTCGGCAGGCGGCGGCGCGTTCAGGGCGTGGAGGAACCTGCGCGTGGAGCCGCAGGAGGCGCTCAACTGCATCCTCGTCCCCGCGGTACGTGCGCGCGCTCGCTTCTTTCACTGCCTCACCCCGCTTGCTCTCAACAGGCCGGTTTGTGCGCATTTGCTCCACTGCCCCCGTGACCCCACTGCTCAAGCATTATCCCACCCCTCTCACCCCCACCTCCCGTTCCCCACTTGTGCCTGCAGGCGTCGCACCCGTCGCCGCTGGTGCGCGCGGAGGCCGTCGGCGCGCTGCACGCCTTCACCATGCTGCACGCGCCGTCCGCGCGCGCCCACCTGCCTCTGCTGCACGCCGCCGCGCGCGATTCCGCACACCCCGGCGTGCAGATGGCGGCCGTGCGCGCCCTCGCGGACCTGCTGCTTTGGCACCGCCCCGCCGCGCTGCTGCCCGACATCGCTGCGCCCGCTCTCAGCGACGACGGCGAGGGGAGTGCGGTGAGCGGATGCAGTGGGGGGGGAGAGGCGCATCGCACAGGAGGGGCGCGTGGAGGAAGGGGAGCGGAGGTGGCGGAGGGGAGCGTGGACGTGCTGGTGGGGCTGGTGCCGCTGGAGGGCGGGCAGGTGGACATTGAGGCGGTGAGGGAGGACGTGCAGCGCGCAGGGCGACAGGCGGAGGGGGAGGAGGAGGGCGTGGTGGGCGTGGTGTGCGAGGGGCTGTGCAAGCTGCTGCTGGCGGACGCGAGCAGGAGCGTGGGGAAGGGCGCGGAGGGTGGGGCGGAGAGCAGGGTGGAGCGAGTGCTACAGGTGCTGGTGCAGGTGTATCTGTGCCCGGGCGCCGCTGAAGACGAGCTGCCCAGGTGCGTGGCGTGGTGTCTATGTGTGTGTCTCTGGAAACGATTGTCTCGCCACATTCCCTCTGACTTGTATTTCCTCTGGGTATGCTCATTGGGTGTGTGCACTCCGTAAGCCGCCCTTCCCTCATCATCTCCCCCACACCCCCTTCTCCTCTCGCTCTTGCGGCACAGGACACGCCAAATGCTAGCGGAGCTGTTCAACCGCGTGGCCGTGCTGCCCGCCTGCAAGGTACGCCACCACGCCACGCGACCAGCCAACTACTGATTTCTCTGGTGGCATTACTTCCTTTGACAGTCTGTCGCTGTGGCACCTCACTCCTCCCTCACTCACTCTTCCCCGTTTTCTCCCTCTCCTGGAATCCCTCCCTGTCATCCCTGCCCAGGTGGCAGCGTCGCGTTTACTGCTGCCAGTGTTGCGGCAGTTGTGGCCGCGCAAGGCGGCAGCAGCAGCGCGGCAGCCTGCAGTGCGTGCCTCGCAGCTGTTGCTCTCCCTCATGCTCGCGCATGGTGCCCACGGGGTCGTGCCGCCCAAGCAGAGAGGAGAGGGCGAGGGGGAGGGGGAAGGAGAGAGAGCGGAGGAGGGAGAGGAGGAGGGGGAGGGAAGAGCAGTAGGTGGTGGTGATGGTGCGGGCGAGAAAAGTGGAGTGGGTGAGAGCAGCCGCGTGGAACAGCCAGCGGTGGGCTTCGAGTCTCTGGCTCTTGATCTTGCTGCTGAGGTGGGTTCCCTTCCCACTCTGCTGCCCTCGTGTGCACCTCCGCCAACGGCCATTCAGCCCTTGTATATCGCTCTCTCCATAAACCCGCACTGCCGCACGCTCTGCTGTGATGCTGAGCCCTGTGTGCTGTGCCACAAACGTGCTGTCTTGCACGCCTCAATCACCCCACATGTCATGCTCTTTCCCCTTCCGCCCCAGATCCTATCCTCCCCACTGGCCACGTCAGGCAGTGCGAGTGGGAGGGCGTACAGTGCGCACTTGGTGCAGCTGCTAGTGGAGGTGCCGCTCAGAGCCTCCCAGCAGGACGACGTCAAATGCCTGCGCTCGCTGCTCCCCATGTAAGACTCTTCCCATCATCAGAGCATCCCTTGAATGCTCTTGCCATTTCCAGACAACAGAAAAGGCACTCCCTGTTCCAGTTCTGCAGCTCTGCACCCACCACCAGTCACCTGCGAATCCCATCCAATATATTGCTCCCGCCCATCACCCACCACCACCACTCACACGCGACCCACTCTGAACCCGTCCTTCCCCCTCCCCCTCCCCCGCGCGTCTGGTCCCGTGGCAGGGTGGCGGAGGCAGTGCAGGGGCAGCGTGCGGCGCAGCGGCTGGTGGAGGGGCTGGCAGAGCGGCTGAGGGCGCTGGACGCCACTCCAGATGAAGAGCTGCCTCTGGAGCGCCTGGAGCAGCTGCTGCATCGCGGTGAGGGGGAGGTGGGGAAGGGGGAGGATGAGCTGCGAGTGAAGGGGAGATTGGGGAGATATGGGTGGGAAATGAAGGATGGGGAATGCAGGGAAAAGGGAAATTCTTGTGTTGACTGTTGGTGATGCGGGTGCAGCAGGTGTGGTAGCACGGTGTGATTCACACATACATGCTGTGCGGTGCTATCCTGTGTCCCCTGCTTGCAGTGGATGGCGATGCAGCAAGTGGGTCAGAGGCAGCGGGCAGTGGTGCATCGGCCATGGAGGGAGGCTCTCCTCCAGGCAGGAGGCGACGAGGCAAGCCGCTAGGTACGCTGCTCCGTATGCTGCTTGTGCTTCCACACGTGTCGCTTGTACTCCCACAAGCCCGTGGGTTGTTGCGCCATGCACCACCTGCTTCGAGGACACAGCCACGCCAACACGCCTTTCTCATTGGTTGCCTGTTTTCTCCCTCTCCCCCATGCCTCTCGCCCATGCCTGCACAGCGCCAGCCCGCCTCACCTCCCCCTTCTGCAGCCCCGACCCCGCCACACCGGTGCAGCGTTCTGCTCGCCCCTCACGGCAGTGCAAGGCAGTGGCAAACAGCCGCCTCAAGCAGCAGCTGGGAGGTCACAGCAGCGCCGGCAGACCTGCGGTCGGCGAGGCAGCAGTTGGGGAGAGTAAGGGAGTGGATGCAGGGGAGGGGGTGGAGCAAGTGGGTAGGGAGGGACAGAGCACGGCAGCAGATGTGCAGCCTGAGGCTCACAGCAGTGGGAGTGAGGAGGAGAGCGAGAGCAGTGAGAGTGAGGAGTATGGGAGTGGAAGTGAAAGTGGAAGCGAGGAGGAGTACAGGGCGTCAGTGGGCAGGCACCAGAGGGGCGCGCGGGCACAGGAGCAGACTAGTGGGCCATGGCGAGTGGCGTCCGTGATAGCTGCTGTGAGGAGGCGCAGGAGCAGCTGCAGCAGCATGGTGGTGGTGGTGGCAGGGACGCGCCCATCTCCATCTCCACCGACTCTGACTCTCAAGATGTGATCGAGGTGGTGGAGGTGCTGCCGGGGGTGGCAGGCACACACAGCAAGCGCGTGCAGCCCAAGGAGGAGGCAGAGAGCATATCTGCGGAGGTGGAAGAGGTGTTGGAGGATGAGAGTGTGTGCATGGCAGCAGGGCTCCACGCTGACAGCCCCAGTGTGGGCCGCACAGCACCAAGGGATGACGCCTCCCCTGCAGCACGGGGGGTGGAGGGCTCCCCTGCGGCGTCAGTGGGCAGTGACGCCACATCCTTTGCATCGGCTCTGAGTGACGACCTCCTCCTGCCCTCGGCCTTGCCTGCTGCCATGCCCGCCAGGCGTGCCGGCGCCAGGCAGAGGCGCTTTGTGCTTGATGACGGCAGTGAGAGTGAGAGCGAGGGTGAGGGTGAGGGTAAGGGTGAGAGTGTGAGTGGGAGTGAGGATGGAAGTGAGAGTGAGAGTGAGAGCTGGGGTGAGAGTGGGGATGGGAGTGATGTGGAGAGTGGCAGCTGCACGAAGGGCACAAGCGCGGTGAGAGGACGGGCGGGGGCGCAGAGGGCAGGTGGGATTGAGAATGAGAATGGGGCGGTGAGGGGAAAGGCGGGCAAGGGTGGTGGAGTGCCAGTGGGAGCGGATAGGCGGCAGCCTCTGGCACGTCGCACCACCCAGTGATGCGCTGCAGCAGGTGCAATGAAAGCAGGAGGGGATCAACACACTGCGCTCCACTGCTCTGCCGACCACTGCTCTGTCCTGGCTGAATACCGTATATCCATAGTTGATCTACCCCAGAGCTGGTAACTTTAGAGGTCCTCTACATTCTGCTATAGCCTGTACGTTTTAGTACTGCTTTGGTGGAGACAGGAGTTATGATACCTGCCCCACAACCCAGAGAATGGGAGCCGCCCCTTGCTGTGCATGTAATATGAAACACAATCATTTTTGGTAAATTAATCAGGCTGTTAGTTTTTCAGTGTTTAGGCCTTAGACGACACTGAAAATCAGAGTTTCACCTGCTAGGCACACTGAGTGACCAGCGTGCCCCTACACCAATCTGAGGGCCTGCTATGCATACATAGGAGCAGTCAAAATTGGTAGAAGCACTGCTTCTGTATCGACTCTCTACGCTACGTTATGGAGCACTTCCATGCACCATGTGAGCCCATGACATGGCATGCTCAGCGCACACGGCCGCAGCGGTCGCAGGGCTCCTTGCTGTGGGTCTTTTTGTCGGCGCCGGCAGCAGCAGCCTGCGCCACGAGGCGCGGCATGTCCTCCCCCAACACCGCCTCCAGCGCTGCTGCTGCCCGCCCCAGCTCCTCCTCACTGCCATGCCCACGCCCATGCCAGCAGGTGGGGTGGGCCAGGTGTGTGTGGGGGGTTGGAGGTATGGTTAATGGATGAGGAAAGAGTAGAGTGCTAGATTGCAAAAGAAGCGACAGTCGTACAATTGACAGGGCTTCAGCAGGTGGAGCGATGACAGCATGGGGGCACAAGGGAACGGATTAGTAAGGGGATGAGGGGATGAATGAGTGAGGGGGTGAATGAGTGAGGGGATGAATGGGCGAAAGCACGAGGGCATGAGATGAGAGAGACAGGGCATGAGTGAGCCAGGGCATGAGCGAGAATGATAGGGCGCGCACGAGATGGTGAGTGGGGGGGCGAGGCGGATGATGGTGTTGTGGGTGGGCTTGGCCAGCACGCCCCTCTCCTTCATCGCCACACACACGTCCAGCGCCGTCACTCCCCCCGGCAGCCCCTCCCCCGCCACCTGCACCGCCACCAGCAGCCCTCGCCCCCGCACCTCCTGGATCAGATGGGGGTAACGCGCCTGCACTGCCTTCAGCTGCGCCTGTAGCTGCTCCCCCAGCCGCTGCGCCCTGGGGAAAAGCAAGAGGGAGGCAAGGGGGATGAGAGGAGGGGGTCGAGGAGTGGGAGGATAAGGCTGTGGGAATTGGCAAAGACGGGCAGAGGTGGAATGTATGAGCAGCAGCAACGTTCAATACCAAGTTGCCTTGCCCTGCACTCTTCCCCCCTCTCCACTCTCACTGCGCCTCCCTCCCACCCCATGACTCTGCATGGAACAGCCACCCGCTCCTACCCCTATCCCCCCACCTTCCCTCCTCCTAACCTGCACCCCCGCTCTCTGCAGCCCCCTCTCCGCCTCTCCTCCTCCCTGTCCCGCACCTGTGGGCCAGCCCGCCCTCTTCAATCTCCGCCAGAGCTGCCATCGCCACTGCTGACGCCAAGGGGTTGCCGCCAAACGTGCTGCGGACGAGGGGGACGGGGAGGCGCCACAGACAGGGGAGGGGGAGGGGGAGGAGACGTGAGAAGGCCAGGCATGGGCACTTGAGGGAGCGTGCGCGCAGGACAGCAGGTTGAACACATTGCACCTTCAACAACACCATTCCCCATTCCCTGCTCACTGCTTTGAGGCGCCTCAGAAAATAAAAAAGTACACACAACACTTGCCATCACACATGCTCCCCGCACTCCCCATTTCCTATCCCCCCCTCCTCCCTCTCCCCCGCCCCACCTGCCGTGCTCGCCGGGGCGGATGCACCCCATGACGTCATCGTCTGCCAGCACCGCACTCACCGGCACCACTCCCCCTCCCAACGCCTTGCCCAGGATCTGATGGGGGGGAGTGGGGGGTGGAAGGGATGGGTTAAAGGGAAAGGGGAAAGCGGAACAGGGAGAGGAGGGAAGAGATAGAGACGGGTGGCAGGAGGGTGGTGGGAGTTAGGTAAAATTGCAGTGAGCGGAGGGAGAGAGGAGCGTGGCGGAGGGACATCTCGGGAGAATGGAGGCGGTGTGGCAGCGGGAAAATGGCAGTGGTCGTGCTGACTGGCAACAGCATGAACACACTTCTGAGAGTGGCCCAGACGCACAAAGCAGAATAGGGCAGAGCAATATAGAGCAGAGCAGAGCAGAGCATGAAAGCATGAGCACAGAGAAGAGCACTTACGAGCACGTCAGGGCGCACGCCCTCATGGTCGCATGCGAGCATCCTGCCAGTACGGGCGAGCCCCGTCTGGATCTCATCGGCCAGCAGCAGCACGCCGTGCTGTGAGCACAGCTGCCGCACCGCCCGCAGGTACCCCTCCGGGGGCACCAACACGCCCGCCTCGCCCTGGATGGGCTCCACTATGAACGCCGCCACTCGTGGGCCGTGCTCTGAAGAGGGACACGGTGCAGGTGGTGGGGGAAGAGAGCGGTTGGGGGGTTGGGGAAAGGAGGTTGCTGAGGGTGGGGCAGATATTATGGTGGAGCAGCATGGGGGCGTGACGGCATGGGAGCATGACAGCATGGTGTGATGGCATACAGGCATGCGCCATGCTTCCACGCAAAAAAAAACCTCTAGTTCGTCCGCACACACTTTCCTGTCCCCTCACCATCAATGGCCCCTCACAGCCCCCGCCCCCACAACTCACCCTCCAGCAAGCGCTTGAGCCCGTCCACGTCCCCGAAGTCCACCTTGAGGTTGCCCGGCAGCAGCGGGCCGAAGCCGCGCGTGGCGTCGTTGTCACACGACATGCTGATGGCCGCCATCGTGCGCCCGTGGAAGCACCCGCAGCAGGAGATTACCAGCGCCTGGGCGGAGGAGAGGGGGTGGAGAGGAATGAGGGAAAGGATGGGCCGGAGGGGCATGACATGGCAGGGCAAGGCAAAACGCTCCACTTCATCCTCCGCAAAGCTCCCCTTCCTCTTCGCCTTCCCCCTCCCCATATCCCTCTCCCCCTCCCCCTCTCCCTCCCCCTCGCACCTGGTTGGCAGGCACGCCTTTCTTCTCGTACGCCCACTTGCGTGCCACCTTGAGAGCGGTCTCCACGGCCTCCGCGCCCGTGTTCATGGGCAGCACCTTGTCGTACCCCATCAGCGCCGTGATGCGCCGTGCGAAGAGGGGGAAGCGGTCGTTGTGGAAGGCGCGCGACGACAGCGTGCAGCGCTCCGCCTGCTGCTGCAGCGCCGCCAGGATGCGCGCGTTGCCGTGGCCCTGCATGGGGACGCGTGTGCGAAGACGTGCGCAGGCGGAGGGAGTGTGGGAGGGGAGGGATGGGATAGGATGGGGGTCAAGTCTGACTGGTGCATTATTCTCACACCCATTCTGCCACTCAAGCAGTGACCGCCCAGCCACCACCCAGCCCTCCCCTCGCCTCTCCCCTCGTCCTCTTCTCACCCCTCTTCTCGACCCCCCTCTCATCCCCCTCTCCGCGCGGCCCCCTGCGCGCGCACCTGGTTGACGGCGGAGTAGGCGGAGAGGAAGTCAAGGTACTCGCGCCCCTCGGGGTCCGTGATGCGCGCGCCGTGCGCCTCCGAGAACACCACGGGCAGCGGGTGGTAGCTGGGGGAGGGGGGACGTGCGCAAGCGGGCGGACGAGCGGATTAAGAACGCGCAGATTCAAGGAGCGGCGCGGCGAGGACGAGTGCGGCGGAGAGCAGGCTGAAGCCATATTGCGCCACCCGGGCGCACATTCAAACGCCCTGTCACCCTGGTACGCCTCCCAAAGATTTCCCTTGCTCGTGCGCACCTACTGCGCGCCACCTACTTGCGCGCGCCACCTACTTGCGCGCGCCACTCACTTGCGCGCCGCACTCACTTGTGTGCGCTGCTCTTCTCCTCCATAGTAATCAGCTCGCTCGACGTCGCATGGCCATCCGACGTCGCAGAACCACCTGCGACGCTCGAAAACCGTCGCGCGACGGAGCCGGCGCCGCCAAGCGGGGAAATCTCCGCCAGCCACGGCGCTGCGCGCGAGACGACGCGCCGTCCAAGCCTCGCAATGGGCGCCGCCATGGTGGAAAACGGCGGTGGCGGGTGAAGTGCGTGGTTTAGCGGACCACGTGTGGCAACTGAACAGATCACGTGGGACCACGTGGCGAGCGTGAGTGGAAGAAAGCACGTGGATGGAAAAAATGAGGCGCTGGGAGGGAGAAAAGCGGTGGTGGGTAGATATTTTCTGGAAACAGCGAAACCCAGCGACTTCGCAAACGGTTCTGAGGTAGGGAAGGGATTACAGCTACCGATACACTTTCACGAAAACAGCCATGCCTAAAAACAAAAAAATGAAGATTGTTCAAATTTGTTTACTTAGAAGCAGCTAATTATAGCTCCACTACGGTAAGCACAATTGAAAATCTATCCCTACGTCATAAAGCTGCTATCTTGTAACAGAATAAGGTAACTCCACGTGACATCATGTTTGGCCTTTGGCAACCGCATCACACGCTAACGCCGCCACAAAAGGTGCTTTTAGATGGCCATTCGAGGCTGCCACTCGACATGCCATCACATCGAACGGGCCTCCGCTCCTGCCACATGTATACGCCAACACTCAACTCCTACCGTTAGAAGAACACAGGGATTGCAGAATCAACACGATGCATTCTGATTGGGCTTTAAGCTGCATGCAACTGCTTTGGGCTTTATGAGACAGCAGAGCAGCGACAAAGGAACAGGGAGCAAGCAGCAGGAGCAGGGAGCAAGGAGCAAGCAGCAAGGGAAGGGAGGGAGCAAGCAGCAAGGGAAGGGAGGGAGCAAGCAGCAAGGGAAGGGAGGGAGCAAGCAGCAAGGGAAGGGAGGGAGCAAGCAGCAAGGGAAGGGAGGGAGCAAGCAGGGCACTGACGGGTTGAAGCAGAGGCCGCCCGCCTCCTCCACTATCAGCGACCCCGCTGCTACATCCCTGGTGGATGCACCGGGGAGAGAGAGGGGTTGTGAAGGGGAGGTGAGTGAGGGAGATATGGGGGTGGAAGACGTGAGAAGCAACTGAAGTGACATGTGGGAAGAAACCAAATGACGACAGGTCTTATATGCCGTAGCTGCGGCCAATGCCCCAACACACACCATGCCCTGACCTTCTCAGCAGCGTTGCAGCAACTGCAGCCGAACCCACCATCCCCTCCTCCCTCTTCCTCATTTCCTCGCTTCCCCACCCTTTGGTGACCCCTGATGCCGCCCCACTGACCAGGGTCCCCCGAAGCCGATCTCATAGAAGAGGTCGAGGCGGCCGCACGCCACTCCCACCAGGTTCAGCGCACACGACCCTGACAGGCGCAGCGAGCGCACCTGGGGCGGATTTGCGGGGGGAGGTTGGAGGAGAGGGGGTGAAGGATAGGTAAGTGGGAGGGGTAGAAAGTATAGTGCAAGCAGAGCGAGAGTGAATTAGAAACTCAGAGGAGGGCATGGAGAGGGGAAGGCAACTGCGTGTGGCAAAAGGAAGGCATGGTGGAGGGGGGCCGGCATTAGTGTTTGAAAGAATTCCATAGTTGTGAAGAAGTGAACTCAAGAGTTGTTTCATTAGAATGAGAAAGGAGCATACATAATGATTGGAGGGTAAGCTTGGAAGGGGAGCTTGGAAGGGAAGGGAGTTGGGTGGTGGTGGTTGGGAAGCCCTATCCCAAGTGGGGTGGAAGGGGACCCCAACTTGCGATTGGGACGAAACCTGTGGCCCATTGGGTTGGGTTGGCAACATTCCCCAAATGTTGGCACCCTAAGGATCAATGGGTTGTATTTGGGGACTCCACCACAATTGGGTTGGATTGACACCCCAACATGCAAGGCTACACCCAAAGTTGGGTGTAGTCTCAACCCAACTGTACACCACACTTGGTGTACAGTCACAAAAGGCTTAGCATGCTATAATATAATTCTAACAGTGTTGAGATTCACTGGTCGTCCACTGGGACATTGGATGGTCGTGGTGGGCGGGTGGCAGGGGGAAGCAGGAGGGGGGCGGGGAGGGGCGTGCCTGGAAGAGCAGGTTGCTGATGCGCCCTGTGAGCCCTGCCACTGTGCCTGCGTCCCTCTTGGTGCCGATCTGATGCCCCCCGCCGTCACGGTGGCAGGGACCGGGGGAGAATGGTTGGGAGGAGGGTGGGGAGGGCGAACGAAGTGAAGGGTGAGACAGGCAGCAGTGACGGGTGAGACAGGCAGCAGTGACAGGTGAGCAGAAAAACTGGTGCCAACAAAGAGTGGAAAGGTGCATGTGTGCATGAGTGCATGTGAGAATGTGAGGAAGGGGCATGTGAATGGGTGCATGAGAGCATGAATGCACGGGTGCAGCGGTGCATGGCAGGGGGAGAACCTCAGTGGCGAGCAGCGCTGACCCCATGTCTGTCTGAGAGGATGCTGCCAGGGGTGGACGCATGGCAACAGGGGCAGTGCAGTGTCGGAAGGGGAGAGGGGACAGAGGCACCAGCGGGAGGAGGGTAAGGAAGGAGCGAGGGGTGAGCAGGGAGAGGTGAATGGAGAAGATTGAGGACGTATAGGTTGGCTACAGGGAAGCTTTATCAGCGGAGAGGTGAAGGGTGAGTAGGGGCATGAGCAGTGGGCCATGGCAGCGTGGCACAACATACCATGGGTGGCAGCATGGCGTACCATGGATGGGCTCGTCGTTGAGCATGGCACCATGACCCCTCATCGCTGTGAACATCTGCACATGGCGCATGGGGCATGGGGCATGGGGCATGGGGGGCATGGGGGCATGGGAGCATGGGGCATGGAACATGGGGCATGGGGCATGGGGCATGGCGCATGGGGCATGGGGCATGGGGCATGGGGCATGGGGCATGGGGGGCATGAGGGCATGGGAGCATGGGGCATGGAACATGGGGCATGGGGAATGGGGCATGGGTCATGGAGCATGGGGCATGGGGCATGGGGGATGGGGCATGGGCATAGGGCATGGAGCATGGGGCATGGGGCATGGGGCATGGGGAATGGCGCATGGAGCATGGGGCATGGGGCAATGGAAAGGAACTATGGGATACGGGTGGGGGTGGAGTTGCATGAGGAAAGTTGTTGGGAGTAATGAGTGGGGTGGGGGAGCAGCAGTGCACATGGAGCAGTGTTGTGAGTGGCGGATGTGCATGCGGTGATTAACATGCATGAGTGGCGGATGTGCATGCGGTGATTAACATGCATGAGTGGGATGAGAGGCCCATGGCAAGGCGGACAGGGAGCGGGGCGTGCCTCGTTGAGGATGGGGTTGAAGACCACGCCCACCACCACCGCCCTGTTGATGGCCAGCCCGATGGACACACACACGAATGGGTACCTGCTCCCTCCCCCTCGCCACGCCACGCCACGCCAGAGACAGACAGTGGGAGAGGGATGGGTAAGGGCAGCTGTCATCGCAGAGAGTGGCAGAGGGAGGGATGGAAGGGGTGTGCATCACAATGTGCAATGCAAGCAAGCAGTTGTGGAGCATATCATATGGCGCATGGGCACACGGAACACGGAACACGGCACAGGACACATGGCAGTCTTCACCGGTGCACGAAGTTGGTGGTGCCATCGAGCGGGTCCACCATCCACGTGGGCTCGTCTGACAGCCCCGCAGTGCCATGCAATGATGACTCCTCCTCGCCAATCATCTGATGCCGCGCCATGGAGTGAGGATGGAAGATGAAGCAGAGCACGTGGGAGGAAGATTACAGAAGGGGATTTTTTCGGAGAAGGCAATCAGCCTGCATGTTACGGCACGACTATAACCTGACCAGCGACAACCCAGAACCCACACTGCGAGCCTCCAAGCGAAGCGAACCGCCCAGAGCCCAGCCCATGTGCCTCAGATCCAAACCCTCACTTGCCTTGTGGGAGGGGTAAGCAGCTGAGATGTGCTGCATGATGAGTGCCTCGCATTGCTTGTCCGTTTCTGTGACCAGGTCGACCTAGACGCAGCACAGTGGGTGGCGGACGTGGGGAGGGGAGAAGAGGCAGGATAGGGAATGAGTAGGGACGACATAATGGCTGAATGCATGCATTCGCGGGTTTAAGGCTTAGGGTTCCTGCACAATGTCTGGATGAGTTTCTGCACTCCTTGACTTGAATGCTCTAAGCTCTCACATGCCATGCTCTCACATCATATGCCATGCTCTCACATCATATGCCATGCTCTCACATCATATGCCATGCTCTCACATCATATGCCATGCTCTCACATCACATGCCATGCCATGCCATGCCTTCGCTGTTCAACGCGCCTCACTTTGCCTTTGTGCTGCACGTCCTTTGGTGCATTGAAGCCGCGGCGAATCACCTGGTGACACGTGTGCACACATCCACAGACGTATGGGTGGGTGAGTTGAGGGATGGAGGGATGGAGGCGGATGGAGGGGGATGGAGGGAGGTGGAGTGATGGAGGGGGATGGAGGGATGGCGGGGGATGGAGGAATGGAGGGGGATGGAGGAATGGGGGGAGGGATGGCGGAGTGGAGGGAGTTAAGAAAGAAGAAACGGAGAGGAGACAGTTGGGGGGGAAACAGCGAAGAAGGAGAGGGGAGGAGAGAAGAGGAGGAGAGGAGGGGCGAGGCGAGGGAGAGGAAAGGAGAGGACTGGGAGGGTTGTTGGGCGATTCAGGCGACATGCCGGGCAAGTGGAGGAGCGTGATGGGAAGTGAGATGCATTGGGATATGGCACATGGGAGGGGCTGTGGGGTGCATCAGGCGCTATGTGGCATGGTGCATGCACACACGGGGTATGCACACACGGGGTATGCACACACGGGGTATGCACACACGCACGGGGCAATGCGACGCACCTCGCCCGCGTGGCGAGCGGCCGTGACAGCGACGTCCAGATACTCGCGCAGCTCCCGCTCTGCCCGCGCGCACCGCCCATGGCCGCGACACCGGCGATGGCGATGGCGCAACGATCGCAATGACAATGACAGCGCACGGCGCGTCGCGGCACGCACGTTGGAATGCATAGAAGAGTCAGAATCGCAGACATCAGACGGCAAGACATGTGGAGAGAGACGGTCAGTCGTGCGGATTGATCAGCAGAGCTGAAAATCGGCAGGATTACAACTAACGACACACACAGGTCGGCACGGGAGGCAGCGTTAGCGGCAGGGCTACTATCGGCAGTGCTAGCGGCAGGGCTAACAGCAGGGCTAGCGGAGGTTTCGCGGCAGGGAGGGCGACAATGCGGAAACGCGCGACTCACCCGCGACAGCTACAGGCGTCGCCATGAGAGTCGCCTGGACGAGCCGGCGACAGTCTGACGGGAGACGCGAGACGAGAAGCGTTTCAGGGGCAGAAGATGCGAGGGCGGTGCGATTGATCGTTGATAAGGTGCAGGTCAGACGTGGTGTGCTCAAATAACCCGTAAAAGGATCGTCGTTTCGGTGTCAAGCGTTAATGACATGAATTCATGTAGCTACAGAAGCTGAATTCAGTCTTTAATCCAAGAAAGAATATATTAGCTTCTATAGAATCAAAACAGCCGAGAGAAATCTGCAGAGTAAATGCAATCTACAATGCGTTAATCCTAGCGAAACACTTGAAGGTGGTGTTAGGACAGGACTCAGTAGCCATCGGGGTGCAGGCGGCGCCAGCGCCAGGCCATGGCGAGCGAGTCCTTGAGGTCGGTGTACTTGGCCTTCCAGCCCAGATCGCGGTAGATCTTGCTCGGGTTGCTGTACACCTCCGCGTAGTCCCCCGGCCGCCGCGCCTTCTGCTCCATCACCTTAATGGGCGCTCCAGTCACGTTCAGACACGCGTTCACAAACTCCCGCACCGAGTACCCTGTTCAGGCATGGCAGGTCAGAGTAGGGCAGGTCAGGGTAGGGCCGGTCAGTGCAGGGTAGGGCGTGCAAGGGTGTTGCAGGAAGAAAGGGAGGGAGGAGGGCGGGGTTGCCATATTAGCAGAACACTTTTGCTCAGAATCAAGCCAAGCAATGAGGAGGCTGTGGTGAGGAAACAGCAAAAGGAGGAATGATGATGGCACTCCACAAGCAGCATGGAGGGGCAAAGGACGCCCACCTTTGCCGGTGCCGACGTTGTAGATGTTAACGGTGCCGGGTGTGAGGTGGTGCATGGCCACCACGTGTGCATTCACGAGGTCCGTGACATGGATGTAGTCACGGATGCACGTGCCGTCCGCTGTGGGGTAGTCCGTGCCCATCACCTGCCAGGGCGCAGCACAACCATGCAGCAGCAGAGAGATGATTCAGGTGCGTGAATGAGGTGAGTGTGGAGTGGAGTGAGGTGAGCAGTCACAGCTGTGGGGTAGTGCAGGCGTATCACCGGGCACGCAGTGGGGATAAGAATGGCGCCCGTTTGCTACAGCGGCCTTGGATGCTGTGGCTCTCCCTCATGGCCGGTGAGCTGGGGGTTGTGTGTGGCCATCACCAGCAATGCACCCATGCAGCCGTGCAGTGAGCGCACATGCACCATGTGTATGCACTCAATTCGACAGGCACTGATGAGTGTGTGTGTGTGTGTGTGTGTGAGCCGCACCGAAATATTCTCACAGCGTGCAAGGCACACACATGGACGGAGAAAGCACATGACGGGCAGCGACACAGCGAGCACAGAGTAATCACAGAAAGCAGGTGCTCATGCTCGTATCATGGTGCGCGGGGTGGGGAGTGCAGCATGGGGGAAAGCAGCACAGGGGGAGAGCAGCAGGGGGCGGGAGGCGAGGCGAGGGCACCTTGAGTCCGTCGATCTTGCCCATGGCGGCGTCGAAGCACGCCCCTGTGATGCGCCCGTGGTGCCTCAGCTCCGGGCGAGGCGCCTCCCCCAGCCGCCCACTGGGGTCCGACCCTATCACGTTGAAGTACCTGGGGGGGTGGGGTGTCGGGGGTCAGGAGGGGAGGGGGGAGTGAGCAGCTGGGTGTGGGTGGCAGGGGAGGGGACGCAGAGGGCGGTGGAGTGAATGTACGTGTGAGCGAGCGGAGGAGGGGGGTGTCCTAGCAGGATACACTGAAGCGCATGCGGGTTCAATTGTGGGTGGGATGAGTGGCAGCAGAGGAAATCGCAGGGGGAGATGCTAGGCACATGCGAGCAGGAGAGGCACGTGTGACAACTGACAAGCAAGCGAGAGTTCTGTGAGAATGGGTAGGCATGCAAGGCACACGATCTGAGGATAGGTAGATACATGGCAGGTGACCGGAGGATGGACAAACAGGTGAGGAGAGGTGCGGGGACCTGAGGATGGTGGCGGCGAGCCTTGGGTTGGAGCGCGCGTAGTCGAGGATGACGTCCTCCGCCATCTTCTTTGACTTGCCGTACGGGTTTATGGGCGCCTGCCGCCACGCACCGCACACGGCAGGGGAGGGGGATGAGGGTGTGATGGGTGGGTGTATGCCACATGCACGACAGAGGTGGACAGAAGGGGGTGGAGGGTGCAAGGAGGGGCACCCCATGAGCGCACTGCATGCACACTACAGAGTGATGGGTGCTTGCCGCTCAGAAGGCAGGCAGAGGGGAGGAAGAGGGGCGTCTTGTGAGGAGCGGGCGGGCCACTGAGTGCGTCACTGTGCTCTGGTGGCATGGGCATGTCACGGCCCACACAGCGTGGTGGGTGCTGGGCATGGTGGTGGGCACGGTGATGGGCATGGTGATGGGCACGGTGATGGGCATGGTGATGGGCACGGTGATGGGCATGGTGGTGGGGTCACCTGCACAGTATCCTCGGTGATGGGCATGGTCTTGGGCTCGCCATACGTGGCACACGTGCTGCTGTAGATCAGCTGTGTCACGCCGTGCCGCCCCATGGCCTCCACCAGCGTCAGTGTGTTGGCCGTCACGTTGTGGTAGTACCTGTGCCGTGGATGCACATACCCCGTGCCATGTGCCACCCATGTACCGTGTGCCCCATGCGCCGTGCCCCGTGCCCCATGCCCATTCCCCATGCCCCACGCCATGTTCACCATGCCATGTGTTCCGTGCCATATACGATGTTCCCCATGTCACACGCTTTATGTCACATGCCCCATGTCACGCACGTGGCATGCATGCACGTGGTGCATGCACCATGTGTGGGTGTCAGCGTAGTGAAGCACACAAGCACAGAAAACAGGCCAGCACAACCAGAGGGTAGTGGAGTGGAGCACGCAGGGGGACGGGGGGGGGGAAGAGCGGGATGAGTGTGATGGATGGCAGTTGCGGTGCGATGAACCCCAGGAGCCAATGTGTGCGACTGATCTGAGTGAGTGGTTTCTATCCTGTTCAAGTGCCAATTTTCCTTCCTTACTTCCCCCCCTTGCCCTTCTTTCCTCCACCCGACCGCCTCTTGCTCCCCACAAGTCACTCACCATTTCTCGTTCCAGCAGTGCTTGCTCCCCTCCACCACACCCCTCCTGCATGCTCACCTCAGCGGCTCCTGCATGCTCACCTCAGCGGCTCCTGCATGCTCACCTCAGCGGCTCCTGCATGCTCACCTCAGCGGCTCCTGCATGCTCACCTCAGCGGCTCCTGCATGCTCACCTCAGCGGCTCCTGCATGCTTTCGCCCACATAAGCAACGGCAGCGAAGTGCATCACCACGTCGATGGCGTTACTCGCAAACACCGCCTCCACCTGCCCACGGACCCACCCAGCCCAATTCCACGGACACACGGGCACGCACGGCGCACAGCGGTGCTTCAAGTTCCAAGGGGCGGCAGTGACTCCAGGGAGAGGGATCAGAGGAGCAGCATTGGAACAAGCAGGGGGGTGAAAAAAAATGGCATGTGGCAATGTGCGAATGATGCATGGTATGGTAGTGCGAATGATGCATGGTATGGTAGTGCGCGCATGCATGGGGGCAGCGGAGCAGACCTTGCGGGGGTCCCCCAGGTCCGCATTGATGAACTGCAGCCGCCCCTCCGGCGCTATGCGCTGCAACACCTGCACCGCGCCCCAGTTGCCCCGCGATAGGTTGTCCTGCCATGCGCATGCGCACGCAAAAGCGCAGTCGCAGGCATAGCCACAGGCACAGGCACATGCACAGGCACAGATAGGCACACGCTCGCACACACACATGCAGTGGGAAATGGGAGGAGAGTGGGGAGAGTGAGGAGGCGAAGAGGCGGCGCTTGAGTGGAGAGGGGCGCATGGGCGGGAGAAGGCGCAGGAGAATGGCAGGCGCACCCCCCATGGCAGAGAGGAGAGAGCGGATGGCAGGAGAGGTGCATGCGGCATACGAGAATCGTGACGTCACTCACGCCAAAGTTGACGTCACTCACGACAATGGTGACGCGGTGGCCGGACGTGAGGAGGTGCAGCGACGCGTGCGAGCCGATGAAGCCTGCGCCGCCCGTCACCAGCACGTGCGTCACCCCCGCCTCGCGCACACGGAACTGACGCACCGCCACACGCCCGCACAGCAGCGCACAAGCAGAGAGAGGGGGTGGCATACAGGGAGGCGTGGTACACAGTTGGACATAACATGTGAGGAGTGATGGGGAGAGGGATGTGGTAGGGGGTACGAGACGGTGCGGATTCAGCACAGGATCGGACGCGAATCCCGAGATGAGCTCGACGCAGTCTGAGAAACACGCGAGCATACAGCGCCCCACCTGCATGGGAGTAGAATCTCTAGATTGGAGCACGAACATGCAGACCGCGACAAAGAGCGCCGCCAGCACCATCTTAACAGCAGATGATCTCTGCCGCCCCGTGGCCGCCGCCATGGGCGAGTCCATCCTGCGCCGCGCGCGCCTGCGCCTCAGCCAGCCGTGCGCGGCGGAGCAAGGGGAGAGGTGAGGAGACGGAGTGCGAGGTCGCGCGCTCGTTCGTGGACTGCCGATGAACCCAATGACGCCGCCGTGCAGGCCAGCGACGACGGTCACGGAAGGGAGAGTGACGCTGACGCCGGATTAGCAGGGGGAAAGGTGAATGGAGGCTGCACGCCACTGAGATGGCGGCTACTATTGTAGGACACAGAGGGCTTTGGTCCCAAAAAAGCAGGGAGAGTCCTACTGAAGTGCTCTGTGTGGTCCCAAAGAAACAGTGCCGGCTAATGCAAATCCGTTGTCTCGTCAGTTGTGTTATCAGGCTCGGCTTGGACACGCCGAGCCTGGAAGTCACACGCCTGTAGACCAGCCATGAATGGGAGGGAAGTGTGTCAGTCGACACCTCCAAGACTGAACCAGCCAATCAACGAACCGCGTGTCACCAGAGCAACTGCGCTGGGCATTAAGAATATACAAGGATCCTCTGTAGTATATACAATGCAGCTATGATGTGGCTGTTTAACAATCAGGAAGCCATATCTAAAAGAGAAAAATTAAGGGCTTAGGAAGAGGCCTCATGCTCATTTATTTAGTGAGTATTGCGCTATAAAATTAGTTAAATATGTTGTTTGACATGCTGGAAAACGCAACATGGCAATTACAACATCCTCCAGCTCCTCACTTGTTTATGCAATATACTTTACATCTCTTCATTGGTGTAGCCTCACGCGAACTATTTGATTGCGTCCGATGTTACAAAGCGAATCGCTGAAATTCTCTGATCTGCCGTTGGATTGGGAACGAAGCGAGAGAGGCTAATCGGAGGGTCGTCCGTCGTCAGACATATCCGAGGGTCAGTATGGAAATCGAGGAGCGGGAGTTGCGGGATGCTCCCCGCGATACGTTTCTCCCCCCAGCAAATTATGTTGCAGGAGTACCACAGAGCAATCATACAAGGAGGCAGTACATTCTGCTGTGAGTGCAGGCGCTTCCCAACGAACTAGCTGGCGGTGTCACCAAAGCGACATGCGAGACAGTTCCACACATAGCATACCACTTAGCAATGGCTTCGTTTCGGCGATGAGTATAAATTCCGCGTTTTTACCGTGAGGCAAACCGTACGTCCGGCCGGGCCATCGTTATGGAATATAGGTCTGGGCCTGGGCAAGGGAAAATAGGTCAGAGCAGTCAGCCGGCCATCAAGCGGGTCCAGGCAGGCAGTCGGCCGTCGCAGGAGAGACGAGCGAGCTCGCTGAAGAAGCTAGCGCGGCGAGAAGTGAGCGCGAGAGGAAACTGGGCGTTCAAGCGCACGAGCTCGGAGGAGAAGTTCAGGAACTTCAGCCTCCAGGTGCGACCCTTCAGGCGCCTCGCAGTTGAGGACCTCCGCCTTCATGCGTGCGCGTCACCTCGTTTCAACCCTAAATAAGTTCGCACGTGGTCGCGAAGCCCCTCTGCACCCGTGTTGATGCATAGCGGTTGTCCCCGCTCTCATTACCCCTCCCCACTTTGCCATGCCGTTGTTCGTTCGTGCATCTTCGTCCGCACGAACTTCCTTCCCGTGAAATCCCTCCTGCCTTGCCATTCCGCTCGGCGAGCAGTGCGCACGAATTGAATGAGTATCGTGTGTGGACCGTGCGATGCCGTGGGTGCGCGTGCAGGGGGAGTACGACACGTTCGACGCCAAGGCGGCGCAGGTGGAGCGGCTGTCGTTTCTGAAGCGGCGATCGCGGATCGTGGAGATCGTGGCGGCCAAGGATCTGCTCTTCACGCTCGCGCACTCGGGAGCATGCGCTGCCATCTGCTTAGGTCCGCCTACCTATCCTCGCTTTCCATGTTCCGTTTTCCTTTTGCTCAAGCGCGTTCCGTGTCAGTCGATTCAGCCTATTCTGCTGCTGTGCCTCGTTTCTGCTGTGCGTGATTGTCATGGCGGCAGAGTCGCGGCGGCGGCTGTGCTACATGAACGTGGGGTCGGAGGAGGTGATTCGGAGCCTGTTCTTCAACAAGAACAACGACTCGCTCATCACCGTCTCCGTCTACGCGCAGGACAACTTCAGCTCGCTCAAATGCAGAAGTACCCCGCTCGAGTGCGCCCCTGCCTTTCCTCCCAATCCTCGTGTCCGTGTCTGCTACCCCGCTAGCCTCCTCTGGCTCCGTTTTCCTTTGTCACCTTTCTCATGGTCCCTCTCCGCCTTGTTGAGAGGCGTCTTTTGAACTATCGCTTTATTCCTCTGTGTCGTTCGCCTGTCGCCGCCTCTCCATCCCCCACTCTGTGCCCTCCCTGCTCTTCTCCTTCTGCCGCCCATCCCATTCTCACGTGCGCGGAAGTCACAAGCCCCTGCCCGTGTGTCGTGTGCTCCGCTCCACATGGTGTGTGCGCGGTGCTGCGCGTGCCCTGCAGGTACATCCGGAGGGGGCGGCCCAGCGAGGGCTTTGCGCTGTTTGAGTCGGAGTCGCTGCGCTGGCCGGGCTTTGTGGAGTTTGATGACGTCAACGGCAAGGTGCTCACCTACTCCGCTGATAACGGGTATGCTGCTCCCCTCCCGCTGCACATGCACTCATGCGCTCACTGCCAGCTGGCTCTGCTACTCATGTGCTTGCTCATCTGCACAGCTGCAACCACATAACTGCCACTTGCTTTGCACTCTCTGCCCTTGCTGTGCCTCATGATTGCATGTTCAAAACAGACGTAGACTTGTGTGAAATCGTTTGTGTGTTGTTGTGTGTATTGTGTGCGGGGTGCAGCATGTACAAGGTGTTTGACCTGCGCAACTACACTCTCCTCTACAGCGTGCCCGACAGCAACATCCAGGAAATCAAAATCAGGTCAGTATGGGACCTGTGCCAAGTTCAAGAGAGCCTGTGCCTGTTGTGCCTTCAGTCTGTATACATTCACCACTATCGGAATGGAGGTGTACCCATCACGTGCCATTCCCTTTCTGCCATCCACCATCCAATGTATGCCATGCTGCTGTGCGCCGTGCAGTCCGGGCATCATGCTGCTGATCTACAACCGTGCGGAGGGGCACGTGCCGCTCAAGATCCTGTCGATTGAGGACGGGGCGGTGCTGGCGTCGTTTGTGCAGCTGCTGCAGCGCGGCAAGAAGGTGGATTTCATCGAGCAGTTCAACGAGAAGCTGCTCGTCAAGCAAGAGAACGACAACCTCCACATCCTCGACGTCTGTGCTCCTCTCCCCCCACACTCCCCTCCCCTGCTATCCCCAATCCTTGCTCATTGCTCCTTGCAGTCGTGCTCCTTGCTGCCGTGCCCCTGGTTGTAACCTGCGCCCTGACTCGCATGGATCTAGTTTCTCATGCTCCTATCTGCCATGCCATCTGCCTGAACGTTGTGACCTTGGTGTCACCCGTGGTGTAATCCGCCCCCTCCCCGCGGTGGAGAGCAGGTGCGCACGCGGCAGGAGACGCAGGTGAGCCGCACGGAGTTCATGACGCCGTCGGCGTTCATCTTCCTGTACGAGAACCAGCTCTTCCTCACCTTCCGCAACCGCGCCGTCGCCGTGTGGAACTTCCGTGGGGAGATGGTGACGGCGTTTGAGGACCACGAGCTCTGGTACCCCGACTGCAACACCAACAACATCTACATCACCTCCGACCAAGACCTCATCATCTCCTACTGCAAGCACCACCACCTCTCCCACGCCCCCCACGGTCAGTCCACACCACCTCCCTGTGCCTGTCTCTCATTCTAATGCCCTCTGCTTACCTTAAGCTCTCCATGGGCTGTCTATCCACCTTCTCCTCCCTGCCCCGCTTCTCTGTTACCCCGTGTCATGCCTCTTGTATGCAGTGGGCAGCATCAACATCAGCAACATCCTCACGGGGAAGCTGCTGGCTAAAATATCGTCGGATTCAGAGCCGGCTCAAGCCAAATCAAAGTCCGTCCACTCGACCGTAAAGGAGGCACTGGAAGACGTTACAGCTCTGTTTTATGATGAAGATAGGAATGAGATCTACACTGGAAATAGAAGTGGCTTTGTACATGTTTGGACAAACTAAGCAAGCTGGATGGAGGCTAGCTATGATGTTTAAGATGAGGGCAGAATGCCTCGAAGGTTATGCAAATGAGATTCGAAGATAGTATATGCACCCAGCAGCTAAACCAACCAACTAGCCAACTAAATACACCATCATTTCAGGGCTCAGGGTGAACAGGTGTGATCATCCTCAACGCTACACATAGTGGCTCTCTGCAAGGCAGTCCGCAACTCTCACAACTCTTCGCCGCTTCCCAAGAATGGCAGGGTGTATTGTATTACCCGTACTCTATATATGTTCACTGGCGAGAGGCAGCCCACGATGCCTGTGCCTGGCTCTCAATATGCCTTGGCTGCAGCAGCAGGCAGTCTATGCCCTGGCTGTGGCTATGCCCTGGCTGTGGCTATGCCTTGGCTCTGGAAGCATTGGTGGCGCGTATTCTGTCGCGGTTGTCCAGCTTCACCAGGCGCTCCAACTGCTCCTCTCACAGCACACAGCACACATGCCACACACACACACCACACACAGCACACACATGCCACACACACACACCACACACAGCACACATGCCACACACACACACCACACACAGCACACATGCCACACACACACACCACACACAGCACACACATGCCACACACACACACCACACACAGCACACATGCCACACACACACACCACACACACGAACACACATGAACATTCACAGCACACACAGCACAACCACAGGTGCCAGATCAAGAAGCATGCCATGCAGGTAGGTCATGTGAACATATTTTGCATGTACCTACATGACCATCTACCAACGCCATGTCTCACATCCGCCATGCCCATGCCTCACCTCCGCCATGCCCATGCCTCACCTCCGCCATGCCCATGCCTCACCTCCGCCATGCCCATGTCCTCGATTCTCTTTCTCTTGAGCTCGCTCAGCGGCGCCTGGCGGTCCAGCAGCGTCCACAGCCACTCGGGGTACTCACTGCACGCACGCACGCACGCACGCACGCACGCACACACCCATGGAGGGACGCACACACCCGAAGAGGGACGCACGCTGATACACCGTGCGCAATCAATCCGCTTCCGATGGCATCCTGAAGCCACTGCAAGTGCGCACTGCTTGCTGCACGGAAGGCAAGAGAGAGGAGGCGAGCAAGGGCAAGAAAGTGCACGCCGCGAGTCAATGCTGGCGATGCCACGGAGCACGCGACCTGCAAACCAACCTCACCCTTCTCCTCCTCTCGCGTCCCTGCCATCGCGCCCCTCCCCTCCCCTCCCCTGCCCGCGTCCCCCGCATGCAGCGCACCTGTCGGGCAGCACGGGGGGGTCGGAGCCCGTCTTCAGGATGTTGCCGCCCACCACTGTCGCCGCGCGCACCTCCACTGGCACGGACGACGCGCGGGCGGCGTCTGCGGGGGGAGAGAGAGGGAGCACGGAAAAGGGGGCGGCATGAGATGGTCGGATCGCGGCTCTGCTGCTCACGGCGTCGCGCAACCCTTTCCACCCCGCTCTTCACGCATCAACACCCCGCTCTTCACGCATCAACACCCCGCTCTTCACGCATCGACCACCTGCCCGCACCTGAAGCAGCAGCGTCGCCTTTTCCCTTCTTCGCGCCTTTCACGGCTGCCTTGGGCGCAGCCGCGCGCAGCCGCAGAGCGCCTGAGAGCACGCGCGCGCGCAGCACTGACGCCATGGGGGCGGAGAAGCGGACGCTTCGGTGACGCGCAGTCAGCGCGACGGCAACGGAGCTACGCGCAAGGGCGAGGGGGGAGGGGAATATGCAGCAAACTTTCCGCAGTGGTGTGGTGAGAGTGTGACGATGGCGAGGCACGGATGACACACAGCACGGCTATCGTGATGCCACGGAGGGCCACGCGTGGTACGTCCGCAAATGAGGCACGGACAGGATTATGACCATATATCGAGGTCTGGCAGCAAAGTCTCGTTCCAAACTTGAGTATTTCGTGCAACTGTAAGGAACTTCTGCTTTATGCTAAAGTCTGACATCATGTAAGGAACTTAGATACTGAGTTTAGATATGAACTTTTTTGAAAGTGTGTAACACTTTCTAAAAATGTGTATTGTGAAAGCGCAGCTTACTGTAGCGAAGCAAGGCAACGGCGAATTACTATTCGCCGAGTACATAACGAGGGTTGGAGGCCTTTTGGCCTCCACCCACGTCTTCATTTCGGAACTTTGCAGTTCCATTCTCGTCCAACCACCTCGTCGTTCCACTTTCTCCTAGCACTCTCGTTCAAATTTCTCATTCATAGCTCTCCTTTTTATAGAAGGCGATGGCGCTTTGCACCAGAACGCCGATTTTAGGAGAGGGCTTATACGCGCCCACAGCTGTACCTTCTGCCAGTGGGCGCGCGTGACCCAGCGGGCCCGAACTAAGTGACAAAATCGCCTTAGGCGCGCCTGTGACGAAATCGCCTCAGGCGCGCCTGAGACGAAATCGCCAATGGTGCGCCTAAGACGAAATCGCCTGTGGTGCGCTTGAGACAAAATCGCCAACTCCCCTGAGACGAAATCGCCAGCTCCCCTGAGACGAAATCGCCAGCTCCCCTGAGGCGAAATCGCCAGCTCCCCTGAGACGAAATCGCCATAGGCACGCCTGACGACAAAAGCGCAACTGGCGCGCCTGACGACGAAACCGCCAGTGGCGCGCCTGGCGACGAAATTGCCTGACGAGATTGCCACCAGCGAGACTGCCAACGAAATCGCCACCAACGCGACGGATGACGATATCGCCACAGTCGAGCCTGACGAGATGGCAAGGGCGCGTCTGCAAAAAAATGTGGTGTGACAAGGCGAAAACGCCACGGACATGACGGGACGCCTCCGCTACATCAACCGCTGCAACTTCTACCGGCAATGCGGGCGTGACGCCTGCACCGTTATTATCATTTTTTTATTGCAACATGGGTATGTGTTTCCATTTTTTCAAATTGGTCAATAATTATATGTCTTCTCCGCTCTGGTTTTCACTGATCGCAGTTTGCAGGAATATCTGCGCACGGACGAGTGTCAACGTTTGGCACATCCCCGCGTCGTTCCCAGGAGGGGAAGAGGACCGAGGGTCCCGTCTGGCCAGAGGGCCGTTCCCCATGGGGGGAAGGGGACCGAGGGTCCCGGCTGGCCAGAGGGCCGTTCCCCATGGGGGGAAGGGGACCGAGGGTCCCGGCTGGCCAGAGGGCCGTTCCCCATGGGGGGAAGGGGACCGAGGGTCCCGGCTGGCCAGAGGGCCGTTCCCCATGGGGGGAAGGGGACCGAGGGTCCCGGCTGGCCAGAGGGCCGTTCCCCATGGGGGAAAGGGGACCGAGGGTCCCGGCTGGCCAGAGGGCCGTTCCCCATGGGGGGAAGGGGACCGAGGGTCCTGGCCAACCAGAGGGCCGTTCCCCACGGGGAGGGGACCGAGGGTTCCGGCTCGTGACAGGCGGAGATAGAGAGAGAAAGAGACACGAGAGCTGGCACACGGGTCATTGTGCCAAGGAAGGAGTATATGCACATTGCGACAAGCTTGTGATATGTAGAAAAAAAGGGGACTTACCCTATGCCATCCTTGGCTGCCGGTATAATGCCTTTCAAAATTGTTTTTGCCCTGGTACGTGTCCTTGTATGTGCCTTTGTATTGATTGTCCAAGACAGATCTTGCGGAATTGGTTACATTATAAAATGCTCGAATTGAGAGCCTTGGTTACAAACCACCTTGAACATGGCTTGAGAAACGATTGTCCTTGTCAAAAGGAATCTACAATGGCTTTAAGGTTTTAATATGCTGCCCTTGACTCAAACAAGGAACGGAGATACACCTGCTCTCACATTGAGTCCGAGGTTTTGAACACAAAAACAGACATTACCGTGCAAAGGGACAGTAGTATCGTGAATTCCGACGACGCGACCCGACACTGGCATGAAATTAAAGCCATCCAAGTTAGAGTCGGGGTAGTGTTGCTTGTGATCACTTATTTCTGCCTTGTTGTGATGTTTCTGGAACTCCCACATTAGATGACATACGGTACTCATGATTGATTCTAGGTGTGATGTGTACATAGTACGCAGTTCTGTAAAAGTATCCTGGCTGGAACATTTATTCTCGTACGGGTCTTTATTGCTCATTCATACGGTACATACCGCACGATCATTCACCATCTGATGAACTTCTCAAAGTCCCTAATGGTAATAAAAAAAAAGCCATACCGGTACCTCTGCGTTCACACTCCTCCTAGCGCAGCTCTCGCGCCGCATGCGCCCATCCCAAGCCATCCCGCCTGCTAATCCACTTGGTGATTTCATTCTGACGATCGTATGCCAGTCATGAGGCTTCATTGGCAATCTTGGCCTCTCGTGTGCTCTCGTGGACAATCGCGAACGTGAAAAGCAGCTCTTGACAATAATTCTAGAGTAGTCACTAACGCTAACTCCGTCATACAAGAATTACTTGCATGCAATTTCGCTCTGACATCCACACGTCAATCACGCGGCATCATCGGGAGACGTCGAACATCCACGCCCTCAACAGCTAACATCAACCACCAGTTTCAACCACACTCCTCTGCTGCACCAACAACCAGGGACATCTACATCAATGGAACGAGCAACCGTCATACACAACATTTCGAAACCCAACGGCATGGCGATCGCATCGCAACCAACGCACGCCTCATCTCTCAGCAATTCGTCGAGGCCATCAACCACAACAAGACTCAACACGTCTTCACCGCTCCTAACTACACATGTCTCAGTAAACCCAACTGTAATGAAGCACGTTGCCTTTGCAAGAACAGAAAGCAAGCTTTCTCAATATGAACTTTTTTGAAAGTGTGTAACACTTTCTAAAAATGTGTATTGTGAAAGCGCAGCTTACTGTAGCGAAGCAAGGCAACGACGAATTACTATTCGCCGAGTACATAACGAGGGTTGGAGGCCTTTTGGCCTCCACCCACGTCTTCATTTCGGAACTTTGCAGTTCCATTCCCCACCCACCCAGCCTAGTCGTATACTTGTAAAATCTATAATTAGGTTGGACGAGAATGATGTAATTACTCCAACTGTAATGAAGCACGTTGCCTTTGCAAGAACAGAAAGCAAGCTTTCTCAATTTCAGCCTTTTTACGCTTATTCAACATAAATTCAGGTTTTTTTCTACCCCTAGGCTGATTCCATTTTTTTTTTAATGAACCTTGGCTGTTTATTTCAACCATATTGAGAAAGCTTGCTTTCTTATTCTTATCAATTGGCATCGTTCTCATTACAAATGGCTGTTTACAACATTTGCATCACAATTGAACACAAGCTAGTGCATGCTCATATCACTAGCTACGATATACCATACCCAAGTGGCATGCGCAAAACGGTTTCCGCTGGGGTGGGTGGTGGGAAGGTTGAGTGAGCCGTTTGAAAATAGAGAAACGTGGGTGGAGGAAATGAGCTCCAACCCACGGTTTTTGTAGTTGGAGAAGGGCGTTTAGCGCGCTTCGACGATGCCAATTGTGCAATACAAGCAGCTTCGCTTTCACAATACACAATTTTGAAAAACACTATGTGTGTTTTAAAAATTATAATATTGAGAAAGCTTGCTTTCTTATTCTTATCAATTGGCATCGTTCTCATTACAAATGGGGTCTCTGAGACATAGGCAGCGGGGGCCTCCGGTTACGTACGAGTGCCTCTGTGTGTTGTGCCGAAGTCACCGCATGCGTCGGATCTTGTAGGTTGCGGGAGGCTTTGATGAGAGGCTCGATGTATGGTGTGACATACATTTCCTTTGTGTCAGAGGTCCACTGGTGATCCCCGATTGATCCTAGGGAAGGGTTACAGGCTCGTTGTCCTGGGGGGTTATGGGCGCACTGACCCGCTACTTAACAAGCCCTTTTATCCCAATGGTCTAGTGGTTGGGATTCTGACATGGTATCAGAGCATAGGTCTTTAGGACCTAAGATTAGGGCCCACCGATTACTGCATTACCTGCTGCCCGCGCGCGCCTCGGCTGCACGCGCGCGGCCCTTTTTTTTTCCCGTGCGCGCCACTTAAAGCAGCCCGCGCGCAGCCCGTTTTCGGCCCCGCGTGCCACGTCAGCCACCCGCGCAGCCTGCCGCCGGCCCGCGCGCCGTGTAAGCCGCCCGTGCGCAACCCGCTTAGGCCCTGCGCGCCACGTCCGTGTAGCCCGTTTTAGGCCCCACGCGCCGTGTAGCCCGTTTTAGGCCCCACGCGCCGCGCCAGCCGCCCACGCAGCCTGCCGCCAGCCCGCGCGTCGCCACGAGCAGCCCGCAGCTGCGCGCGCTGCCCGTAGCCACGTGCAACCTGCAGCCTCGTGCCTGCTGCCGCCTGCCTGTCGCCTGCCTGCCTGCCTGCTTGCTGCCTGCTAGCTGTCTGCTGCCACCTGCCTGTCGCCTGCCTGCCTGCCTGCTTGCTGCCTACTGCCGCCTGCCTGCAGCCTGCCTACTGCCTGCCTGCTGCCGCCTGCCTGCTTGCTGCCTACTGCCGCCTGCCTGCTTGCTGCCTGCTTGCTGCCTGCTGCCGCCTGCCTGTAGCCTGCCTGCTGCCTGCCTGCTGCCTGCCTGCTACTTGCTGCCTGCTGCCTGCCTGCTACTTGCTGCCTGCTGCCGCTTGCCTGTCGCCTGCCCGCAGCCTGCCTGCCGCCTGCCTGCTGCCTGCCTGCCAGCCTGCTTGCTGCCTGCTGCCGCCTGCCTGCCGCCTGCCTGCAGCCTGCCTGCAGCCTGCCTGCTGCCTGCCTGCTGCCGCCTGCCTGCTTGCTGCCTGCAGCCTGCCTGCCTGCCTGCTTGCTGCCTGCTGCAGCCTGCCTGCAGCCTGCCTGCTGCCTGCCTGCTACTTGCTGCCTGCTGCCGCCTGCCTGCTTGCTGCTTGCTGCCCCTGCCTCCTGCCTCTGCCTCCTGCCTCCTTCCTGGTGCCTGC